CGAAATCTGTGATGGTACCCCTTTGGAATCTGCCAAAAATTGACCCGGAACAAATCCGCCCAAATCGGTGCTTAATGGACTCAATCATCGTTGGAGAATAGCCTCAGGCCGAATCCGTGATCTGTAGCCTTCGATATCTAAAGAAAATGGCCTTTCGTCGCCCAAGAAATTACGAAAATGCCATCGAAAATAAATTGGCCCAAATCGATGCTTAACGGACTTATCATCCGTGGAGAATAGGATCAATAGACTTCCTTATCGGTGGAGGATAGCCTCGGCCTGATTCCGTGATCTGCAGCCTCCAGAATCGAAAGAAAATGGCGTTTCGGATAAATCGCCCGAAATCTGTGATGGTACCCCTTTGGAATCTGCCAAAAATTGACCCGGAACAAATCCGCCCAAATCGGTGCTTAATGGACTCAATCATCGTTGGAGAATAGCCTCAGGCCGAATCCGTGATCTGTAGCCTTCGATATCTAAAGAAAATGGCCTTTCGTCGCCCAAGAAATTACGAAAATGCCATCGAAAATAAATTGGCCCAAATCGATGCTTAACGGACTTATCATCCGTGGAGAATAGGATCAATAGACTTCCTTATCGGTGGAGGATAGCCTCGGCCTGATTCCGTGATCTGCAGCCTCCAGAATCGAAAGAAAATGGCGTTTCGGATAAATCGCCCGAAATCTGTGATGGTACCCCTTTGGAATCTGCCAAAAATTGACCCGGAACAAATCCGCCCAAATCGGTGCTTAATGGACTCAATCATCGTTGGAGAATAGTCTCAGGCCGAATCAATCTTCAATATCCAAAGAAAATGGCCTTTGGATCCAAAGAAACCAAAATTTTACTTACTTTTAATTACCGTTTGGTACCCAAAACTTCTAGAACCATTCAAAGTGATTAGTAATGCAATAAAGATAAATACTTGCGTGGTATCGAGCAATTAATGCCTATTTCCTCCCATCGGAACTCACTACTCAGTCACTCTCACTTTCGCCACTGGAGCGAAAGCAAAATCCCCCGAAAAGCCCATATCTTCATCGCCGGTTCATCCATCCACCTTGCCGCAAACAATGTCGAGAGCTCTTTGTCTCCGGCGCTCAATCCACCACCTCCTCCACCGCCGTCCCTCTCAACCCATTTGCACCGCCTTTCCGCCGACAAAGCCGCCGATCCTTCCAAACCATCTCTACCCATCAAACCCTATCCGCACATTCTCAACCTCCTCTCCCGCGCCGGCTTCGTCGGAAGCTGAGCTCCGGAGGTACCTCGGCTACACAGCTCTCGCGCTCTTTTGCGGAGCCGCCACTTACTTCTCATTCCCCTTCTCGGAGAACGCCAAGCACAAGAAAGCCCAGCTCTTTAGGTACGCCCCATTGCCTGAGGATCTCCACACCGTTTCCAATTGGAGCGGCACCCACGAGGTGCAGACACGGAACTTCCACCAGCCCGAGACTTTGGAGGAATTGGAGAAGCTGGTGAAGGATGCCGACGAGAAGAAAGCCAGGATCCGGCCAGTCGGGTCGGGGCTCTCGCCCAATGGGATCGGGCTGTCGCGTGCTGGGATGGTGAATTTGGGTCTGATGGATAAAGTTCTGGAAGTGGATAAGGAGAAGAAGACGGTGAGAGTTCAAGCTGGGATAAGGGTTCAGCAGCTGGTTGATGGGATTAAAGAGTATGGCCTTACTTTGCAGAACTTCGCATCCATTAGAGAACAACAGATTGGTGGCATTATTCAGGTTCTCTCTCACTGCATTTCGTCCTTTGGATGAGATATTTTAGTATTGGATATAAGGCAAAAGATGTCTCCTTTTCCATCCAAACCATTTAGTTTGAGATATTTGGGGTAATCTGATCCATTGCTGCACGCTTGCTAGACATTAAACCGCCTTCTAGGCAAAAGTATGCTGTCAAGCTGCTGTGGTGATATCTTGGATATGTACTTTTGAGATAGATGTTAAGTTGTTAAAATTGGCCGGTTTTCAGGTTGGTGCACACGGGACTGGTGCGAGGTTACCACCTATTGATGAACAGGTCATTAGTATGAAATTGGTTACTCCTGCCAAAGGCACAATAGAGATTTCCAAAGACAAAGACCCGGATCTGTTCTATCTTGCTCGCTGTGGTCTTGGCGGCCTTGGAGTAGTTGCTGAAGTCACCTTACAGTGTGTTGAGCGTGAAGAGCTTGTGGAGCATACTTACGTCACAGACATGAATGATTTGAAGAAAAACCACAAGTAATTGCACGTTCATTTGGTTGCATGTGCACATCAAAGCATGATTTGTGTAGACGAAAGTAATTGCATATGTACGAATGAATGGTTTGGACTTTGGACATCGTAAAGAGATTTCTTCTTGGAAAACACATGCTCTCTTTATCTTTCCCTTGAATATCAGTTTTCTATTTAAACCAAGTAACTGATGTGTACATTCATACGATACATGGTTCTATCTTTGATTGGTCTTCTTGCGATGAGAGTTTGCATTCATTTGATGTCCATCTTGCCTATCTGTCTCGAAATACTTATTTTCGAAATTTCGCTAAGATGCAGCATGATCTTTTTGCTTAGTCATTCCCAAAAGAATTGGAACTCTTTTTGCTAGTTCTCTAAAACTTGAGCTGTAATTGAGATTTGGAATATGTTTTTTTTCCCCGGTAATTATTGAGATTTGGAATATGTTTCTCTCTAGAGTCTTGATATTTTTTATTCATCCGCCATTTTTTTTCTCTTGTTCCAGGAAACTACTATCTGAGAACAAGCATGTCAAGTACTTGTACATCCCATATACTGATGCTGTTGTAGTTGTCACCTGTAACCCTATTTCAAAGTGGCGGGGTCCCCCGAAATTCAAACCTAAGTATACGAAAGACGAAGCAATACAGCACGTCCGTGATCTATACAAGGAGTGCCTTGAAAAGTACAGGTAGTTCAGCTATTGTCCCTTTTTTTTGTTGGACTGTACAATGACATCATATATGCATGCTTCCAAGTCTTTGAAGGTCTAGAAATGCTGAGAATCACTTGTGTCTTTGTCTGATTGAAGAAATTGTGTGATATGAGCTTTTCTGGCATAGTCATAAGTAATAACATAGAAGCCAATCCAACTCACACCTTTTCGTTTCCTTTTCTCTTGTTTCTTTTATTTTTATTCTGACTCGTGGCTTTAATTCGTGCCTGCTTTAACTAAGAGAAACAAATGTCTCGGAAACATCACTGGACTGATTAAGTTCTACTTAGTCTATTGCAGTATTATTGTGTCTATGATGATTTCATGTATCTATGAACAAGCGGAATGATGATGATATCTTGTGCTTGTTTGTATATTAACACAATTGACTTGGGAATTTGATTTTACAGGAACCAATTATAATCAACTAAAAATATTGTTTCTGCAATATATCGAGTCTTTTCTGACACCAAATATACATATTTCATTCATATAATTCAGTTTGTGTATGTCACCTGATTGCGTGTTGCAGTTGCTTGCAGAAATGGGGAATTCACGGCTAGTCTTGTTGATGAGCTATCATTCACTGAATTAAGAGACAAGTTGATTGCTCTAGATCCTCTCAACAAAAACCACATCGTCAGGATTAATCGTGCTGAGGCTGAGTTCTGGAGAAAGTCAGAAGGCTACAGGGTTGGGTGGAGTGATGAAATTTTGGGCTTTGATTGTGGTGGGCAACAGTGGGTATCAGAAACATGCTTTCCTGTTGGTTCTGTTTCCAAGCCTAGCATGAAAGATCTTGAATACATTGAAGATTTGAAGCAGCTTATCGAGAAGAGACGGATACCTGCACCTGCTCCCATAGAGCAACGTTGGACAGCTCGTAGCAGGAGCCATATGAGCCCAGCCTCCAGCTCAACTGAGGATGAAATATTTTCTTGGGTAAGTTAATTAATTGCATATTCTGTGTTGTCTGTATCTCTTGCTTCAGCATGTACTGATTACCCTGGAATATCGATGCTAAATGAAAGCTGCTATTAGCATTTAATCCAATGCAAGCTTTGGGAGGAGTTAATAAAAAACGCCCCTCTTTCGTTATGGGTCTCAGGTTGGTATAATCATGTATCTTCCTACAATGGATGGCCGCCAGAGAAAGGACATCACAGATGAGTTCTTCCATTATCGGCGTTTGACTCAGACTGAGTTATGGGATACATATTCTGCTTATGAACATTGGGCTAAGATAGAGGTACCAAATCAATCTTCGATATTTGCCTCCTGTCATATGACATCTAAAAACTGTCTCTTCTCCTCGAGTTTCAATGTCCAATCAGTGCATGGCGAAAACCTCGCTAACTTTGTGTTGCATTCTGCTGAATTGCAATGATATGCTCAGGTTCCGAGGGATAAGGAAGAGCAAGCAGCATTGCAAGTGAGGCTAAGAGAGCGCTTTCCTGTTGATACATATAACGCTGCCCGAAAGGAATTGGACCCCAACAGGATCTTTGCTAATAACAAGCTTGAGAAGTTGTTCCCACTATCACAGGCTGCTTGATTTCTTGGTTGTTTTCCCATCCTTCTCTCTGTAGTTTGGGAACTTGTAAACTATAAACCGTGGCCCCCTTTTTGTTTCCTTGGGAACACCTAGGCTTTTTGGGCTGTTAGAACTAGATGTAGAAACTGAGAAAGTTTGACCAGAAATACATGGGCATATTTTTAAGCTCTGGTCCAATAATGCATTAGCAGGCTAGTCATCTGCTCTCGATGTTGATTTATGTACCATCTTTTGGCATGATCAGTGAGATCATTTTATAATCGGGATATTCAATATTTGCATGGTAGCCAGTATAATCACAGAAATGGATATTTGTACAAGTTTTATCCTTTTGTTTTTCGGAGCTGTTTTCTTGGATCACAGATATCAGTTGATCTTGAGCCAAATCCGAAGCCAGCAGCTGCTAAGAAACTATGGTTGTCGACTTTGTCCTGGGAGATCAACTGTTGAATCTCCAGGTATTAATCTGGCGGAATTGCTTTTGCTTTGGTATGTAGTAAAATCATAAATGCTGAGATACAACTCCCCAGAACTGAGAATAGAGTAGGTAGATTTCTGATTGGAACAAGATTGCAGGAGTAGAAGGATAACAAATCAAAGAGTAGGAATCTTCATTATACACGCATAGGGCTGGGTGTTGGCAAGCTATTATCAACCAATTTACTTTCCTTAAGACAGAAAAAGGAAAAATAGAAAAACTTCTGAACACATATATAGATGACAAGCCAATGAAAGACTAGAAGCTAGAAGCTGGGCCATGTTGATGATACATAGCCAAGATTCAGAAACATTCTTCACAAATCCAGCAGCAGCACAGAGCAAAGAGACTGCACCCGCATAGATAACGAAAACAAGGTTTAGGATCATGTGGTAGCAGCAAAATATTTGTACTATAGACTGACTTACCATCCTTCAATGAAGCCTCTGTCTCCTTTCTTCTTTGTTTGAGGGCAGCACTTCTTCCCAGTAGGGTGAGTAGTGTGATTCTCTGTTGGGTATCCTTGAGAAGATCAAGAGAAACAAAGAGTTAGTTGATAAGCCCGAAATGGCGAAATCCCTCTTAGAACTTAGGAGTCGCTCTTTCTTTCGTACTAACCTTCTGGAGGTTGCTGCTGCTGCTTGTCTTGTGTCTTGTTGTTTCTGTTGTTATCAGCCATGATTTTGCTTTAGATTTGTTCAGAGCTTTGTAGATAGATTACATGTAGACACAGTTACGCGTATATATACACAAACCAGATAGCCTTTCGGCACTAGATTGATTCCTGATAAAGCTTGCTTTACTGTTAAATCTTTGTTGGCAGTAATTGATTCCTAACAAAGTTGCTTTTTTTTGTCAAATCTGGAGATTATCTGTCAAATATATCAGCTTACGCGTAATCCATCGATTCTTAAGCATATTTTTGTTAGTTTGCTATCTTCAGGTCAAAACACAACAGGAGCCATAGTGGGAAAAGATGTGGGAAACTAATGAAATTTGGAGAACATGGATCTGGTAAAGTGGAAGATGGCTTAGATTCTTATTCTTTGCTTGCTTAGGAAGAGGATGAAGGGGGAACGGAAGTGGAGCTGTGACTGGGAAAGTATGTTTAGATTTTAGAAGTAAGCAAAAAGAAAGTTCTTTGTTCTCCCTGCGTTCAAGTTCGTCTCGATTGGACGTGAAATTCAGATGGACTTAGGGCAAGTTTAAACGAAACTCAATTACGGGTAATTAACTGTTGATTTTTAAGTTCCACTTTGAACTAGCATCGTAATGATCAGAATTATAAATGACATAAAACTGGTAAATGATGAAGGGTAGAAACTTCTAACAGACAGTTGTAGACTTGTACTAACAGTTAAAAGAAATGGTATTGCCTAAGCTCTAAGCAGATTGCTTATACATCAACTCAACTGTTTTAATCTACAGGGTTGCATAATACACAGAAGCATATGGACATACTAGGGCAGAAAAAAGGAAACAGAACAGAATCCAACCGCTGGAAAACCTGTCCTATGCTAAAATTCTCCAGAAGCACCGTGTATAGATAGTATGCTGGCAGATCTCGCCGTTGAAGATTGTTACCTCAAACAATCGACCAAAACTTCTTCCTGCAGATCAGCACAGTTTCATCCTTCTTCGCCTTGTTCTGTAGACTGTGCGATTTGACTTCCCACAAAAACTTTGGAGCCAAATCGCGTATCCTCAATGTGACTGATTCGTCGTCCCTAACAATCACATATCCCTGCAGAGCAAAGAACCAAAATACATTCGAGTAGGTACGGAGGCTATGATCTGAACCAGGAATGTCATCATATGCATCAGAGCTTTGATCAAACAAACCTGAGGGCGTAACATACGATCCATCTCCAGCATTATATCTTCTACTCTGCAGCTTTCTCCGTGGTTCTTATAGTGACTGAGTAGATGGTCCGCATGCAGTAAATCATATGTACGTGGATACGTGGAGAATGGCTCGCACCTGACGTTTGAAGGATCATTGCCTGATCAGTGTTTTGGCGTGTGCCAAAGCACTAATGAAAGTTCAACAATCTTTAGAACAATTAAGTGATCTTACCAGTCATGGAAGACACCCAATAATCCACGGTCATATATTGCTGAAAGAGTATTATTCATAGTCATAGGGACTACATTCATCACCCAAACAGGCCTTTTGCTTAAAGTGGCAGAGAATCCGCCTAGATATGCATTCATATCCATGATGTTTCTTATCTCTGTCCCCTGCACCTTCATCAGCTTCCAATAATTACGGATTTGATCTTGCCAAAACTGGGAATCTTCTGTGAATTCTTCGATGCTAATACCTGCAATGAGTACAACAAAGCAGTCACTAAATTGCTACTGAGGGAGGTTCTTACTTCAAGTTCACACGAAAAAACATTAACATCACCGATTCTGCTAAGACTCTGTGAATAAACCGAAAGACGTTGCGGCCTAGGAGGTAATGGTTGTGAATCCATTGATGCTCGGGTCGTTACACAGCTTCTTAATGGTGTGTTCCATGAAGATTTTAAACTATCAACTGAATCACAGATATCTATGAGTTTGGCCTCAGCATTTTGCAGGAGGCAAGCATCATCTTCCTGTTTAGTCCATACAGCGGTCTGAACTTTTCGAGCTATGAGCTTCCAGCACATTGCTGATGTCAGACTCACCAACTTATCCCAGATCATTGGGAAATCCTTATCCTTTCTGTATGCAGGTGGAGCTGAATAGATAAAATATCCATTGTAGCGCAGAATACGATTAACTTCTTTCAGTAAGATGCCATCTGCAATGATCAACACGGCATAGATGATCAACTTGGGGAAGACTAATTAGTTTTGGAAGAATTTATCAAGCATTTGTCAACTATCATTTGAACAGAGCTAATTACCATTCTCGTGCCAATCAACACGGCATCTGGAACAATGAACCATCTCAAAAGAATTAGGTGGATATGGCAGTTGCTTTGTAGCTATGGCAGATATCATGGCACCAATTCCTCTCTCTAGAGCAAATTGGATCTGATTCTCGTGACCATCTTTGGGTGCAAATGACATGGTATGAATATCTAGAGGGAGGAGATAAGCTGAGAAGCTGGCAACACCACAGCCAACATCCAGAACTTGGAAAACTCCAGCAGAACGTAGATCGCCCGTTTCATTAGTGGTCATATTTCCTAACCTGCGATCCAGATCAATAGAGGGTTCAGATAAACACAAGCATGATGAAAATACTGACTAAGCACATATAAGTTCATACACAAGGCAATACCTCTGTATATACTCAGGTGCACCATGCTTGAAATGAGTGCCACCACCAGGAAACCACCAGAGCTGATCCTTCTCATGAACCCAATTCTGTCCTCCTTTCACCTCAGCAAGATGCGTATGATTTACATTGCTTCGCCATACATAATCTCGACTGATTGGCCATTTTATAGGTAACCTATAGTCTTCTGGTGGTGGTACTAAGCAGAATAACCGCTTCTCAGGTGGAGGGCAATGTCGTTCAAGTTCCTCTCTTCTGGAAACATTCAAGCTTCGGAGCAAAGTGTGAACGTAGGCAATGTCATGGCATGGTATGTATTCGTTGAACTTCAGTGGGCAAACATTCACCCCACTTTCTGGAATTGTCAATGGCGTTTCTCGGTACGCAAGAGCAACTTTGTTAGTAAATGTGGAGCTTCCTGCAAGACCAGAAAATTCTTATTTGACCTGCATTCATCGAAACTTAGACAAAACCTGACAGCAGAAATACAATCTCAGATTCATTCTCGTTATGCTAAACAAATACAAAACGAATTCCCCCAAATGCGGTTCTTAACCCCTTAAAGAAAGATGCTTTATAACCAACTCAGAAGGGGGAAATGAAGCCCTATAAGCGAAGCATAATCATAAATACCAACCATTGCTAGAAAATCCCTTGATGGGTAGCGTCAAATGCCATAAAAAAAACGGATCTTTCCATTCTTAAACTGAAAACCCAAAACCGTGACAACCAAGCAAACACATACGCATGTATCCCACATGCAATTCAACGGATGCATACAATCTAAGCAGAGAGAAAGCGCACCAGTGACAGAGATAGACGAGGAGGAAGAGGAATTGGAGGTGAGCTGAGAGACATAAATTGGCGCATTGCTTCCCAAAAGAGTGCCAAAGTAAAAAGAGCCCGCCATTAACATAAACGCCACCATTATCATCAGCCCTGACTTGGAATAGAAAGCTGAACCCATTGAAAAGGCACCCATCTTCCTTCCTTCTCTGTTCCGTCACTCCGTCGATCTCAACAGAGGCTACGCCGAGTTGGCATCTTCAGGGGAAAATTAAGCCGGGCGAGACTGAAGTTTCGCCATAAGCGGGAAACAAAAAAGAACAGATCTTTGAGCAGCTGATGATCTTTGAATCCTCTGGGACACAAATCTCTCAAAGTAAAAGTAGAGTGGAGTGTTAACGAATCACGATCCAAGAAACAGCCAGTTCTTCGCCGGTATTTTCCTTTTCCTTCTTGCTTCCCACTTTAGTTCTTTCCAATTTCCATACGGTTACTAATCACTTGGCTCGAGTGGGCCGACACGGATCTAGCTCAATGGGCTCATATTTTGCGTCTCGTGCCTTTTCAATCCACAAACTTTTATTTTATTCATACAGGTCCACTTGAGACTCGATCGTGCTCACAGCACAGGCCAGGCGCCCTCACACTTGACAGCTCAAATGTCTCAACACTTCACAAATATCCTCAATCCTCGCATGCGAACGATCTCCAGAAACAAACCGATGATGGTTCTCATTCTCCATCCCAATTCTCCCTTCCAAAAAGCTCCACCCTGGTTCCTTCCTCAGCATCTTCTCACGCACACCTCTCCTAACTTCTTCAGCTTCAATCCATTCCCCACCACCAGCCCTCACATTGCTCAGCAGCGTGTAGTAACCAACTCCATCAGGCTCCATCTCCAAAACCTTCCCTGCCGCGTACTCTGCAACTCTCCTATCTCCATGAGTTCTAGCTGCAGCCAATAGAGCTCCCCATATTCTTCCATCAGCACAGCCAAACTCCATCTTGAGAATCATGGACATGGCCTCCTTCAGGTTCCCTGATCGACCCAAGAGATCCACCAAGCATGTGTAGTGATCTAGACCCGGTTGGATGCCATGTACGTGCTTCATGGCAACAAACAGTTGGCAGCCTTCTCGTACTAGGCCCGAGTGGCTGCAGCTTGACAGCAAGCTGAGGAATGTTATGGAATTCGGGGTGACTGACCTTTCCTCCAGCATTGTGTGGAAGAGGCTAAGAGCTTCGACGCCTAGCCCGTGGATTCCGTAGCCATCGATCATTGATGTCCAAGCTACAATATCTTTGGTTGGCATTCTGTCAAAGAGCTGTCTTGCTGATGAAATGCTTCCACATTTTATGTACATGTTTAAGATGGAGGTGATCAAGGAGAGGTGTTGTTGGACTGCAGAGTTTGGGAAGAGGTTCTTGATCAGACAGCCGTGGATCTCTTTGCCTAGATGGAATGCAGTTAAGTGAGCACAAGCATCGACGATGGTTCCGAGAGTTTCTGGTCCTGGTTGGATGCCTGCAGCTTGCATTTGCCTGAAAATGTCAATGGCTTGTTGGAATAGCTCGTTTTGGATCAACCCTGACATCATTGCATTCCAAGTAATGCTGCTTTTGTGGGAGATTTCTGTAAATAATGCAGCCGCGTTTTCTAGTTTCCCACACTTGGCATACAAGTCCAAGAGGGAAGTCGTTAAGACATTGTCCTTCAGACCAAGTTTCGTGGCGAGGGAATGCAGCTTCTCACCTTCTGTCAAGTACTCGGCTTTGCCAAGCACTGCTATGACTGAAGTCAAAGTCTCACTGCTGACAGCCACTTCAAGTTGCATCTTGTTGAAGAAAGAAACCACCTTTCCAATATCCTCTTTCAGGGAGTAGAAGCTGATCAAAGTGTTCCAAGTAACAACATCCCTCTGCTTCATTTCACTGAACAAATTCTCCACCATTAGTACATGATCCATTTTGCTGTAGAATCTCAGAAGGCAATTTTGAAGGGACACGTCTGCTAACAGACCATTCTTGACAAGATAACCATGAAGTTGTCTGCCTGCGGACCAATTCGTGCCTGTAGAGCAGCCTTGAAGCATGACAATGAGAGCCACGGAATTGGGTGCCACTTCCGCCATCATTTCATTGAACAGCTCAAAAGCATAAGATAACTTTCCTTCAGAAATAGAAGCAGTAATCATCGATGTCCACGATACCAGATCCCTCAGCGGCATTTCGTCAAACAGCTTGGAGGCGTTTATCACCAGTCCGCCCTTCGCATAGACCTCCATCATCGTATTGCAGAAGTACAAATCGGAAACAAAACCCACTTTATATGCTACGCAATGAACCATGGCACCAACTATAACATCAGATTCAACCGCCAGAGATGCGGCTTTATTCACCATCGGAAACGTGAAGCTGTCGTGATGAACTCCCGCCTGCCGCATCTTTCTGTACACAAACAGAGCTTGGGAGCCAAGACCCAGATCAATATGAGCCTTGATCATCGCATTCCATTTGAGAGTGTCCGGCTGAACCAGAGCGTCGAATAGGGAATCGGCATTTTGAAGGCAGCCAAAGCTAGAAGACAATAGTTTGGGTTGGGCATGGCGGGCGATGGAGGAGAAGTGGCGGGAGAACTGCTGAAGGGCAAGGGAAGCCAGTATTGAGCGAGTAATAGTCATGCATTGTCGTTCACTTGTGCCAAACAACGAGAAATATGTACTAACAAGGGTTAAAGAGGATTCATAAAATAAAAAACTTCAACAAAAATGGCAGAACTTTTTTCTCATCCTTTAAAAGAAATTTACAGGGTTAAGTCGGTATCTTTTCTGTTCCTATGATGCTTAACACAGCAGGTGAGTATACATATACTATTTACTATCTAGACACTCTCATGCTAACAAAACTAAGCACACTGTTTCATCATCTGTGATCCAACTTCACAACCTGATCATCACACAGTAAACCCTTCTCATCACTCTCATCCAAACCAGCATTGTTCTCCTCATCTTTCCCGTACTCGATATCCATGACGGTTCGTTCATCATCACCATTGTCATCATCCAACTGCTGGAGCTCGGACTCGATCAGTGCACTCATCTTTGCACGATCACGGTCTCTCGGGTATGTGCAGTACAGTAGCGAGTAGATGAGACAGCACACCGCCATCGGTATGCAGATTGCTGAGTAGAGCGCCTTGGAAAGTGATGCAGCGTTCTCCCTGTCTGTCTCAATTTGGACAGTACTCTCTGCTGCTGATGATCTTTTGGGGACTTTGTATCCGTAGACATGTTGAGCCAGGATTCCCACCACTGGAGGAGCAAACGAAGCTAAGATCGACTCGAATGATTTGTCCAGAGCGTAGATGGTCGTCCGTGATTTCTCAGGTACTATCTCTGCAAATATTGGACTGTGGATAGCCAAAAAAATCTATAGATTCAGCCAGGATAGGGAAAAAATCTGAACTTTAGAAGTTGAACCCAGAAATAGTTGAAGAGAAAAGAAGGGATGCTCACTTGTTGGTAGCTGGACCATTCCAAGATATCGAAAGCCCCATGATGAACAAGACCAAACCATGAACAAAACCTGTCGATGGATCATCAGGCAGCACTAGAAGTAGAACAGCAGCTAAAGGAATGGCCGAGCCAGAACTTATCTGAGAAAGAACAATCCTTCCAGAATCAGGTAACCTTCTAGCCAAAGCATCTCCCATTTTCCCACCAAACAGTCCACCAAGAGAAAGTGCAATCGTAAAGAGTGCCATTAACACTGCCGTCTTCTCATGCGAAAAGCCAACAAGTTCCAACCACATTGGAGCAAAAGATAGAGCCGACCAAGGAAAGGAACCAGAGACACCTTGAGCCACAATTATCTGGAAAGACGGTATCTTCATCACCGATTTGGCTTCTTTCATCAAATCCTTCATCTCAGAGATGAAAGTCCGAGGTGGAGAGTTCTTCTGTTGCTGCTTGGTGGGTTGCTTGCTGTTGTCGTCGGAGAATTGTGGATCATGAGCGAAAAGACGGACCAAAATGCCGACTACTACGCTGATTATGGCGACCAAATGGAAAGCTACTCGCCAGCCAGGAATCCCCATGACTGTAGTTGAAGCAATCAGCACTGAACACAGGCCTCCAATAATGGAGCCAAGGTTTGCTGTTAGCTGTAACCATCCGAATGCAGTCCCACGATTGCTGTCATCAGTGGAATCAGCGACTAAGGACTGGATTGCGGGTGTTACTATGGCTAGTCCAATCCCGTTCAGGCCTCTAGAGATTGCCACCTAAATGTTTAAGCAAATGCAGATCGTTGGATCAATACTTCATATCCCAATTTGCATAGAAAGAGTTGTTCTGCAGCTTATCTCCAGGACTGAAACAAACAATTGGAGAAGGCTTCAACTCGAAAGTACTTAATGGCTTATTTCGCAACAAAATCAAACTTAACTGCTATCCACAATGGGCTCGAGGAATGGAAATTGTAGCTCATTCATTGCAACATATCAAACTATGGGCTAGCCAATAGACCTATAAACACTTCACTTTGCAAATAGAATTACCAAACCTCCGGCTAGCATTCAACCCGGGTTTGAATCCAGGCTGCTTCAATCAATGCTACGGCCTTTTGTGGTACACTATCGGCTATAAGAGAATCCATCAAATGGATCAAGCAGAATCCATCTAATGCCAGGGTTCCCAATACGTATAAACCGTGTGGATCTACCCATTTCGAACTGAATCCAAATTCTCAACCTTCAAAGATTTACCAGAGACTAAATTGGTTCATGAAGCTCAACAGTTCTGGCCCCTATATAGACCCATCAAACACAAAGACCTAACCTTAACCAGAAAACCCACATACCCAATCATAGAAAGAAACAAAGCATCATTCTCAGCTACCCAAAACGTAAAAAACTGTTCAAACGGTCCCCAAAAAAAAAAAAGCGAAGAGGATCGCAAAACCTGCAAGAAACTGGACGAAATCGCGACGAGGAAAGTGGCGGCAGCCCAGAGGAAAGCGCCGAGAGCTATGACGTGGGCGCGATTGTGGCGGGAAGCAAGGTAAGCTGCCAAAGGGTAACAAGAGGACTGGACGATGGATCTGAAGAGGGTTAAGGAACCCAAACCGGTTGGGTCGGTGTGGAGAGCGGCGCCGACTTCTTTGTAGACTCCTGGTAGCAGCGATTCGTCGGCTCGCTCCATGATCCCCGCCAGATTTACCAGTATCAGCGTCAGCCTCTCTTGGTTCACCATCGTTTCTTCCTCTGTTTCTTCCTCGGAGTAGCAGCTTCCGAAGAACAGAGATTGCTCTGTTTTCTTCCTCTGTGGCCCGGGAAGAAGGAAGAGGGAGACCCTTGACTTCAAAGGCTTGGAAAAGTTGAAATTGGAGAGTTTTTCTCAATTAAAAAATATTTAAATTTTTGTTACTGTTCTAGTTTGACACGTCACCTCCCGCCGCCATCCCCTCTTCTCCATTCTCCCGCCATCTTTCAGTGCTTAGAAGAACCGGAAAAAAATCCCTTCACAGTTCAAATCTTCATTCCCATTTCGAAGGATCTTTCCGATTCAACCGCCACGGCTCCGATTTCGGATTAACCTCTCAAATTTGTCAGTACAATAACCAATGAACGGGTTGTTGTCGTGTACAGTAATGCCAGCAAATACTGACAGAAGGAGAGTTGGAATCCATGGCCAGCAGCAACGAAGCTTCCAGGAAAGCAGAGGAAACCTACATTGCGTCCTCTGTGGTTTGTATTGATTAGAGAATCGGTCAAGGACTTGGACGTACATGAACAGAGTCTCCAACATTTGGTAACAACAAATCAAGTCGCCATTCTTGTAATCATAAACCGCGGGTGGCTCGAGTAGTAAGGTATAAGGATCGGTACAGTGTGGTCTTCGATTCAATTTTCGTTCTTGTAAGTTTGTCGGATATTCATAGAGGTTATGGCAGTTCTCTTTCCGAATTTTTCGATGCAAGGTGCCTTCTAGACGTTATTAGGGGACATGAAGTCATTAACAATGTAGAATGTGGTTGGAGCAGAGATTAACATATGATAATGAAAACAGGAGGCCTGAGGAGGGGACTTTGTTTCGAGTTGATGTCTTCTTTGATCGCACAGCCAAACCACTAGTTTGTTGGGCATATTGCCATATCCGATTCCACATTCTTTGTTAGACTTCAGAGAGAGAAAGCACATGGCTGGTCTTCTTGGAATCTTAAACCATACTTACTGATAATCATGGTGGTTGGCCGGTTGGTATTGAAATGTCCTAGACATGTTTTACAAATTTTATTTCCATCAACTACCATCAAGGGGTGATTTGGGTGGGATTTGGCGCTTACAAATTTTATATATTTATGTAGTTTTTTTCGTCCGTAAAAGTAAAGAAACTCTTGATTATTCGTTATTGTATAATCGAATTGTTAGAAGATTAGATCTCTTACGTTGAGTCTCGTATTACACGTGTATATTGCTAAATTTTCATTAATCTATGAAGTTAGCTCTTACAATTTCGTATCTTATCTAAAAAAAAATTATATTGTATCCATTGTTTCAGACTTATTAATGCCAAATTGAGAAGGTGAAAAATGAATTCTTAGACTTGTTAGTAATTTTATTTGTACGAAATTTGGACGGATAAACTGCATACTATACTAATGTGGTTTTTATAGTTACCCTCCCTACTAATCAAAGTGTGTTTTCTTTCTTAATGTAGTGATATAAAAATGTTTGATTACCCTAAAGTCCACTTTCTAGAATGGATGGCTATTAGTTGGAGTTGTATTAATCATCAGTTCATCACCCTCGTCGTGAGATCCATATATAGTCGCAATTCCCCAACCACTTTGAATATAACCTTACAATCTCTATACTTTACACACACATACGTATATCCTTTAATTAAAGTGTAGCTATTTTAACCACTACATATTTACATGGTTGTAAAATCTTAGTGTCCTATAATAATAATAAATAAGAGTAAAACCGATAAGAAGCATATCAGAAGATTATCATATGGTGGTATAATATTCTTAATTGACTTTTAACAATAACTCAAGTTATGAAGATCCAACAATTTATAAAATGATATTGAATCGGCTTGATCAAAGGATTGTATATTTGAACCTCCACCAACCTTTAATTATCAATATTATAGAAAATATGTTAGACATGATGTGTTTTCCTTTTATTTCGGGAGGAAATCAGTATATATGATTGTATGTGTGTTTCCCTTTTCTTTTATTAGGATGATTAAATTTTAATTAATTAAAAATGGGTTAAAATTAAAAAGAAGAAATCATTCAACTTTGGTGACACTCCAACCAAACATGTGTTATCTACTCGTCTTTGTTGGTGTTAGATAAGCATGAAGAAAGTGAAGTATCACCTAATTAACCTAACTAACAGTCTTGTTATATCATATTGAATTGGATGTTTGTTCTTGCAGCAAACAAACAACCAACATTTATGCATATAATTAGTCCATAGGTAACTATTTGTCTATAATATGAATTGCAGTAAGTAAATATGATTTCTTCCATGATAAGATTAAAATAGATACAAAAGACATACAAACCTATGTTAGAGATACCCATTCAAGAGATTAATGCACTTTAATTAAATTATATGACAATTAAGTAGCTAAAATCATTACTATACATGTGGGGTAATATAATGATTGATCTCTAATACATCTATGGAACACAGTAGAGTAAAAAAGTGCAACACATCAGAGTAATCATTCTTACAATAATCGTCATGTTCAAGAAAGCTACCAAGATTTATGTAACTCAAACAAAGTGATGATAACAAAACTCATCATGTATGGAACAGTCAAGCTAATTGTCAGAGAGAAAAAATGCATGTCATCCTTGTAAACGACTAATCGCTCGACAAAGGACTGCTAAGTGCTAATCCACGTAAACCTCAATACATAGCGGATAAAAGACATTAGCCATTGAATTTGGAAGATAAAATAGTTATGCCCCAATACATTGTGAAAGGATCGAATTAACCGACAACTATTAGTTTGAAACCTGGACTACATGGTCCTAATATATTGAAGTTAATGCCAAACTAAAACCACTTTGCCGGTAAATCAAATTGATCCATCAAGATGATGAATAATTTGACTTGAAATACCTACCCACATAGCAAGAGTTTCCAAGTCTGATTCTTCCCTTAATCTACTCTTACCAGGGCTTAACCTAGTTAGAGCTACGTGTTCAGGTTGTTGATATCGCACTCCATTTATCATTTGTTAGCATCACATTGTAATTCAATTATCAACATTAACCCATAACATTTGTGTTAATTAATCCCACCTAATACCAATTCCAACAAAAGTTATCACCAAGACTACTTAATTATTGGGAAATGGTAGAACTAGAATCACATAACATGTTACTTGTAGTGTATAATGTTATATGTTAACATAAAAGCAAATAAAAATAGTGAAGCAAAAACATATTTAGGACCAAATGAAGTTAAATTTTAGGCACTGCATATATATTCCTTTTGTTCGACTAATTTGGTATACAAATCTAATTATATATATGACATCATCAGTGCATCACATGATCATATTCACTTTTCTGAATTCCATATGATCACCTCTGAAGGTCCATCATTCTACAAAAGTCCTCCAAGCACACGAACCCGTCCCCATTCCTATCCACCTCAGCAATCATTCGCCGGCACTCCTCCAACGTACACTCCGATTCCCCAATCGCCGACAACCCCAACAGCAGCTCCTCCGCCGTGATCCTCCCGTCCCGATCCGCGTCGAAGAAACCGAACGTCTCCTTCAGCTCGTCCCGGCCCGCCGGCTCCCAGCCCGCGGGCCCGACCCGGCCCATCAAGGCCTCCACGGTCACGCACCCGTCATCGTCGTCCCCCTCGGCCCGGCCCACCTCGCTCAGCATCGCCGCCGCCACCTCGTCGGAGCTCCCCAGCCGGCCCAATAAGGCCGCCAGCTCCGATTTCGAAACGACGCCGTCGTTGTCGCGGTCGATTATTCGGAAGGCGTGCTGCAATTCGAGGTAGGTGAGCTCGGAGAGGTCAGAGGACCAGTCGCCGGAAGAGGACTGCGGGAGGACGCTCTTGGGGGTTGCGGCGGCTGAGGAGGAGTCGGCGAAGGAGGAAGGGTCGGATCTGGAGACGGCGGGGGAGGAGGAGGAGGATTTGGTCTTCTTGGAGGAGCGGAAGAGGCGTTTGGGGGAGAGGGATCTAGGGTTTGTGATGATCTTGAAGACCTTCATGGCGGAGGGAATTGGAGGAGGAGAAGTGTGATTGGAGGGAAGTCTGGGAGAAATGGAAGGTGGGAGAAGGGGCTTAAATGGAGCAGAGCCATGGCGGAGGCAGGTTCGCGGAAGTTTCCTCAAGGTACTTTTGTTTGGTGATGGGTATTTATAGCTTGTTTAGAAGTGTTTCCCGCAATAAATTTAATTTTCCCGCTTTCTTGATTACGGCTTCATCTCAATATCTTTGCTTCTTTATTTGTGGGAACATCTTTGTTTCTTTAGTCGACAATTATTACGATCTGTCCCTTATAAAAAAAAATTATAATGGTTCTTCTACAACTTTTATTCAATCACGCTAAGGAACGGTCGTTGAGAACAAATTTTCATCTTTTATATAACTGCAACCATCGACGAATGAGCAAAAAGAATGAGATACCTATGGCCACATGAGGATCAGGACACGCCGTACGGTTGACAATGGCAAATCAATCACATAGGCTATTATAAGACCATGCGTCATTTCGTCACCGATTATACCATCAAATTAGTATTTATTTTGGAAAGCTAAGAGCTTCAATAGCTCCATGATAAACCTTAAGAATGCTAAGATGAGTATCTTAGTCCGTCCCTACTAAAACACCTTAAGCGACGAATGCATCGTAAAGCAAAATACCGTTAGCAAAAACCGACGCAACAATTGAACCAATCAAACGAGCGATTAACCAGACTAACACCAGCAATCCACGTGGATACTTTTTTCTTCTTCTCTTTAACTTTTCATCCTTGTCACTAACCAGCTCCCTAGTGGCTTTTCTTTCTCAGCTGGATCGATCGAAGAAGACAAGACGTTTCGGTTATATAAGTACACGCACTTAGCCATCTCACTAATTACTTTGTTAACGTCCAACTGAGAACTGACCCACAGATCACCAGAGACCAAGTCATGGAGAAAAGTTAAATCATTTACCACCATGGGCTGACTGAAACAACTGGCCCAAATTGGAAGTCGGCCGCCGACGAATCCTTGAGCAAGCTCAATTCGCAAATGGTTTTGTCAGCAGACACGGCACTTGCAGCAATCCCCTTCCACTTGTTACTTTCTAAACATGGTTTGTCTGATACCCTTTCCAGGCAGTTTAACAGAGAGTGAAAGACGATAGCTTAAGAAAGGATTGAACCAGTGCTTCATCTGAGATGGCGAACAAAAATGAACAGAAATATGCTGCTAAGACGAGAAACAACAGAACAACCAAATAGTGTTTTGCAGTACCAATCCTCATAGACTTAACTATGATGAAATTCCCACAACAAAAACATCAATCCAATTCCCTTCTCAAAATTTTAACAAACAAGATATGGCACTCATCTAAAAACCCTGAATCTCACTTTTAAGCAACAATAGATGGCTTGGAAGCAGAAGACAACCTGGATCTCTTCTTGGCCAAGCTCTCGCTGCGACGGTCTCTCTGCTCCTTCAATCTGGATGCAAGAAGCTTCTGGTACTCAGCAGCATCGGCATTGGCCTTTGCAACTCTCTTCTTCTTATCTGCAAGTCTTGCCCTCTTCCTCTGCAGGGTCAGTGGAGTGACCAGCCTCTGAATTTTAGGAGCTTTGCTAGCCTCCTTCCCTGTATCCACCCAAAAGAGAAGACATGAGTGAAAATTCAAGCATTCGTTTACATGTGTGTATGCTTCGAGTTATGCCAAGGGTGATCAAGTTAGATCAAAGGATGGTTACCGTTTTTGCGGGTGAATGTACGGCGGTAGGTGTTGACATACTTCCTCACATCATCGTCTTTAGAGAGATTGAAAAGCTTGCGGATCTTGGATGCCCTCTTGGGTCCCCTCATTCTTGGCTTCTCTGTGTCCGTCAGTCCAGGGAGATCATTCTCACCTTTCTTCACAATGACTAAGTTGAGAACAGAAAGGTCTTGGCTCACAATGCAACCACGGACCGACTTCCTTCTACGCTCTCCATTGCGCCTTCCATGTCCACGGAAGCATGGGGTTCCTGTTTAATACACAGAGTTAGTGGCTTCTTCTCAGCAACTCGCGGAAATAGGAGACTTTCTAAAAACTGCTTCAAGTAGGAACACCTACCTCTGACAAGCAAGAGGCGGACACGGCCAGGGTTCAAGACACCCTGCTTCATGGGGAACCCCTGCTTGTCACAACCACCCATGATCTTGAACACATACCCCTTGAATTCCTACAAAACAGAAGATATTCAACAATGAGAACTTGAAGAGATAAGTATATAGATGCTAGGGAAAATCAGCATATATCCATACCTCTCCAAGAGCATCACCGCTGACTTCCTGGGAAATCCTCTTGTCAAAAAAGGCTCGCCTGCATAAGTGAGTAACATGTGAATAAAAGGCATACATTTGCTACCACAAGTCCACAAGAATAAGAGCGACAGTATTTTACCAACTCCCTACTGCATTGCCATCTATCACAAATTCACAATCTTAAGAAAACCATTGCTTGACTAATGTGTCTAATCATTGAGCTAACATCTACTGTACAGACTTGATTGCATTATCTCACCACAATCACCTATAGCTATTCAAGTGGAGAAACATGGTAAAAACTAAGGAAATGCCTTGTCTTTCAGCTTCCCCAAGAAGCAGAATCATCAACAGATGAGACAGCAAGAGAAGAATTATAACCAACATAAATTTCTTTCCCCTTGTCCCAGACTACTTACTACTCAAGTTAACAGAAACAAATGTTGGAACTTGGAACAAAAAGCAAACCCAAAGCGAGCCTCCTTGCCTACTCCCAAGGTAGCACAGACTCTCCCAGATCATCTACACTAAGTAAATGCATCTAAAGAAGGTTTCAGTACTAAATCTGGCTCGAACTGGATTCTCACGAGAGTAAACAGATAAGCTATTATTGATTCGCTATGATTCACTAACCATGTAGTAATCCCTACTACTGACCCCTTCCTTCCTAATCGAAGAAAGATAGTCGTTCACATCCAAGCTATTGTTCAACTACCAATTCTAAAGACGGACGCTCAAGCTGAAAATATCCTACGAAATCCGAAAGAACATGCCGACAGCAAGACAGAAAAAGAGGAAAAGACGAAATGAGTTACAGCTTCTGGTCGTCATCGATTTCCAGCTTCTTCTGACACCCCGTTGTGGGGTTGGCGATATTGAACTGCGAACCAAACAAAAAAACAGGGACGAAGTACGGAAAGTGAGATGGAGACTCACAATCTATTAAAAAAACCCAGAAAGCTTAACGCTGAAAGCGAAGGATACAAACCTTCATGGCGGCCGGCGGAAGATGGAGAGCAGAGATAGAGAAGCAACGAAGAGGCTCAACGACTGCCTGCCGGGTTCTTCTCTCTGCCCTGCTATACTATCGCTTCTGCCTTCCTAGGGTTTTCAGAGAGACATTTATTGGATTGGATATTAAGGTTGGGCCTGCTCGTTAAACTCTCAGGCCTGGATAAAGCAGGGCTTAAACCTGCAGGCCCATGAGCTTGGGCCTTGCGCCAAGTCCCATCATATATATACCGGTAAACCAAATCCGTTAAGTCTCTCTAGAAAAACCCTAACCGCGGAGAAGAACAAGAACCCAAGTTCCCGCCGTCGTCAGAGCTCGTCGTTGCAGCCGCATCTGCTCTCTGTCCACAGTCATGAAGGTGGGTTGCATTATTCTCACCTCTGAAAGCTTCAAACTTTACATTCTTATTTCGATGGGATGAAATTCCGCCACGTCATTTTGTTACTTCCTCGATCTCACGATTGCCTTCGGTTTTTATTCTATTCGATTCATTGCAGTTTAACATCGCTAACCCCACAACGGGGTGCCAGAAGAAGCTGGAAATCGATGACGATCAGAAGCTGTAAGCCATTTTCGCCGTTTCTAGATTTTCTTTGTAGTTTGTGATGTGTTCCTTAAATGGTTTTCTATGCGCTCCTGGTTTATTTGAATTCGTAGTGTAGCATGAGAGTGCAGTACAATCAAATTGGTGACTGTCTTGTTTCAAACTGAATGGAACTGTGCAGAAACGGGGCTTGTTGGTTATGTGTTGATTGTAATAGCAAAATAAATCAGTAGATGCTAGCATTTTCCCATGGTATTCCCTTCCTAGTTAATAATGAGCTCCTTTTCATACTTGGAATCACGATTTGTACTGAATGTTTTACCTCATTTCTAAGCATTCATGTCAACTTGCTGATTAGATGCTTTAGTTCATTCATAAATGCGCTAAACCTCAATCCTTGTCTCGAGTCTACTGTCTGATATGTTCACTTTCAATCTATGTTTCTGATATTCTTTTGATGAGTCTATTGTCTGATAAGCTCTGTCTTGCGTATTCAGGCGTGCCTTCTTTGACAAGAGGATCTCCCAGGAAGTCAGTGGTGATGCACTTGGAGAGGTATTTGTATGATGATTTCCCCTTGCTTCTTGATGCTTGCCTCTTCAAATTCTCATTGGCAATTGTCTTTCATTATAATAGGAATTCAAGGGCTACGTGTTCAAGATCATGGGAGGTTGTGACAAGCAGGGTTTCCCAATGAAGCAGGGTGTCTTGAACCCAGGCCGTGTTCGCCTTTTGCTTACCCGAGGTAGGGGTTCCTTTATGAAGCACTCGTTTGAAATGCCTCCCCTTTGACCCGCTGAGTTGCTGAGAAGAAATGGCTTACCTTTGTGTGAAAATAGGAACCCCTTGCTTCCGTGGATATGGAAGGCGCAATGGGGAGCGCAGAAGGAAGTCTGTGAGAGGCTGCATTGTGAGCCAGGATCTTTCTGTTCTCAACTTGGTCATTGTGAAGAAAGGTGAGAATGATCTCCCTGGGTTGACCGACACAGAGAAGCCTAGAATGAGGGGACCCAAGAGGGCATCTAAGATCCGCAAGCTCTTCAATTTATCCAAAGATGATGATGTCAGGAAGTACGTCAACACCTACCGCCGTACTTTCACCCGCAAAAATGGTAAGCATCCTCTGATCTAATAAAATGAGAAAGTATATACAACTGTAGATTGGGTTTTGATTTTTTTCTTGTTCATTTTCCCGGCTCGCAGGGAAGGAAGCAAGCAAGGCTCCTAAAATTCAGAGGTTGGTGACTCCATTGACTCTTCAAAGGAAGAGGGCAAGACTTGCAGAGAAGAAGAAGAGAGTTGCGAAGGCCAATGCTGATGCTGCTGAGTACCAGAAGCTTCTTGCATCAAGATTGAAGGAGCAGAGAGATCGCAGGAGCGAGAGCTTAGCCAAGAAGAGGTCCAGGTTGTCTGCTGCTTCCAAGCCCTCTGTGATTGCTTAAAGAGAGGACCGGTTTTGTATGTCCCAATATGTGGCTCCTTGAAGTTCCTAATTTTTGAATGAGGTGTCTGTTTGCTATGATCAGTCGTAGGCATGAGGTTTGATCGTTACTACAGAGTTGGAACTTGCATCTGAGTTGTACTTGCCATTTTATTTCTCCCCCTCTTGTTTCTCATGGTTTCTTCTCAAATACAGTTCACAAACGATATGAATGCTTCAAGTAATCTTTATTTTTCATTTTCATTCCACAGCTTCTTTATTTCCATTCCACTGAACCGCTTCGAAAGTATGTTGGGAATCATATGCTAATATTATATCAAACAATTTACAATCAACTCCATGTAGAGCCAATAGATTTGGCAATGCCAAGCATGCATAGAAGCCTATCAAGCTGAATCTAAGAATGTATCAACCTATCCCTGTTTGCTGCAATTTCCAGACAACTAGAAGAATCAGATTCCAAGGTTTCATCTAATCTCCGTTCAAAACCTAGGCATCATCCAAATCTCGGCTCTGTGCAGGGACACTAGATTCATCAACATCAGCAGTTGACGGTGAAGCTTCATCATCTGCCGGACTAATACCATTGTCATCATTATCAGAAGCATAGTCTGATGCTGAGCTGGCATCCGTATCTTTCTCTGGACAGTCAAGCATAACAGTCTCAGGAACGTCAGTGCCACAGGTTTCCAAACGATGAGGCCTTTGACACAGCGTTTCCAAGTCTTCTTTCTTGACCACATTCAACACGAAACCATTATGGATCCTTTCAGGCTGTAAGAGGTCACCTTCAGTTACAGTTATGCTCGAACCACTAGTTGACGATGTGTCCCTGGGGGAAGTCAGGTTATTGTAAGGATCTCTCATTCCAACCTGTGCCCCTGGGGAGTTGGGGGAGGTATGGTTAGTGTAAGGCTCCCTCATTCCGACCTGAGCTCCTGGGGAGTTGGGGTACCCCGCCATCAATCCTCGGCCCATCTCAGAATCAGCGTCGAGATTCTGGACGAAATCCACGAACAAGTTCGCAGAATAAGTTCTCATCAGTGGCCCACCGGATCTTGTCCAGGAATGCACGTCGTTATTGCTCTCAGACTCGCTGTCGCTTCCTTCCCGATGCTTTCTTCCTCCGCTGGCAGATTGTTGGGACGAGGAGGCAGCAACATCTGTCAGGAAGTCCTCGAGTGACCCTGTGGAATTCTCACGAGCAATGCAGTTCCATGAGGGGATCCTTCTTGAGGCGCTGAACTTGACTGTGGTGTTGTTGCCAGCTGCGTTGGTGGGGAGACCATGAGAAGCAGCAGCAGCTCTCTGGGCGCTCCGTTTGAGCCGGCGCATGTGGTTGAGAATAGCGACGCATTCATCAAGTGCAAGCTCAATGCCGCAGTTGGCTTTTATGGCGGAAAGCTTCTCCCATGTTCCCCTTCTCCCTTGGTTGACTGCCTTCTGTAGCTCCACATGTGTTGGATTTTGTATGATTTTCGAGTACTGCAACAAAATGCAATTATTTCTCATTTCAGCTACCACCCACCCAGTTCTTCCCAAAGTTGCACTCTTTAATGCCATTATTCAATATTAATAGCCGAGTTAAGCTCGAAAGGGAAAATTTTGCACAAACCTGAGCAAGTGTTGCTGGCATAACGACAGTGACATCACCCTCCCAATCTTGAGCAAAGAGCTTGGCAAGGCCTCCCAACGGAAAGCCAAGTTCCAGTACCTGATTGCATCTATGTTTCACCTCCATCTCAGTAAGATGAGCAAGCTACAATTACAAATTAACCCAGAAATAAGAATAATTTTCTCTCTTAAAACATCACCACAGAGAAAGAAACCAAAGGAAACACATCAATAGAGACATCAGCAGGAATTTTACCTTGGCTGCAAAGTTGCCCCCATAAGCTCGAACGATTTCCTTCATTCTCAATAATGGTGCAATATGAGGGTTCGCCTGACTCACAATAAAATGATTAACATTGAAGAGCTCCTTCAACTGCATCATTGGTAAATCAATCTCTAAACTACCATCCCTCCATCGACGAGCAGATGAGCCCGACTTTTCGTCTGGATCAAGATTAAATGGTGGGTGATATGGAACAATTTCTCCACTCCTGTCCTTTGCCATCAATTCCTGGGCTTCAAAGAGTCCAGGAAAAGCACAAGAAGCCGTTACAGCACTCCATATCACAACATGAGGGGACGTTAGGTAATTGAGGCATCTTGGGGGTTCATGCTTCCTTGGGGAGCAAACTGTAATCCCGAGAATTCGACCTGTCATATCAAAAGCTTCCTGAAATGTCAGGTTACTTGTCAAATTCCTCAACATCCATTGCAACTGCCGGATATCATGCACAGCTCCTTGTATCATGACTCTCTTCACAATGGAAAAAATCCCACCCAACTGATCAAAGAACTGCAAAGACTGCAAGGAATCCTCAAAGAAGCTTTGCAGCTCTGGCCAGGACCTAGTGGCCACCACCGAACACATAATCGATCCCACACTCGAACCAGCAATTATACGTGGCAAAAGCTTATGTTCCACCAGGGTTTTGACAACACCCGCATGGAAGGCTCCAAGGCCAGCACCTCCACTCAGAAGCAAAGCTGTCCTTCCAAACGCATGCCTGGTTTCATGCATAAAAGATAGCTTTTCTTCAAGAGAGAGTTCCTCAGAGTCCGAGTCACAAACCATCCTCAACTGAGTCGATACCTCATCTATATAGTCCTTTATGAGCCTGGGAACATGAAGCCTGCCCTTGTGAAGCTCCGGATTGCACATGTTGCCCAGGTTCCTTATGAGATCAGCTCTCATGAAGAACATGATATCCCTCAATGATCCCTCCTGACGACGGTGGAGCAGTTCTTGAAGCTTGTTCCGTACCAATTCTTCATCATAGAAGTCTGATTCATTTAGCTTTGGGGTCTCTTTATCGAGCATCTTGGCAGCATGAGCCCACTCCTCATGTGTCAAAGCAGCTCTCATCATATTCCTCCAGAACTTCCTCCGATAGGCCATCTCGGCCCTCGTTTTCACATTCGCATATCGCTTCAACAGAAATGCTATGATTGTCACCATAGCCAGTATCCACTGCGGGTTCTTCGGATGCAACCACGACAACATGGGCCCCAGAAAGTCCCTAAATCTATAGATGTATTTCAACAAGGTATGGAAAATTTGATGCCTCAAGCTAGCTATTGACTTGCAAAACAGAACACGGAAGGCAATGGTCCTACCAAGGATGGACGATGGTCCAATTGGAAAATGATCAACAGTGGCTTCATTGCTTATATCCATTCCTAAAGCTCAAAAAGCTTCCTTTCTGGGAATTGTTTGATCGCTATATCAACCTCAGGGATACTTTCAAACGGGCAACCAGCTCAACACTGGGGGCTATAATCAAAAGGGTTCAAATCGATGGCAAACCTAAAGACCGAATTTGATAACTTTCAGATACCCTTCTAATTCAGGCACAGCCTCAAAACATCAATAAGCTGAAATTGGTCTTAATGGCAATGTTCATCAACTCGAAAGCTTGGAAATTGAAGATGAAGTTGGCTGATTGAACAAATGGGCATGTGAGAATTGAGAAATCAAACATACAAACCTATCTCATCGCTGAATTACGAACTGAATGATGATCTGAACTCACCCGCTAACACCCAAGATCCAGCTGACTGAACCCTAAACCCCGTGAAACTGGAAAGACGGGAAAATGGATGGATCGAATAGCGAGAAATCAAAGGAACCCCAAGACTTGGTGAGAGTGAATGGATTTGCTCTGCCGCTGAAACAATGGCGTAAAGCAGGGTGAAAGGCAGAGATAAAGTGATGATGGTTAAATACTTGGAACTCAGGAACTGGGAACTGGAAATGGAATGGAGACCATGGAAGAGGAGGAGGAAGAAGAAGAAGAAGCAGCCAAGTCTTGGGATTCGCGAAAGGATAGAGATTGGGATACGGTGCCGCGGCGAGGTTGAATGGGATGGTGGATTGGAACAAGCAGAGGCAGGCATGGCGGAAAATACAGGTTTTCGGATAAGATGGAAAAGAAATTATATTAATTTTCCTTTATTTAATTCGGCGGGCAATCCTCGTCAGCACATCGTAAATTCCACGTGTCGTGCCGAAAAATAAGGAAAAAATTACAGAAATATTATAAATTGTAATTATGTTACATGTCACATTGGCGACCCATCCCGAAAGTTGTAATTATGTTACATGTCACATTGGCGATGAAAATACAACACTGATTTGTTTTTATTTTAACAGATTTTTGTGTCAAGTCAATTTTGTCCCTCTTTTCCTTTATTTTGAGTTTTTGACAGTGGCCAAAATGGCAAAATAATTCTGAAAATCTTATTCAAAAAGATAAAAATCTAAGAAAGAAAGGAAACACACAACAAACACTAAAAACAAGTAGAACATGAATTGAAGGACAACAAGAAAAAGAACAAGAAGAGAGCATCGAGAAGCATCGCGGTAGGGCATCATTCGAGTGTCAATAATTTCTTCAAAGAGGCACGGGATCAATGAACAGTGAACTGATGTGATCCTTCAAAAGGTGGGAATTGACGATGCAATCACTATTCTCATATGCAAAATTGACCTAACGTGCCACGTTGAGCATCACATCCGCGAAAGCTATCGGGAACGTAGTTTGTTTCTTCCGACAGTACTCTTCGGTCATGTCTTTCCAACCACAAGAAACCTCCTTCGTCAGGAATTCAACCGCTTCTTCCTCTGACGCCATGTGCTCCTTCATAAAACATTCAACGGCAGAAGCCGCATGGTCCCTCTTTTGTTCAAGCTGTGTTCAAACAAAAACAAACAAACACTATGAAATCCAACTCCACTCTGTTAAATAGTCATGTAGACTCGTAAATAATTACGTACCTTGTGAGAGAAAATGTCATTTTGAAGCCCACCAATGACACCGCCAGCCTTCATCATTTTACACTCACTACTAGCTGCCCATTCAAAACCCTCTTTTGTGGCTATTTCTGGTCCCAGACCAACGAACGCAGCTGTACTGAGTATACTCATGCCGCTGCTGGTAATTCGGTTCGTCATGTACTCTTTCAGCGTCGGGACGGATCCTTCATCGCGCCAGCGGACCTCAACCAAGTAGGCTTGAGACAATCTCTTGAGCTACAATGTGCATAAAAATATGAAAAAACAAACACAACCTTGTGTAATCTACACAATCTAATTAATTACTAGATTACCTCTTCCTTAGCATACTCGACGCTAAAGGTAGGCCTTGCGCGTCCGATTTCCTTCTCGATTTCATCAAACAGATTAAGGATGGCACGATATACTTTCTTCATGTTGTCGGGCAGTTCTTGAAGAGCCCTGACATCCATCCTGAAATAAGCATGTACATGTAAATACACATGTGCATGCGCAAAATCAATCATGAGGAGAAAGCGTGCTTTATCAATCGATCTAATTAATCGATTTAGTACATGTATATATGTGGGTTATGCAGTAACAACCTTTGAATAGCTTCCGTCAAGACCCGAACCTCTTCATATGTAGCAAAGTTATCATAAGTGTCGTCTATGATTGCCAACGTCATCCAGACCTTGGTGGCTATGATTCTTCCCAACCGATATTTGGGCTCAAAATAGATAGCATTGATGCAGTAATAACACTCCACGAGCCGGTCTCTTACATAGGGGAAGTTGGTTTTCACATCGATATTTCTCCACCACCTATGTATGCATAGTCAATAATGTGATTAGTACTATGTGTATCTTTGGTTATACTTACTTGCTTTAACTAGTGATACTTATAGAAGGAACTAAAACCCACTCTGAGAGTTCAAGGAGCTCATGTTGATGGAAGTTTTGGGTCACGTTGAAGTCAAATTTTGCAAATGTGAGAAGCTTCTGATTCTGAGCCGAGTCCTCATAAGATAAATTATCTATCGAGTGTCTAGCAAGTGACCTTTGGTCGCATTTCCAAGCAGGAACGCGAAGGGCAAAGTCAATCTGCTTTCTGAATGAAGGGTTGATCTTCTTGTGTGTTGGGAGGATCGACTTAAGGTTATTCCTCGCAAAACTTAGGGCTTCATCCAATATGTCTTCTCCATTGAAGGCAATGTGCGCTGCCTCGTACAAGCTCAACAACCCTTTCTCATCTGTCACCAACCATTCCTTGAACCTTCTTTCGCTGTTCTTCAACTTGCTAAACCCATCTACACGTACATGTGTCGACAATTAACTAGAAATATTAGATTGCAACCCAATCTAATATAAAAACAACTATTCATACACGCACATACCTTGTGAGACAGAGAATCCTTGTTGTCGGAGAAGTCGGAACCGAAGAGCTGCACAGTAAAGATTTGTACCTTTTCCATCAAAGTCAGTGAACAAGTCTTCTCCCACGTCATGTACTTTTCCGAGTGCTTCTTCAATCTCTGTTTTGAAGTGATGTCCAACACCTAGTCGTTGGACTGCATCTATCAGCCGCAGCTTGTCAGCAATTACCGCGTCATCATCGCCATAGCTAGTTTTTGCTTCACTTATGACCATCTTCCTCACATCTTCCTTCAGAACTTCATACTTTTGGTCCTTTTGTTTTGCCTAACAATAAGTCAATTTTAAAAGTTTTGTCACCCATATACAAAAAAAAAAAAAAAAAATTGGATCGGACCAGAACTTGACAAAAATAATCACATAATTAAGTTCAAATGTTTTAAGTATTTCATATATTAACGTACATAATGATGAGACAGATCAACTTTGTCGAGGAAGCCATCGGCCCAGACTGTGCTAGGGAAGCTTAATGATGAGACCCGATCGGCCGCCACCGCGCCCGTGGTTGTCGTTGCCGGCTTAGCAGCAGCAGCGGCTGCGGCTGAGTGAAGTGGGAGCGATGAAGGAGACGACATAAGTTGAATGTGTTATGACAAAAAGGAAGGATCGAGAGACCACCATATATATAGCAAAATGGTTTTGAAGACAACCCATGTAAGAGTAATTAAGTAAAAGATTATGGGCAGTAAGAAAAAAAAAACAGCCTGAGCCCCCAGTTTTGCATCTCTGACGCTAGATACAGATAAGTTGTTAGAGCAGCAGCATCGGCTGCCATTTCCTTCTTCCATTCTGACGTGGCATGGGGTGCTGCCTATTTCATGGTTGCAGCCCCACTTCCATATAATGACAGCTTCCATATAATGGAAGAGCAAATGGAATGGATAGTGAGTACAGATTGGGTCCCACTCCACTTTATGTGTTTTTTTATTTTCTTTTGTGTGAGTTGTTTTGTGTGGGTTGGGTCCCACCCCACTTTAAAAAGTAAGTTAGACCCACCATATGAAATAGATAATGGATTTCATGGATGTAAAGAAAATGGAAGTGATATGTAGTGAAATGGAAAAAGCTGCTGATGTGGCAGTAGGGGCCACATATGGAATAGAAATGGTATTTCATGGATGTGGATGGTCTTAGTATCTATTCCACATAATTTATTATTGATTTATTTCTATTTCTTGCGTTACTAATTTATTATCCTTATCTGATGACCGCTTGCCGATAAGTTGGGTAAGGGTTATCCTTTTTTCTTTTGGTGGTTATTGTTTTTACTTTTTTTTATATATAGATTTTATTAAGCCAGATTAGAAGTTGCCACCTCATCAAAGCAGTGTGATTTGTCGGAAATCAATTCGTATCCGCAAGTATTAGAGCTCTTTTAGTAACAACTCACATGGGTCTGTAGTTTTTTTTATTTTATTTTGCAGCGTTGCGGGTGGTGCTGCCACTGATCGCCGGAATATGCTCACCTTCGCTAGAATTCGTCAATCATTATTTTTCCATTTATACCAATAATTATCTTTTTAATTAAATGTAACTTTTCCTTTTTTTCGATCATTTAATTTATTAGCACACTTTAGAAAGAGTGAGTGTTTTATCTCAAAGTTCACCGGCGCCGGCTATCCAACCCTCTCTATTTCCTCCTCGAACAAACACAATTGAGGGACACCGAAGCATAACCAATCTGAGTCATGCAATGCATGTACCTCCCTTAATTAGCTTTTGTATATATTTGGTTGGGGTGGCCGCATTGATGTCTTGGCTGATTTTTGTTTCTTATTTCCTTTAATTAATAAAAATCAACATAATTCTTATAAAAAATTAAAATAAAAAACAGATAACTCCCTACATTTAATTCCTCAAAATGATAAAAGAAAATGAAAAAAAGCGAAGGGGAATGCAAGCAACAGCCAAAGCACACATACGGACGCAGAAAGTATATCGCACGCACGTGGAAGGATTTTGTCAAGACGTCCATCAACTCGTTTTGCAGCTGCCTGTTCAAGTCTAAGAAGGCTAAGACCATTGCCTCTCTAGACTTGAATCAGTAGCATGAAAACATTTTAGTGGTCCATATTTTATCATTTCATTTTTGTCCTGCTGAAACTGTCATCTTTATTCGTATTTGGTTGAATCTGAAATTTGGAGAACACCATTAGAAATTAAAGCATGATCATCTACTATAGCTTAAAAGCTAGAGTTCATTGGGTCACCAAGAAAAGAAAGAAATGGATAGCAGCAGCAGCAGCCACCTTCCTCTTCCCCTGCTTTTGTCATCATTCCTACTCATCACCGTCTCCTCCACCATCTTTCTCCTCCTCAAACTGTGGAAGGAAGTCTCAGAACAGCATGAATCGGCGGCGCCGCCACTTCCTCTTCCCCCAGGACCCAGAAAGCTTCCCATCATCGGAAACCTGCACAACCTCTCCGGCTCCAAGCTTCCCCACCACCGCCTCCTCGAGCTGGCCAACGCACACGGCCCTCTGATGCACCTCCAGCTCGGCCAGCTCCAAACCATCGTCGTCTCCTCCGCGGAGACGGCGAAACAAGTCTACAGGACCCACGACCTCACCTTCTCCAACCGCCCGCGTCTCCTCCTCGTCGATATCATATTCCGCAACCGCGACCTCGCCTTCGCCCCCTACGGCGAGTACTGGCGCCAGCTCAGGAAGCTGTGCGTCCTGGAGCTGCTCAGCGCCAAGAGGGTCCACTCTTTCGGCCCCATCAGGTAGCCAGAAGTTGAAATTATGTGCCTCCTTTTTTTCTCCATGATTAGGGATGGAAATCGGTGCAGTTGCGGTTAATCGCAACTGAAACCTACTCATATACGCCAACTGCGACTACACCGCAAATGATTTGCGGTTAACCACTAACCGCAAAGTGCGATTAACCTCATTACAAAACATTCTTATGGTTTGGGGACATTTTGGTCTATGGTTGTGTCACGGTTAACCGCAATAACCGCGATTAATCGTAGGAAACCGCGTCAGTAATCGGTTAACCCGCAAACCGCAAAACATGCAATATTGCTAATCGCGATCGCAAAATACATCATTTTCTGGTTTGCGGTTAGCCACTGACCGCGCGATTTCGGTGCGGTTAGCGGTTTAACCGCAAAACTGCAACCGAATTTCCACTGTTACGTAACCCATAATATAAATAAATTATTTCGATTTGGGATTTCATCACTAATACATTTTTTACCTCACTTTAAATTAGTGAGTTCATTCCCTTCCGTATGGATGCATACAGGAATTTATTTTTCGTTTTATCATCAACAAAAAGAAAAAAAGGAAGAAAAAAAAAGAACTTTCCACGTGTCCCGTGATCACAAAACCCAACCCCTCTGACTCCACGCCATTGTCGTCGTCAGGGAACAGGAAGTGTCTCGCTTGGTCGACGACGTTCGCTGCTGCAAGAGAGGCGCGGCGGTCAACATTAGCGCGATGATTTTCTCACTAACGTACCGGATCATATCGAGGGCTGCGTTCGGGAAGCCGTACAAGGAGCTGGAGTCGTCGTTCGTGCAACTGACCATGGAGATGATCGAGATCGGGAGTGGGTTCGGTGTTGCTGATGTGTTCCCGTCTTGGGAACTCCTCCTGCTCGTCACCGGGGTTCGATCCAGATTGCAGAAATTGAAGCGGGAATCGGACCGGATACTCCACAGCATAATAGAGGAGCACAGAGCAGCAGCCAAAGCAGGGGAGAGTGTGAAGGAGGAGGAGGAAGATCTTGTGGATGTTCTGTTCAAGGTTCAGCAAAATGGAGACCTTGGGTTCAAACTAACCACTGAAAGTGTGACAGCAGTACTCCTGGTAACACCAAGAGAGTGTTAGCACCCTATCTCGTCCCTATATATGTCAATATACTAACTTACCTCTTAAAACAAACAATTGTGATTCTTTTTTGCAGGAACTTTTTTTCGCAGGAAGCGAGACTTCATCGACAGCACTGGAATGGGCCATGTCGGAGCTGGTTAGAGACGAAAGAGTGATGAAGAAGGCACAAGACGAGATTAGGGCGGTGTTTGGGAAGAGAGGGGAGGTTGAGGAAACGGGGATTCACGAACTGAATTACCTGAAGATGGTGATCAAAGAAAGCCTGAGGCTGCACCCTCCGCTGCCTCTGCTTGCCCCTAGAGAGTCTCGGGAGCAGTGCGAGTTGGGAGGGTACGGAATCCCGGAGAAGACCAAGGTGATAGTGAATGCATGGGCCATCGGGAGGGATCCAAAGTACTGGAGTGAACCCGAGAGATTCTATCCGGAGAGGTTCTTGGATGCAACAAGTGTCGATTACAAGGGGAATGATTTCGAGTTCATTCCGTTTGGTGCCGGAAGGAGGGTCTGTCCTGGAATATCATTCAGTATATCTAGTGTGGAGACTGCGCTCGCTAATTTGCTGTTCCATTTTGATTGGAAGCTTCCTCAAGGGATGAAGCCTGAAAGCCTGGACATGGATAAACTATTTGGTGCTACGATTAGGAGGAAAAATGATCTACACTTGATTCCAACAGTTTGGCAGCCATGATCCCTTAAGAAAAAGGCAAATAAAGAAAGATGTCATTGTGGAACCCCAATCTGCCTTTTTGCGGAGAACAGAAATTATGGAATATTATCATGGTAGCTATCTTCAATAAAAATCAACTGAAGCAGCAATAAGATGAGAGTCTAAGTTGCTTAGATTATATCCTATTGAATCAATTGTGTGTGTTTTTTTTATATATATATACTGGTACAAGACTTTCTGCTCCATTTTTCCTCGTAGACTAGCTAACTAGTGTGAGAACCACGCTTCTAGGGATTCTCGATACTGATCTTCGGCACTCGTGATAATTAGGGATTTAGGGTTTGAGAGAAAGAATTAGGGATTTAGATGAGACAGAATAGAATTGGGAATCGGCCTAAGCCTTGGATGGGTTGAGACGAGAAATTAGGAGTTGAGAGGATAACTAGGGTTTAGGAGACTGTTCTTAATATTCTTCTTGATTCCTTATGACGTAAACCCAAAGTACATATATATAGGGATAATACGAGAAACCCCTAATGATAATCCTAATCCGACTAAATCTCTACTAACCATAATTATAATTATCCTACCTAATATAATAATAGAAACCCCAAATAAATGTGTTTCTGACAATCCATCCCCTTGAAAACAACCTTGACCTCAAGGTTGTAGTTGACTTCTGTCTCCTTGACCTTCCGCTTTCTTCGTTTCCAATTGCGCTCGATCCCTTGAATTAAATCTTCTCGTGTAACTCCCACTTTCCTTGTCTCTTCTCCACCCACGTGACATGTGTCAAGTTCTTCATAGCCAAACAATCCACCTTCTCCCTTTTCAAAATCAACGAAATAAGAATCGGAGAATTGTTCTTCATTTTGCCCATCATTACCCACCTTGAGATCTTCCATGAAATGCTCCATAAATTCCTCTATGGTTTTGGTGGCGAATTTAAGCTCTAGCCATTCCCAATCTTCTTTTCTCTTATCCTTGATTTGGCCCACAAATACTTGGAAGATAGAGGTGTGGCCCAAATCATTGTGAAGCTTCTTTGTGTTCTTGTTCTCAATTTTGTTTGGGCTTGGCTCCCTTATAAGCCCACTTGCTAACCCAACAGAATTGACTTTCCAAGCCATTGAACCCAAGTCAAGTTCACTTGTTTCTTGAAACCAGCAGATCCCTTTCTTATTCGGCCCATTGCTAAGATCCAGCTCAGCCCACTCCAGCTTAAGTTGCGACCCCAGGCCCACCACATCCTTCCCATCTGAATTGGAGGCCCGATTCGCGCGACCCACCCAACAGGCGGCCCGCATTGCTGGGCGAACTAGGGTTGGCCGCCCATCCTTGGCCGAGAGAGGAAGAGTATCGCCGCTCTCCTTCGTTTCCCTCTTCGATAGGGCGCAATTTCCCCGCCACGGCGGCCCACCAGACCTCGCCGTCGACTTCAACCTGGTCGCCTCCTTCTTCTTCGGCCTTTCCTTTTCTGGCCTCGACGACCTTGCTGGCTCGCATCGGCGATGGCTGCTGACGCAGTCTCCCTCATCGAGTAAATCCCCGAGTTCCAGGCCGTCCCCGCCCGAGTCGCCGTTCGCTGGGAGGAGTGCTCTCGTGCTCCTCTTCTTGCGAAACTTCCAACCGTCGATTGGAGGATTCCGCGGACTTGTTATCAGTCCGGCTATGGCAATAGCAGCTGCTGGTGTTCCCGCAAGGATGGTGGTCCAAGCTGGAACAACGACGACTGATGGCGGTGCCTTGTTCGACTTGGTCTCTGCTGCGATAGGCAGCACAGTTGTAATGGGACCCAATATGCGCAACAAACTGAGCGAGTATGCTGCATCCTTCTCGGTTGATCCCTTCAGCGTAGGTGGCAGTGGAATGAACAGCGGCGATTGGTGGAGGAACCGCAATGGGGGTTCGTGGTGCAGCCGTGTCTTTTGTGGCCGGCGAATCCGCCACCATCCTCACGTGTGGCGTTGTTCCGCTTCGCTCGAGCTCGATTGGAAACGCCGGTTGTTCCAACCAATCTTCAAAATCCATGTCTACGACGGCAGCCTTCAACAATGGCGGTGAGTCTTCCTTCATCGGCTCCTTGGACGCGACGGCTACGGCTTTAGGTGGAGCTGCCCGCGCAATGTTCCCGGACAGCGGCAAGGACAAGGCAACCTCGTTCTTCCACAACGCTTCCAGCTTCGACTTCAACATCTTTGTGAGTTCGCTGACCGCGAGCTCTTCGAATCTCGACATGGTTCTGGTACGAGTGCCTGCAACCGGGCTCTGATACCACTGTGAGAACCACGCTTCTAGGGATTCTCGATACTGATCTTCGGCACTCGTGATAATTAGGGATTTAGGGTTTGAGAGAAAGAATTAGGGATTTAGATGAGACAGAATAGAATTGGGAATCGGCCTAAGCCTTGGATGGGTTGAGACGAGAAATTAGGAGTTGAGAGGATAACTAGGGTTTAGGAGACTGTTCTTAATATTCTTCTTGATTCCTTATGACGTAAACCCAAAGTACATATATATAGGGATAATACGAGAAAACCCTAATGATAATCCTAATCCGACTAAATCTCTACTAACCATAATTATAATTATCCTACCTAATATAATAATAGAAACCCCAAATAAATGTGTTTCTGACAACTAGCTAGATCTCCACGTTTGTCATCTAGAAAAAATTTTCTTGCTTATTAGTCATCGACTTTAAATCTTTATTTCATCATTAATTACTGGCCATTTAATTTCGTTAAGTTTGTCCTAGGTGACGGTCGAATATAAACTTAAACTGTTAGCTATTTGATGTGCCAACAAAAAAAACTATAATTATATACCTCATCCGGCCACCACCCAATTCCAAAGATGAGAAAATTAGTTAAAAATAATACAATTTCATAAAAATATAATATATATGTATATGTATCATAATATAAAAATATGTTTAGAAAATAATGATCATTCTTGAAAAATTACATATGCATATGTATAGTTTGAGCTCGAGTATAACTCATATATATTAAAAATCCTTTAGGTCCGCAATTCTGTTGTGTGAATATCAAGTTTGTTCAGTCTGGTTTATATCATTATGCTGACTTAATAAGTGACATGGTCTGATCGAGTTATAATCAGTTCATATGCCAGTTTTGACAAAACATACAAGGAAGTGGAAGATCATGGACCGAATATTATCAACGTTGTTGTCTATTCCTCGGACAAACACAAATTGAGGGACATCGAAGCGTACTATGTCGAGAATGGCTGCTTCTCCAGCAGAACTCGATCGGCGGGTGCTGGCGTGGCGTGGCAGTCGAGAAAGCAGATTGGCGAATTTTTAAGGTAACGAAACAGTCAACGTGGGACCACATGTTCCAAGTTAAGTAGTGAGATTGTAAGAACATGCGAAGTCGAGAAAAGCAAATTGTCCATTTATGCGAAGTTGGGGTCGTATTATATTAGGGGTTTTTTCTTTTCTTTCTTTGTCATAGATACTCCGAAAAAACAAGCATCATAGATGTGACATATACAAAACTTTTGCAAGACATGTCAAACAATGGAAGGAAAAAGACGTTAGTTGACAAGTGTACTTCAAGAAGGAAACATGAGCAAGGTGGGTCGGTTATATATATATTGACCCTTCAGAGGCAGGCCGGACAGAGTCATGAGAGGATCAGGGGAGGGTCGAGACAATTTCTAATCCTAAAAATGAATGCTAACCTTGTATGAGGTAGCAAACATTGCGTTCAGTGGAGAAGGCATATATTGGATGAAGTCCTAAGTTTTGCGACGAAAAACCTTAAGACAATCTTCCCAACACACAACAAGAACACTAACCCTTCACTCCATAAACAAATCGACTTCGCCCTCCACATTCCTTCTTGGATATGTGTCCCAAGGTCACTTATTAGGCACTCCATAGATAATTTCTACTCACGTTTGCAAAATTAGACTACTACATATTTTAAATTTTGGTATTATATATCATCATTAAATTCAAGCAATTTCACATAATCAACTGGTTCAAAGCGAACTAATCAACCTATCATTAAATTTTGGTATTATATATCATCATTAAATTTTGGTATTATATTGAAGGAACTTGCACACGGTCACGGATAATACTAATTAAGCATGTGAGTGAGAGACGGTGGCAATTGGCATGGTTGCATGTTCTTCTGGTTCTGGATCCACCAAACACATACCCTATTAAGTATTAACCATCAATCTAATCTCATTGCCACACCTAAACACGTACTTAAATCACATTTAACTCTTTTTCTAATTCTCCCTCGAGGAAAGCTAGTTCGTCAAATAACGCATTTCTCCCTTATCAGTATTTTTGACAGATCACACATGAAAGATGTGGAATCGGTTATTGGTTAAATTATGTATTGATAACCAAAATTGTCACAAGCTTTTCGTTACTATTACCTTAAACTACTTATTTGATATGATCTTACTATGCAGTAATTCATTTTCCTCCACCATTCATGGCAACAAATTGCTGACAGAGTCGGCCCATGATTTCATCAATCAAAAGTCAACTTGATGAAGAGCAGAGTCAACAGGTGAGAAACCAACCCATCTCTGGTCTGGCTTCAATTCACCAGTACCACAGGCAAGAAAGTTTCAAACACGACATGCTCTTCGATTCACATTGACTGAATCTTATAATTCCAGTGGCTCAAAGGTGCCATCTTTTACTTTTGGTATTGACATCACCATAACATACTACTTAGAATATTCAAATTTCCGCAGACAGAACAGAATAAAGAAACAGAGAGGGAGGCAAGCCAATAAGATGATTACCTGTGTTCAAGTCAAAATCCACAGCTTCTGGAATCTCCTCTGCTTGCCCATTCCATTCCATTCCAATCTCAACTTAACCAATAATCAAATCTCTTTGCCTTCCCCAAATACACAGTTCTAGTGATTCCAGAAACAAATGAATCCAGAGAAGCTTGAACCTGGGAATGCCACAGATTCTGAATTCTCAGTCACCTCTTCTGACACCCAATCTGTCACCTCAGAGCAATCGTCTTCTTGTTCTTATTCTTCATCATCAAGAACACCCAACAGCAGAAAGAAGTTTGAATCATTCGATTTCAGAAGACCAAACCAGAAACAACAGTCTTCGGTTTCTGATGATGCAACAGCGGCAGCAACTTCATCGCCAAATTATATGAAGACCACCACTTCCGCTGTAGCAAAGAAGAGTAACAGCGATTCCCGGGTAAAGAACAAAAAAAATTCCCTGATTCCTTGAAACCCAGCTCTGGTATTGAATTCCGGCATCTTAAATTTCCCTTCTTTTTGATCGGGTTGCAGAGATCAGGAGGCAGAAGTCTTACTAGGAGAGGCAGTTTCATGAAGCCTGCAAAGGGTTTGACCAGGCTGTCTAGCTCGAAATTCAGGATGAGGAAATCTTTCAGAAGGGGCAGGCGAGTTAGTTCAGTATCTGATGATGTTGATTGGTCTTCTTCCGATTCTGAGGCAAGCCAAAAGGACAACTTTTCCCCTTTATCCTTTTAAGCAAAGTTTTTAACTTTGTGATCTGGATCTTTTGAGAGGGATGACTCATGGTTTTTGTTTTCCAGGGAGGAAGGACTGGTGGGTCCAAATCTGTGAGGACTTTAGTAAAGGTGGCAAGTCTGAGAATAAGGAGGCGATCTGGATCAAGGGCAGCGAAAACCACTAGTTCATCAGCTCTCAAGGATTCTAAGGCTGCAGGAAGCCGCTCCGATGGAAGTTCTTCTGTTGCTGATGCTGCTGCTGGAATGAAGGTTTGTCCATACAGCTACTGTTCATTGCACGGCCATCACCATTCCAATAATGAGCAAGCGCCTTCACTGAAACGGTTTGTATCAATGAGAAGGCGAATGTTGAAACCCCAGACGAAGATTGATAATCCATCTGAGAAAGGTAGCCAGCAGTCTTCTTATAGTAAGAGGCCAAAACGTTCCTACAAGAAAAACCAAGGGGATCAAACCAAAACGGGGGATGTCGTTTCTGAAAGTTGTGAACTTGTACAGGCAGCTAATGGCGGCAGACAAAATTCTTGCGTCAAATTAGAAGGTGGGCCATTAGAGGCCGATATCTCCAATCTCTGTGAAGGTCACAATCAGCCACAGTACACATCAAGAGGGAAAGACTTGGTCACTTCTCCTTCTGCTGAAGGACAGAATCCAGAAATGGAAGATCACCATTCTGCAGATCATAAGCCTGATGGTGGCCATCTTTCGTCTGAAAGCTCTATGGAGAAGAATAATTACATGGGATTATGGGGCTTGATCTATCAGCATATGGTATCCGGAACTGCTGTGACAGATGGTGATGAATCTCAGCAGCCTGAGAAAATTGGGGAGCAAGATGTTGAGGAATCTTCTGGAATGGATCAAAGAGCTGATGCAGAAGTTGATTCCCACCAGCATGATGCAATCAAGTTGGTTCAGGAAGCATTTGACAACATCCTGTTGGAGATTCCGGACCCTTTATCTGATAACCAATCTGTGGGTTCTGTAGACACAGCTTCTGATGAGCTTGGAGACAACAAGAACAACAACACCAGTTCTCCAACGGAACAGGTTCAACAAGAGCAAATGAAGCTGGAAGCTGATATTTCTAACGGCTCTGATCGAGATAAAGCAGAAGCACAGGTAGGAAACAAATCTGGTAAGAAAAGGCTCAATGGTTGGAGCAATCTGAAAAAGATTATGTTAATGAAAAGATTTGTCAAGGCAATGGAGAAGGTCAAAAACTACAACAACACACACAAGCCTCGAGGTCAGTCTATAGAGCAAGAGGGGGAAGCAGCAGAAATGGTTAATCTACGTCGTCAATCGATTGGACAGAAGAACTCGGAGGAATGGATGCTTGATTATGCTATTCAGAAGGTCATTTCAACAATGGCTCCAGCTCAGAAAAGGAAAGTGGCTCTTATTGTACAAGCATTTGAAACAGTAGCACCTCAGGGAGAAACTGGCAGTCATGCAGCTTCTTCTACTCCGAGGACTCCAGTTCATACAAGTCGCGACATCTCAACTCAGAAGGTCCATGAACAGGAGGAAGAGAACGCAAGATTTGGCATCCTACTGCGCAAGGTATCTACTGGTTCCAAAGAGAATCACGATCAAGATGGTGGTGCCTGCACAGTAAAACAGCAAATCCATGTGCCTTGTCCTGAACCAGAAGTCGATGAACTAGCTTCGGAAAGTGGTGCTGCAGACTTGAATCCAGCTGTTCATGATGATACTGGTGATTTGATCAAGCTCGAACTAAAGTCCGGTGAACACATTGATCCAATTGGTGAAGAACCAGATGAACCAGGATACCAAATTGCAAATAGTACCCATCAGGAGGAACCGATTCTAGACAACAGTTTTGCTAATGATGCATCTGAAGAAATCACAAACGGAAATGAGAACATTCAACTAACCACTGCAGCTGAAAGCCCTGAGGGGAAGCAGCAACATATGAAGCTTTGGTATCTGATATACAACCACATGGTTTCAGAAACAACACAGCCGCTTGAAGAAAATGGTGAAGAAGAAGAAGACACACCCAGTGGAAGGAATGAGTCTCGTTCTCAGCTCGAAGCCATAAGGCTTGTGGAAGAGGCTATCGACGAAATCCCTCTTCCAGAGACTCGAGACGAAGTACAAACCTCGATGATTTCCCATGTAGAAGAAGCTTCAACTGGCTGCAACAAAGGGAGACTTGAAGAAGAACCCAATAGCTCAATAACAGAAGTGAGACCAAGTTGCAAAGAAGATGGAAAAGAAAAGGAACAGGCAAAGCCAACATTAAGGAAGAGCTGGAGCAATCTGAAGAAGGTGCTATTGCTCAAGAGATTCATCAAGTCATTGGAGAAAGTGAATGACAGCCGCTTGACTTCCTCGGAAAGAAAGGTCATTAGTCCAAGGGAACCACAGTTTCTGGCTATGGAGCATGAAAAAGAGGCAGAGAAGATCCAGCTGAGGCACCAGAATGTAGGAGGTAGGAAAAGTGGTGACGAATGGATGCTTGATTATGCTCTTCGACAGGTCGTAGCACAACTGACACCGGTAAGGAGAAGGAAAGTTGAGCTGCTGGTCGAGGCTTTTGAGACTGTCACTCCTATTGGCAGCTGAAACCAAACTGCCTTGCAAGCCCCGCAGATAATTCCTTGTAGGTGTCGAACATACATTGTAGTGAAGTAGATTGTTGCTTCGTCATTTTTGTACTGGTTTTGTATGTCTGCAATTTGATCTCTGCACTCTGTCTGTAATATTTGTCACTGCACATAATCTGAAGCTTGATAAATAGTGATGAGCTTGGCAATAAAATTCATGCAGAGAAATGGTATATAAAAGAGGATAATGATACAGCTCAGGACTCTTGGTTCTCCCAAGTCCCACCTAACACTTAACAGAACAATTTCTCTAAAAACTAGTTCCCATGAAACTGCATATTACGAAATATTACAGAACAAAAGAAAAACAAACGAGCAACCAACTCTCCCAAAAGAAAAGAGATAACATACGCACAAGCATTTGTGGCTTTCATCTGGCAAACAAAAATGCATATCTCCAGTCTTATTCATCTATTCTTCTTCTTCTCCATCTTTGTCCTTCTTTTTCTTCTTCTTCTTTTTCTCACTTTTATCAGCCTCGCCATCTTCCTTCCCGTTAACAGCGCCTTCATCACCTTCCTTCTCTTTCTTCTTCTTTTTCTTCTTCTCCGACTTCTCCTTATCCGGTGAACCAGCCTCTTCACCGTTCTTCTCCTTCTTCTTTTTCTTCTCCGACTCTTTCTCCGCTACAACAACTTCCTCTTCACCACCCTCTTTGCTCTTCTTTTTCTTCTTCTTCTTCTCCGACTTATCATCACCACCTTCCACCTGCGCCTTGGGAGTTTCCTCTACCTCAACATGATCAACCTTAACCTTCTTCGTCGTCGCCTCAGCATCAGCAGGGGTATCATCATCATGTTTCCGCTTGCTCTTCTTCTTCTCGGTTGCCACATCAGGAGTAGGAGCAGCAGCATTTGTCTCCGGTCCAGCAGCAGCGGCAAGACTAGCAACCATCGAGTCTCCACCAGTAGGAAGAACCAAGTTCCTAGCCCATTCATTGGGTGTCTTCTCATTCGGCTTCCCATGCTTATCCAACTTCCCTTCCGAAATCAGCTTCTTCTTCATCGAAGCCCTCGGACCCAGCCCCCATTTCCTAGGATAAGTATCCCTGTCCATAACCACCCTCTTTATCTTCGCCACAACACCATGATCACAGGTAGCCATCACAGCAGTGGTCATCTCAGCAATCCCCAATGCAATCGCCTCGCCCTTAGTTGTCATCAGCACAACTTCCTCCCCAACTTCCACATCATTCTCAAACCTCAACAACCCGGGAATCATCAGCTTTGCACCGTAGCAAATTGCATTCACAGCAGAATCCTTCACCACCAGCCTTTTGTAGCTAGTCAACAGCACCTCGAGCGGCATAATCACCCTCCTCAGATAAGACTCATCCCTATAGTTATCATAAGCCCACTGAGCATCCATCACATCGTGCATCGTGACCATGTTATCCTTCTCACCCAAAATCCCAGATCTAACCCTCCTAAGCTCCTGCATATGCCCTCCAACACCAAGAACCAGACCCAAATGGACACACATGGTCCTCACATAAGTACCCGCCTCGCACGAAATCCAGAACACAACCAAATGCCTATCAACATCATACTCCAGCAGCTTGCTCTCATAAACAGTCCTAATCCTGAGCTGCCTCTTCACAGCAGAAATCAGGGGAGGCCTCTGGAAGACAGCTCCAGTCAGAGTCTCCAGCGCTCTGGCAACTTTAGCTACATCGGGGACCTTATCGTGCAGCCTGGCCACACAGACGTACTCTTTCCCGGCCCCCTGCTGCGACTTAACTAGACGGGTAGCTCTATCGATACAAACGATCAAGTTACCTGTAACTTTCGGGTCGAGAGTCCCGCTGTGGCCGGTCTTCTCCGAGCGGAGGATCCTCTTGATCCAAGCGACCACCTCGTGGGAGGAAGGGTTGGCCGGCTTGTCGAGATTCATGACACCATAGCGGATGTACTCAGCAAGGGGACGCTTGAGCGGGGAGTAGCCGGAGGGGAGTGGAGTGTAGTGTCCGGTGCGGACATTCAGGCGGTCGTAGTTCTTGAGCAGGATGGGCCACTGGGAAGTGTCGATCGCCGGTGTGAAGCTCTGGGGCTTGATCAGGAAGTCTCCGGCAGCGGCGGCGGCGGAGCCGTCTTTGGAAGGGGTCATGGGGTCGGCCTCGGTCTCCGGGGCAGTCTTCTTCTTGTGCTTCTTCTTCTCCGAGCGGGAGACTTCAACTTCCGACATTGTTGGCTGGTGGTCTCGTGGGCGAGACCAGTGGCTGTTTCTAGGGTTTGTAGGGTTTAGGGAGTGGTGGCGGAGGTTTTTGCGGTTGAATTAAAATGCGGACTTTATAAGTGTTAGGGTTTTGGATTGATGGGGTTTAGCTGGGGAAGACGACGCATTTTGGGAAAGGGTGAAGCTCTGTTTGATTGGGCTGAATGGAGTGGGCCTATTTCTATTGGAGATAGCTTGATTGGTTTAAGCCCATTAGAAAGACATAAGGAGTTCAAGCCCAATGAAGAATTAGTTGAGACTTGAGACTGAGTGGAAGCTAGCTATGGACTTACCCATGACCCAAATTGATTTGGCTTCAACTTCTACTAATCAATTTTCATGAATGTACGTGATGCAAGGTTGTCAACCCGCGGGTTGACCCGGACTCGGTCGAGCTAGTGGGTTAAGGGTTATTGGGTCAACCATTTTAGCCCGGTTTGACCCGGAAAATTCACACACACTTATATTGTACTTATCCTCATAAATTATATCAAATCTGATCTAACATATGAGTTATAACATATAACATTACACCAAAATAACATATCGTACTTAGATCCAACATATAGTGAAAATTCACACACACTTATATAACAAATGAATATTCAAATGTTCAATTTAGGATTCCAAAGATTGAGTTAGGCGGAAAAAAAAATGGAAAATAGGCGCATTTCGCAAACTAAAGAAAAAATGACAAAATTTGATCTCCAACCCGGTACCTTGTAGCGGTTGGCCCGGCGGGTGCCTACGGCCCGTTTTTCTCACCGGGTCAGGGTCAAAATTGGGTCGACCCGCGGGTTGACAACCTTGTCGTGATGTGATGGTTGATCAAATGGTAGTATGTCACTCGAAACGTGTGGATAATTCTATTGGAGATAGACGACGCATTTTGGGAAAGGGTGAAGCTCTGTTTGATTGGGCTTAATGGAGTGGGCCTATTTCTATTGGAGATAGCTTGATTGGTTTAAGCCCATTAGAAAGACATAAGGAGTTCAAGCCCAATGAAGAATTAGTTGAGACTTGAGACTGAGGGGAAGCTAGCTATGGACTTACCCATGACCCAAATTGATTTGGCTTTAACTTCTACTAATCAATTTTCATGAATGTACGCGATGGTTGATCAAATGGTAGTATGTCACTCGAAACGTGTGGATAATTCGAGTGTGAAACTTATCCAACTCATCCATTGTCCGTCCTACCAATGAGTGCTGTTTCTTTGAATTAGAAACACGTACGTACGATTAAAACGATAAGTTCACGCTCAAACCTGACCGCTTATCTATATTATCCTCTATCCGATCGAGTGGTGTCATGGTTCTTGAACACCAAGTGATATAAAGGACAGTCTATAAGTCTTAGTTTATAACTTATAAGCCCTGGCTTGACCATATATTGTTGCCATTTCAGTCTATATGCGCCATTTTAATAGTGTTGCAGATTTAATTATTTACAGTCAGGAACCAGGAATCAAGCAGACTATGGCTGCGTGCAGGCTGGATAGCTTTGACCAAAACTTTATCAATATTAGCCCCTCAACTTTGACCGACTGATCACTACTTACGGTCAGGGCCGTCCCATGATATTCGGAGGCCCTGTTCGAAAATTTGAAATGTGGCCCTAAAATTTTTCTCCACAAATTTATTAAAAATAAAAATTATTAAATAATTATAAAAAAATGCATAGTGTCAGAAAATGATTACAAAAGAAATAAATGATCACGTTTCTAGTTTGACGAAGAAACCAAAACCAAATTCCCAGGACTATCTAATTCTTCGTGGGGGCCTTGTTCCAAAATTGAGACGTGGTCTAAATTGACTTTTAACTATAATAAAACTAAAATGACTGTAATATTTTTCTACATAGTTTAAAATAAAATTAGGGTAATGTCTATTTTTCATCCAAACCTTTTTCAGATTCTTTTATATTATCCAAACCTATTAAAAAATTTTAATTAGCCAAATCTTAATGCACCAAAATATTAGTCATTTTTACGTTATTGTTAATAATTCTGTAACTCTTTTCTTAGTTAAAATACTAAAATTTTGGAATCTTGACCTTCATGTGTCTCTTCCAAGTCAGTATCATGTTGTCAAGTCAATATTACTAACAAAAATGCTAACCGAAAGTTAACATTCGGCTAATTTTTAGTATTTCGATAGGTTTGGATATTATAAAAGAATCTGAAAAAGGTCTGGATAAAAAATAGACGTTACCCATAAAATTATCTATTATCTTTCTTATTTTCGTAGTCTTCATGATATCATTTTTAATTGTTATTATAGCTAAAATTATCTATTAAAATCGTTATCATACTCATTATCAATCAATCATATACTAAAAATACAATCTACAATGTACGATCGGTAACTAACGGATCTAAGTGGAGGCCCCTAATATTCGGAGGCCCTGTGCCGGAGGGCGGGCCAGCACACCCTCTAGGCCGGCCCTGCTTACGGTCTCCCTTATTACAACGTTATGATCGTTATTATCGTAAATCAACTGATCTCAATAATCTGAATTTTTGAAACAAGTTTGCATATGAGCTTTAATCGTTTTCTAGCATGCTCCCTCAAATGAAAATCAATTCACGAGTTTGAAATTTCCACAGACCCGTCATATCACGTGCTTTTATGACGACGGTTTATAGTGGGGTCGTGAGGATTTGAACATGTAACATCAAGAACAAACCAATTCTATACCATGATATCAACCAACTCGTTCCAATAACTCACGGGCTTGAAATTTGTATATTATCAACCATACGATGTGTTTAAACCAACTGGCAACTATTTATAATGAAATTATAAATATTCGAACACACATCCACTTGATTATCAACTTTAATACTATATCATAAACCAATAACTCTTGATAACTCGAATTAGTGAAAGAAATGTTGACCACTTCCTAACTGCGTCTTTGGATTTGTGGACGGCGGTTATGCTACGCCCTCTCTTTTTTTGGGTTGCTGCATGCCTGCCGACTTGCTGTGGCATGAAGCACATAGCACAATAAAAGATCTGTCCAGTGAATTGAATAGATTTCCAACTACCCTTATGTTTATAAAATTCTTCAAAATTTGTTTAGTCGAATACTCAACAAACATTTATTTCATTATTTGTGTGGAAGTCACTGTTAGCATGCCCAGTCACAGTCCATTATTTAATTAATAAGAGTCACACAATGACCAAATGAAGTGTTTTGCCTTCGATTTTCCCCCTCCTGTTGGGTAGGGCAGAGTACATGTGATATTTCGTATTTCCCCAAATCCCACACGGCTCTCCTCGTGGATTTGATTACAATAAGACCAATATAGTTGGGGATCATTAGTGAATGTCAAGAACCAGGTGCTCTCAATAACTCGAGTTGTTGGGAGAGGTTCAATCGTGGATCATATACCCCAACACTAACACGCCCCCTCAAACGAAAGCCAACCCACGGGCTTGAAGTTTGCACAGGCCCACCATACCATGTGCTTGAAAGACAACGGTTAATATTGGGGGTCGTGGAGATTCGAACACATGACCTTTCGGTTCTAGGCTTTGATACCACGTAAACAACCAGTTGCTCCCAATAACTCGAGTTGTTGGGAGAGGTTCAATTGTGATCATATACCACTCTCTAACAGTGAATCCCTCACTAAACTATCATATTTCTCTAGCAAGTAACTAGAGAGACGGTAATCCTATCTATCATCGATCATCAATTTTTTTGTTTTCCCGCTCAAATTGTACCCAATAACATGCTTGCCAAATTACGTATTCGAAGTAGTGGTGGAAAAAGATCAGATGGAACCTTTAACATACCGCGGGGTCGGGAGTAGGAAGTGATCAGGGTGGTGGTTTTTTGGGGGGTTTAATTTTGCTGTTAGAAGTTAAAACTGGATCGAGTCATAATGAGTTTTTAAGAATAAGGTAAAAATGCACCATCTTAATTTGTTTTCTAATTAGAGTGCATGAGACTCTTGTAATGTTTAATTTGATGCTCGATACACCGATCTTAGACAAATAAGAACAAAGTGACTATTGTGTGCAACCATCGGTCAACGTCCCAAACTTCAATGACGAATTCGTTAAAAATCAAAACTTTGATGACTGATCCAGGGAATGAACTCACAGTTCTCTTTTGACCTCTCAACAAGTGTAGTGGCCATTTAAGCCTTTATTTTAATCTGACCCTTCTCTCCCCTTTCCTCTATAAATACAAAAGCCAAAGGCATCTTGAACGATCAAAATTCCCTTCAGCAACTGCCAAACAAGAACAAAAACCTAAAGCCCTAATCCTCCGCCTCTCCCCTCAATTTCCCGGAGATCCCCGCTTCTTTCCGGTAATCTCCTCGATCGGCATGGCCGGCCTCCAGTACAACTTCTTCCCCACCGATTTCTTCTACCCTCGCCCGAAATCCGTCGCCGGAGCCACTGATGCCGGCCAGACGTCCTCCCTCCCTATTGTAAATCGACCCGACGGAGCATCCGCCGCCGCAGCCGATCGCCCCACCAGCCTCGTCGTTCACAACAACGGCAACAAGCCCGCCACCGCCGTAGAGTACAAGAGGAAGAAGAAGTACAATCACCTGGATGGCTAGATGATCACTTGATTAGCGTTACCACCACCATCATCAAACCGTGATCTGGCCGAATCGGATCCGCTGCTTAATTAACATATACGATGATTAATGAGGCAGTAATTTCTTCTGTTCTTCATTACGGCGCCCCTGTTTCGCTTTGTCTGTACTGGTAATTAGTGGTACTACTGATGCTATGTATATGTAAACGTGTGGGTAATTAATAAGAGTTTTTGAGTAAAATTATACGTAATCCCAGATTCCTGATTACCAGCTTTCTTCCGGCTTAATTGTTTGGCATTCTTGGTATGGTGTGAATAATTAAGCCAGAGATCAAGCTCATGGGATTTCATTGCTCATAGGGCGAGAAATAACAATACTCTAATGATATGATAATACGCGGGGGTTTAGAACCCAAAAATCGAATATTCGAGATCCGCGCAATCAAGGAATGGGGAATGGCCGGTGGCTTGGGACCAGAGAACGCTCCGGCGAGGTAGATTCTGATTCTGGATGGTTGATGGTGCGCCACGTGTCCGTTTCTCAGTGGGCCTAGGGCGGAACTTCTGGGCCCGCAAACGGGCCGTCACCATTAGAGCGGACCGAAAGCCAGAAAGTACTATTCGGTTCTGGATATCAACTTTGGACGGGAAGGCCGTCGGAGCCTCGCCGCAGATAGTCGCCTGCAAATTTTGAGATCGCAGCAATTGCATTAGATTGAGGCCAAAATGAAAAAGACGCCGTTGCCGGGGATCGAACCCGGGTCACCCGCGTGACAGGCGGGAATACTTACCACTATACTACAACGACTTGTTGTTTGCTACGGTGGGAGTTGTTTATTTTGTACTAAAGTTGGATGAAAGTCACGTTTAGTTTACTTTGTTGGTTGATTGACGAACTTGAGATGGAGGACCAAGGAGAGCGATGCTCCGACCAGTAGCTCATGAAGGTAGATGTTCTGTAACAAAATTTGCTTTCGCCTTTCTTCATTATGCATCATCTGTATGGAGATATGAGACCGAGAAAAAGCCAACTTCTTAGCTGGAAACTAACTGATGCAGTGCAGCTCAAGGATTTAGAATTAGAGGAAGAAGCTGAAGATTTCTTGTAGCCATTCTCTGGATATAAATCCCACGGAACTGCAAGAACACTGTATCTTAGGAAAGTTGAGAAATGTTCATTTTGGATCATGGATTCATCGCTAGCACTGAAGTATAGTTGGATCAATCGGTATGAGTTTTGTTACACAATACACAACTATTTTCCCTTTCCAGTACTACAAAGTATAGTCTTCCCTGTTTATTTTTCTTCTTAGGGGAAAAGTTCACTGTTGCTGTATACCTGCTGCATCAATCCTTCCCCAAGCAGCAAAGAATAATTGGCAGGATTATCAATTCAGGGCTTTTTGCATGTGATAATGGAGAACTTTATGAGATCCTTGTTGAACCCTTCTATCATCAATGGCATCACTAATGCTCCTCTGATGGTTTTCATACCTGTTCACCGTGATCAAATCCAAGGTAAAGCTCAAATGAGTTGCCAGGAAAGACAGCCTTCTTTTACTAGACTCGTCATTTACTTGAGTTGGATCAAATCAATGGCGAAAGAAGAACAGGGTTACCAGTTCGGAGGAGGGAAGTGAAGCCCTTCCATGTGAGGGCGGACCGGATAACTGCTGGCCAAAATGGGGCAACATTCGCAGACCAATCTGCTGTTCTTATATCCTGCAAGTAATGAAGGCAAGGTCGTTCAACAGTGAACCCAAAAAAAAGGCGATGTGGGTTCGTTAGTAAGTTCATATATATGTACCTGGAGATTGAGGGATTGGAGTAGTTTGACATAATCAGAAGTGGAGCACCATTCAGGAAGATAGTAAGCCTTGCAGATTTTGTCAAGGTGATCTTTCTCCCACTTGGTCAAGGATTCCTCACTAGGCCCAAGATCTCTGTGGCACCATGTCACAATTATTATGGTGGCCCCTGGTGCTGCAACTCTAGCCAACTCACTCACAAACTGCAACCAGGAAGACCAACAAGGAACAAACTTCAGTAACAATTGAATTACAGTAGAAAACGCAGGAGATTATCAACTGGTTGACCCTCCTAACAATGCATCATGAACTGTCAAAAAGGAAAACAAAGAGAGTGCATTATGAAGTATAGTTTGATTGTGAGAATGCAACAGAGACCTTGGGTTTGTCAGGCATATGCTCTCCACTCTCCATGGACCAAACCAGATCAAATTCCCCATCTGGGAATGGCTGATTCAAAGCATCCCCAACTTGGAAGAATGCCTGCTTCATTTCCCACAAAAAAAAAAAAAAAAACAAACAAACATCATTAAACTCTCACCATCTTCCACAACTGAAAGCAGTAAGAACCAAAAGATTGGATTTTGGAGGGCAGATGAAGAACAAGTTTCAGAAAACACAACAAGACCTGGTCAGCTAAACCCTGAGCAGCTGCTAGAGCATTGGCTCTCTGGGCCTGAACAGGACTGAGAGTGATCCCCTGACACTTGGCTCCATATTTCCTTGCCAGGTACCTGGAACTCCCACCAATCCCACACCCTACATCCACCACTTTCTTTGGCCTCTTCTCTGCCTCCTCTGCCCCCCAAAATCAGAGAAAACCCACCATCAAAATCCTTCTGAAACCAGCTAAAAACTACTCACAAATACGAATCCAATCCAATCTACACCCAGGTTAACTAAAAATTTCTAAAACTAGAAGTATACAAACCCGACCCTATTGTACAAAGTACGCATTTCTTTAGAAAGGAAGAGGGAGGTCGAACCTGGGACGGCGGCGAAGCGGAGTGATTCCTCGATCATCCGAATCTGGGCGGCACAGTGGTCGGACTCGGACCCGGAAACCCGAGAGTCGGGTTCGTAAAACCCGTGGTGCATATGCTCCCCCCAAATGTCCTCCCACACGCCGGAGGACTCGTCGTAGAAATCAGCGATCCCCTTTTTGAGCTGCTGCTGTTCTTGCTGCTCCATCGGGGTTTCTGTCGCGGCGGCCGCCGCCATGCTAAGTCCCCGGTGACGAGAGCGACGACGAAGTGGGGAAGCTCGAGTACGGAAATTAGCGCTGGAAAGCGATGATTGGTGGTTGAAGGAATATGTAGGGGGAGCGATTATTGGCCGGCACCGGAGTAACGTCGCCATGTGCAGAGAGAGAGGTGGGTAATTTTTTTTTGTTCGACGTTTGTTCCCCTCCTTCGTGGGTGTTATGAGACTGCAGAGATTTTTGGTGCAGGCTGCAGAGTGACAGAGGAGATTGGGGGAATGAGGTGTGGGGACGGAGAGATGATGATAATGCCAAGAAAGTACAGTGCGGACAAAATGATTTTTGCAGAAAGTTAGGCCAATGGATTTGAGGGAAACAAACAACAAGCTCGTTAATCTGACGGACCATTTTCGCTCTAGAAGGTCAAATTTGGAAAAGAAGGGAAAGAAAGGACGGGAAGGACAGAATCGGAAGGAGGTTGTGAGAGAGGCCGGCGCCGGAGAAGAAGCGTTGGATTCCTGCCGGAGGAAAAAGAGGAAAGGGGGGAAAGTGTCCTTGCATAAGGACTAGTACTTCCATTAAGGCAAAAACTGTATATCACATGCAACTACGACACAGAGTACTTTCCCCTTGCATCACATGACACGAGACTCCACTCTCAATTACTACGATCTACTTCAAGTCAGTGGCGGATTCAGGAAATTTTTATAGGGTGTCCTCTTTCAAAAATTAAATTAAATAATTCATAAATAAAAAAATATCTGATTAGTGCAAATATATCATATTAGACAATAATTCCCGAACTGATCGCATATTCAATTTCTAACATTGTTCCTGATGTAACTCAAACTTGAAAGACTCTTTCAACTCTTGCACTATACCTATAAAATCAATTCAAATTAAGGATAGCTTGAATGAGTTTAATTGTTAGGTTCCGAAAATAATTGGGAATAAAGAATAGTGTTATTACTATAACATAGTATTTGAAATAAAACAACAAATGAGTTGCAACCTAGAGAATATGTTTAATAATAGTAGCATCCTAGGTTTGAATAACACATAGTACTACTTATATATTTTTAATCATACGCAAACTACTACCGATGACAGGATAATCGTTTTTCAAAATTTATGGCTGTCTTGGATTACCAATTATATATTTTTTTTTTTATCCATACGAAACTACTACCAGGGGTTGGATAATCGTTTTCCCAAATTTTAGGGGTGTCCCGAGACACCCCTAAACACCCATGTATCCGCCACTGCTTCAAGTTACATAGCCTTGATCGATACCCTCTTTTATAATGATCACATTCATATCATCTAGGAATTTTATATGAGAGGCTAAAAGATCTCATTCGGTTAATCTATTACTATATGAATTCGATCTAAAAGTCCTACCACCTTAATTCACTTAATTAAATTTGTTAATCACATTTATACATGGTTTTTTTTTTTTTTTTGAGTTATTTCATGACCAACAACTCATGGCAACCCAACCCAGCCAGATAAAGATTCGGTTAGATATAATTCACGAACTCTGTCAGCCACATCCTACGGTCTTTATCCTTCTCAACATTAACCCATTTGTCATTAGTGTGATGTTCTTGACTAATACTCCATCTTATTATATGACTTGTTTATCTCCCAAACCAGCTGAAACCTCCCATCATCAAAGGTTCATCTTCTAAAAGGGAAAATGTTATGGCATGCCACAATGGGGAATGTACGGGTTCATTGTGTAATGAAAGTATGAGGTGGATTTCTTATTATTACTATGGTAAACGCATTGCTGATTTGTCTAATCATTGTCTTATTCGCTTGGATTATAAAATTTGTCGGAGCGATTCAAATTGAGTGGATCTGAATGTCGTTTCAGTGTATCTTGAATAACATGTACTTGTAGTTGTAGTGCAATCATTTTATAAATAAAAGATCGAATTTCATGTTATTGATAATAATAATAAAAAGAGATCTCGTTTTGAGTTGAGATTGAACTTTCCAAATTAAGAATAAAAAATATTTAACCGTTTAAGATTTTTTTTTTTTACCCACTTCTTAATTGAACAAGCAAAACTCATTATTTAGTGGACTCTTTTTAGGATGATCCAACTCCCACATTTAGGCAAAGATAGTAGTCAACATTCACCCTACTTTGCAAGAGTTTGTTTGCCCTATATTTTTTACTACCACATGGCAGCTACCACACACCCAACATAGCACATGACTAGGACCAAGTGTAGCTTACCTTGAGAAACATTCTTATTGGAAAGCTAAAAAAAGAAATTGTATCATCTATCTATATGATGGGAAATTCTACTTCGAATCTGATGACATCAACAACTCCTCATAATTGGATAATCTTCTTTTTCTCTAGTCGATCAAAAATCAAAAAGAAAAACGAGCACTCCATCTATGTCCAATAACCATGAATGACGCAAAGCTAAAACCAACACTGCTCATTTTTTGCCTAATCTCATCTCTAACCGTCTTTTGTCGATCTTGTTATGCTAAATGTACGCATTTTTGGTGGTAACTCTTCCATTTATTGTTAGAGTTTTTGTAGTTGTTTGATTATCAATGAAGTTTGTGTTTTGTGTATTGATTAATCAACAGGCCACGACCATGATCAAGAGTTCAATTATGATGAAGGAAGTGGGAGAGGGCCATCGGAATGGGGCTCACTCGATCCAAACTGGAGAGCCTGTGGGGAAGGGAAATCTCAGTCTCCGATCGAGCTTTACCAGATGGTGAAACATGCACCAGAGCTTGGGAAGCTTAAGAGAGCCTACAGGGCAGCGCCTGCTACCATTGCCAACAGGGGACATGATGTCGCGGTAATGTTCGATGTAACGTGACTGGTCTGTCAGAGGGTCAACCAATTCGGTCTATGTCTTCCTTGTTCCTGCAGGATATGGTTTGCATTATCACTAGACGAACGAATTTTCCCATTTAAATTTTAGTAATTCTGAACTAATTCGAGTCTGCTAATAGGGGGTGTAGATACAACGTGACACCATTGAACCATTCAAAACACACCTTAAGTTATTGAAGTTACATATATGTGTGTATGGTCAGGTGACATGGAAAGGAGATGCAGGAAAGATCAGGATCAATGGAACTACTTACAGGCTGCAACAATGCCATTGGCATACACCAAGTGAGCATTCAATCTATGGTAAAAGGTAATATTGGTTGTTTAATTTAAGTTGCATTGCATTTATATAATTAATTAATTTCAATAACATTACATAAAAAAAAAAAACCCTAATTGATGCTTAGGTTTGACATGGAGCTTCACATGGTTCACTCAAGCTATGATGGATCAATTGCAGTTGTCGCCTTCTTGTACATGTTTGGAGAATCCGACCCATTTCTCTCCATGGTAAATTCTAATTTATCGACCCAACAACTGAAATTATGTGAGGGGTGTAACAACAATATCAACTCGCGCAAACGCTTCCTTCTTTACACCGTAATCGAGTAGCTCAACACATTTTTTTTCTTCTTCTTCAACAGCTACTGCCACACATAATCTCACTTGGTAAAGGAGAACACCAATTGGGGAGAGTGAACCCTAAACAGATTGGATTCCCAAGTGAAAAATACTACAGATATGGAGGATCTCTCACAACTCCTCCCTGTACAGAGGGTGTCATTTGGACCATCTTCCAACAGGTTCCTTGCTAATTATGTGATCATCTTTGATTTAAGTGATCATTTTTCTTTTTTATGAAAGCAAATCTTTTACTACGTTCTTTTCTCTTGTCACTCAATTGTAGGTGAAGATGGTTTCTCCATTGCAAGTGCAAGCTTTGAAGAATGCCGTTGATCCCGTAATAAGTTCATTTGCTGATGCCTCTTTTGTTTTTGTAAACTTTGGTCTCACTATTCATTTTTTTGTATTTTAGACTTTGCTTAAACTTCTGTTTTCCTTAAATTTCAGGGATTCCAAATGAATGCACGTCCAAGTCAACAGTTACATGGAAGATCAGTTTATCTGTACCAGTAGCCACTAAGGCATCGTAAAAAAAGAACAAACGCTGTACAAATCTGAAACTACTACCTTTCTTCTCCTGTATTGGGCCAGACCAAGATAGTCTTAGAGGTAGAAGCCTGTGGTGGGCTGTAGCCTGTAGGCTGGCCCAATAATTTGTGGGCTTCAAGGGCAAGGCTTACAGGCTCTATTATGTATTTTGGTCACATAATTGATAATTGGTTTTTTTATGTGGACAAGATGCTAGAGCGCTAACAATACCTGGTTTTTACTCAATTTTGCATCATAAAATTGTAAACCAAACAACTAATAAAACATCGACAAGTATGTTAACAACACTTCTTTTCATTGCCATTTCTAATAATCTCATTATAAGTTGGACGATTAAAACGAACATCCACCAGATAATAGGCCTCTTTTTCAATAGAAGGATGGTCAGTTTCTACCTGTTCCTCTTACAATATGACAAAATAGGAGCTCAAAAATTAAAGTTGTGCCCTTTATTGCTAAAAATTGGCAAGCATGGAAAACGAATAATAACACTTGCCACGTGGAAAACGTAATTAAAAGTAAACTATGTAGAAAATAGGCAAATAGCCCAAGCCCACCACTTGCATTAGGAGTTTGTAACTTTGTACTTTGTAGGGTAGTGGCCGCCACGAAGGAGACCGTGTTAGGTGTCCCCCAAGAAAAAAAAAATATCTAATTTTATAATATAGAATTATTATTAACTCCTCAGCCTACCCAAAATGCCACGTGTCACAAACCCGTTGGTGGAGGAGGGCCTATTTGACTCTTTTCATTTCAGGCTATGCCGCCGGTCGACACGCCGCACGGGCCTACCTAATCCCATCTGCTACGACGTCGTGTCGCCGATCCAGCGGACCACGGCCCGCTCCTCTCGCTCCATCCTGGCCCTTCATTTCTTTCAATAATCGAACCACATGGCTGGGCCCCATGTCTTGTAGATATTCTTTCTTTCTCCGAAGGCCCAAATTGCCAGAGAATTGGGCCCACCATGAGTAGCGAGCGATGTTGTCAGAGGGAACAACCTTGGATATGGATATCTTTCGTTTTCCTAATTAATTAGGAGAAGCCACCATAGTTAGGTGGATTAGTGATGAAATCTGGTATTATGTTAATAGATTTTGTGATGGTCTTAGCTTGATTTAGGACTTGTTAATTGTTTGGTAGGCAATTTTGGGGGATTCAGCATGATAGTGATTGCATGAAGTGGTGATGAGGGGGAATTCCTATGTGTAATACTGGAGGGTATTGCCTAACCTAGCTAGCAATTGACTTAGCTCAAAATGGGCTTATATAAAATTCGTCTATATGCTCATTATTATTGAGGTTTCATGATAGCGTAGTATACCTACACATACTTCAAATTATTATTGTTGTGAAATCGAAAGTGCCCTTCTCTTGGAATTATCAATTGATTAATTATCGAAGATTCACAACATTCACCAGCCGTTGAGGTAAATATTGTTCATCGATTTTCTTTTATGAAGTGAGAGATGATGACGACCCCTAAAACTACCTACCCTTAGTAGAAGTGACCGGTATGTTATTCTTAGTGCAGTAGTGGAGTGAGGAATTTAAATGATGGCCTGATGGGGATTGATTTGAACTGTGATAATTGAAGAAATTTTACTTATAATTTTACCTAAATTTCAAACTTGAAAGGGGTACCAACCCCACATAGCTCAAACATAGCTCATCTACTGCCTTATTGGGTCCTATTTTAAAAACATATCTAAGTTTTCATGTTAAGGAAACAATGAGTTGTTTCGAAATCACTATATCAACTTTTCGCATTTGCAAATCCTTCAACACCATATTCTGCTCTTCAACAAACGCTTGATATTCATTCTCTTGTTAAAAACAAACGCTTGATCGACACGATAAGCACTGAAACAATTCTTCAAATGACGAATTGAATGGGTAATCCATTAATCAGAACTCGTCAATAATAATACGATTCAAAGAAAAAGTATCTACCTTTTTGTGTGTGTACAAAGTGGAAATAGAAATCCACTCCTTTGACACAATCCAGCTAGTCTTTTCCTTGTCTTCGTAACTTATGAGTTGTAGAGAACAACTCATAATACTCAAATCCCTTTTCCTGTCGAAACTTAAACCTTAAACATGGCTGATTAAGAGCATCCTAATGTGAACAACCCATGACAGATGACACGCAAGCAGGAAGAAAAGTCAAAAGACAAACAGATAGAAACAAAGAGAGGAACTCCGTGTACTACGTGGCAGATGACGACAAAGAGAGGTTTCGCTAAATTTGCCACGCTGGATCGGCATGCGGCAGGCTGTGATTGAATAGTCAGCATCTTTTGAAAACAACTGGACAACCGGCCCAAGGTTTGGCCTCTCGACCGAACCTCCCGCTTCGGGACACTCCGAACCAACATTTCTGGTTCTGATCCGCCCGCCCTATAAATTCGCTTGCGGACCTTTATTTGACGAAGAACCCCATCATCGCCTGCTCATTCTCCGGCCAGTCAGCTGCTTCGTCGCCGGTCGGTTTTGATCATCGCGCTCACTTAACAGGTACCAGATCTAAGTTTCTCTCCTTATCTCTCCTTGTTTCGAGGATTCGATTCGATCATCTGTTTGGTTGCGGAGAACAGGGGAAAGGGAGAATTAGAGAGAGTGATCCATTCTTCTGGAATTCCGGTCGTGTGATTTTATCGCTGAACAAACGGTTGGTTGATCGCGAGGGTCTCCGATCTTCGGCGATGTTCATTTCTGGTGTTCGATTGTGACCTTTTTTTAGGTCGTAGTTCTTGCTTTGGATGAATAGTGGATCTTTCAGCTGCCATCGTAGTCCGGGGGACGAAAATACTTTGAATTTTGAGCTGGAATTTGTACCAGACGTTTCAAACTAGGTGGGGTTGGATTTTAGTGGGATAGGATTGAGATTCTCTCCTTTTGACCTGATCTGGGAGATGGAAATGGTTCGATTGATATTGAAATTGAGAGCTTTCCAGTGATTTGTTGGTGTCTGAATTTGATAATCGGGTTTGGGATTGTGTTCCCAACTCCCAAGTAAAGATTCAAACTTTGAATTGTTGGTTTTCCAGGACAAAGAGATTACAAGAAGCTTGAGGAGAAGAAACAACAAACATGGCAGCAGTGGTATCAGGAGGAAGGTCAACACTAAACCCGGATGCTCCTTTGTTCATCCCAGCTTCTTACAGGCAAGTGGAGGACTTCTCCCCGGAATGGTGGCAGCTGGTGACGACCACAACATGGTTCAAGGACTACTGGCTCAGCCAGCACCAGGAACAGGAAGGCTACTTCAACAATGTTGCTGAGGAGGACTATGACGTGGCCGGCTTGCTGCCCGATACGTTCGATCTCGATGTGGTCGGGGAAGATTTCTCTTCCTTCGAAGCTCAGTTCGACGAGTTTGTGGAGTCGTATGAGACGGAGAAGAGATCGCCTCGAGCTCTACCCTCCTATGGAAATGGTATGCAATACTAGGGTCCATAACTCGATTGATGTTGGCTTGCAGCATTTGTTTTACTAGCCCCCTTGAGATGTCTTGGTGTTCCAACTTTCTTTGTATGTCGACTAGGGTATGGAATTGGAGGTGGAGCGTCAAGGATTGATGTAGGCTTCAGGGCAGGGATCACTGCAGCCGTGGGGAGCTCGAAATTCGGCTATTAGAAGGTGATGAATGTTGATGAAATGAAGTCTTTGTTCGAGTCCCCAAACCACCAGTTTCAGCAGCAATGTCAGTCAGTAGAAGGAGAGGACTATTTAGTTTGGTGTAGCTTTTTAAACTTTCTGGGTTTGGGTTTAAACTTTAAACGTGGTGTATTCTGTATAGAGTAAAGAGGCATTGCAGCAGCAAGTCTCTTTGTTGTATCAGTACTGGTCCCTTTCTGTTGTTGTCTTTGGTTCCCTTTGACCAAAAGGAAACTCTAACGAGCCAAAACAAGTAATAGGAAGGGAAAAAATGTAAATTTTCTTTAGCAATGGGAAACGTAAAGTTATTTCCACCCTTAACGGGAAAGCAGCTTAGAATGTCATCTTTGAGTCTCCTTTTCTCCACCTTGTTCAAGAAGGGCATTTCATCGCATTGGTTTCCTCCTGTGATCTCAATGGCTTGAGGTCCAGTGATACAGCCATGAAAGATGTGCATTGTTGCAGGAAGAACACACCATGACGGATCCATGATCTACTTGAAGAAGTCCATGTTGACGCTCTCCCAAGCTCGATGTATTTTGTACCTCGTCCAACACCATTGCATCTCGAAAGTCACTACGCAATCTTCAAAAGTTGAGCTGTGTTGGTTTCGCCAAGTCTCGGACAGACTTACCTACCTCCTCTCCCTATGAAATGGCATTTCATTCGAGAATGAGTGCATATCATTCATTGTTGTTCCATCCATTCAATCAATCAAATCAATTGATGGGTTCACGACTTTTGCTTTCATTAGTTACTTTGGCACTCTCTTATGTCTTTTTGCCGCCACCAACGGTAGCGACCGGCACATGGGGCAGGCAACAGCAGCTTACAGCTATGCTTTCGTTTCCTTTTGTGTCAGCAGTGGGAGGAAATGAAGGAAGGAATAAACTGAATTCAGCGTTGGTTGGCACGGCCCATTGGATGCCGGTCGACGGTCGTAGGATCCTATGATCATTAAAATACAAAACCCCACAGGGAACGGCCCAGCTCATCGACGACTCCGCAAACAGAAACAAAGAGGAAAGTGCTGGCCACTCTCAATGATAGATACATGATACATTACATCTGCTGTCTACTACATAAGTTATGCATTTTCTTATTCTAACAGAAGTTGGATCAACCAATGGAAGCCATTTGACCATCAACCTGATTGGAAGTCATTGCCTAGAGTGGTTTTCCCTCCCAACATCCTTTTCTCTTCCTTTATCCTTCTCTCTGTATCTTTCCTGACAAATGCAATTGTCTCTGTGAAAGGAACTCGCCGAGGAATCTCGGCTGTCTAAGGACATTTCGGAGACGAACTCCTCTTTGACAAATGGCAATGCAGCAAGTTTTTAACTTGTCAGTATCAAGAAGATCAGCTGCTTGAACAGGGAGGTCTAAGAAGCCATCTCATGAACAAGTTCCAAGCTCTGCTCTTCTTCGAGTTGTTTCCTCTTCTTGGCTTCAACCCTCGTCTGGTTACCAACGGCATCTGATATAGCCTTTGGTAGCCAAAACCCAGGCCTCTCCAGGAAAGGCGCTCGGTCTAGAACCAATGGCTCTCTCAGTGTGATCTCGACCTCGTCGTACGTTCTCAGGGTCAGTGTAGCTTCGCCTTTAAGACCCACCGAAAACCAACCTAACCCAGCTATTGAAATATCGATGCTGTTTGTGTCCCAGCTGCTGCCACTAACCTTGACTTCCCTTGTCTCCCATTCCCCCAGCTCACTCGCTCGTTCTTTGCCCACTGGTGGCTGCAAACCAAAAGTCCACATCAATTATATCACTCGAGTTACATAGTCGAATGATATTCATGGACATCGAAGCAAATGGATAAAAGGTACATGCATAACTGGAATAGCTGCAAGGATTGAAGAACGTACCTGCAACCGAACACCAACATGGTTACTGTAGAACTCATCTGCACTTTCCAACTTTCCCATGTGAAGAGACATGTTTGGTGATGCCCAAACTGTGATATAGATTGTGTCTACAGAAGCATGGTTAAGGTCCAGTCTCACCAGGCCTCCCATATGAATCGCATTCCCAGCCTGTGAAGTTCAGTAATCAATATTGTCAAGAACACATATTACATTGTTATGTTTATGCGCCAGAAATGGGTCTTACTAAAGGTAACATGTAAGATGAGAACTTCAAACACAAAGTGATATTTATGAATGTTGATCGCTTCAGAAAGAGCAGGAATCAAAATGGTTAACGAAAACACGAAAAAGAGTAACCAGTTCAGCTAAACTGATTGGCAACAAGTACGACAGAATTCACACCTCTTGAAGTTACGAAATCATAGGTGATGAAATGATGGAGAACACTTACTTTTACCCTATAAGTTCGAGGCTGCAACTCCTTCCGTATCTCAATCATCTTCTGCTCATCTCTGTCCAATCTCATTGACATCAGGTTCGGATGTAGAAGACCTGGAGTATCATACAACTTTGCTTTGGCTGACAAAATCCCCCCAATCCTCAAAATCCCGAGAGTCGTACCAGGAACAGGAGCCTCCGTAAGCTTGCTAACTTTAGCTCCTCCTTTCTTTGCAAGCGCATTGATCAGTGTAGACTTACCAGCATTCTGAGCACCAATAACCCACACATTCCCACGAGGACCACCCAATTCCTTCACAAACGACAGCAAGTTCTTCACGCCAAGATCCTTACGTGAGCTAACCAGAAAGACCCCACTCAACTTAGGTGCTCCAGCTGCCCTAGCACGGTGTCTCACCCATTTGTCCAATCTAGTGGGTGATATTTGTGTTGGAAGGAGATCAACCTTTGTAGCCACCAGAACAAGCTTAGGCAGCTTTTTGCTTGCTCTAAGATCAGCTCTAGCTCCTTCTAGTGCCTCAAACAAGGATTTGGCTGCTCGTTTAGGGAATGAGCCATCGAAGTCGACACAATCAACCACCATAATCACAACACTTGCGTTGGAATTCCCTGTAGGCTTGATCAACCTGGTTGAAATCAACCTATCAAAATCGAAATCGGGTATCAAATTCTCCGCCGTCTGGTTCTTCACTTGACCGTAGTTCCGGAGAGAATGACACCTTGCACATACGGTGACCTCATCTTTGTCCCTGTGAGCTTCCCTGGCTTTCCTTTTCCTCTCTGCTTTGGAAACCTTCTTCAGCTCCTTTCTTCTCATTTCTGTCTCTACCACCTCCTCAGTTATGTTCCCGTACCCTACACCAGCCGGGACGAAACCATCCAAATCCAAACCATCCTCATTAGCATTCAACATTGCATCAAGTTCGTCATAGTCCACATCCAACTCGACCCCACCAACCAACTCTTCACCCTCTCCTCCTTCTTCTTCTTCCTCAAAATCGGAGCTTTCTGCATAATCTCCAATACCCAGCTCCACATCTTCCTCAAATTCATCTAATTCAACAGCAGTGACCCTCCTGTGTTTAAAATACCCAGGTAGGTTTTGATCACAATCCTGCATAAACACTCCACATCCAGGGCAAATAGGGCCATGCTTCTCATCCTCATCCCTCCCTTCGCTCAGTATAAAATCCCTACCTCCCTTTCTAGGCCCTATTCTACCAGGAGGCCCTTGTTGCGTCTCCACGCTCGTATAGGATTTCGCCACTAGCGAAACAAACCTATTCTTTTCATGTTTCTTTCTCTCCACTCCCAAACCTGAACCAAACAACCAATAAACCACACTGGATGTAACCAACTAGGTATAATCCTACGTTCTCAGATGAAGCGGAAAAGGGAAGGAAAAATTGGAGGGGGGTATGTACCTGTGGGGAGGCGGATTCTGGATAAGGAACCGTCTTGAAAGAAAGGATTCCAGTAGACAAATTTGGAGCTGAGCTTGGTAGCTGACGCCGATATCAAAACGTGCATTTTAATCAGAAACGGCGGCTGGAGAAGAGAACTCCCCCGAATTCCACCGCCGTCACTGCAGCCAGCTGATGAAGACAGACGAATTACAGAGAACAGCTTGGGTGAATTTCCGCCGGAAGAGATAACTGGTGCAAATATCGATTGAACATTCAGAAGGGAGGCGCGCCGGACCGTTTTGGCGGCACCAAGTTAAAACGCACCGTTTTGGGTGACACAGGTGCAAATAGTGATGGCAATGGTTGGGGCGGGGCGGGTACCTCAATACCCATGTTTCGCCCAACGCTAGTATGGGTCGGGGCGGGTAATACCCGCGCGGGTACTGGGCGGGGCGAGTCGACCCACTCTGACATGCTATTTGAAAAATAAACACGCACAATTTTACTTTTAATGATAAAAAAAAGGGGGAAAAACTTGACGAATGAATAATAGTGATAATATAATAAGTAATTGAGTCTATTTAGTTGGAAGATCAAGTTTAACTAGTTGAATAAAAGCCAAAATAAGAGATATATGAATGGATGGGGTAAAAAATTGACCTAGAAGGGGCTAAGAATCGGACGAGGCAGGGCAGAGCGGGTAGGAAGTTGATGCTCATGCTCCGCCCACGCTAATGCGAGTCGGGTCAGGTATTACCCGGCGGGTTCAAATTGTCATCCCTAGGTGCAAAGACTCTCTACTCGTTTGATTGACCATTTGACCTGGACTTCCCCCACCTTTGGGCCCATTCAGGTCCTTTGGATTTACAAGCGAATCAAGCCCTTGAAAGTGGGCTTATGGGCCCAGAAAGAGTATCCAATAGCGAGAGACACATGTCCTTCATGTGGTGGTCGATAACTGATCAACTTTTTGATAAAAAAGTTATTGTGTTACTAAATGAATAGTTATGTACTCATGTTAATAGAATGATAAGAAGGTTCACTAAAATCATTGAAAGAATACAAAAAGCGTCCACAAACACGTTCCAAAAACTATACGAACAACTTTCACTTGCCAAAACTGTAGACTTTTAATGCGACGTGGGAATTACCAAATGCATCATAGAGGACATATCTTGTTGAGCACCTCGTAGGTGAATTCTAAGTCGACGCCATAAAATGGTGCAGTGACCTAAGCTAGTCGGCAGTGTTGTTTGCTTGCTTACTTGTTTGTTTGTTTAATAACGTGTAATTTGTGGTTTCTCGTAATTCGGTCAGTCGATTATTTTGTAGTATATGTTGTTCGTGCTTGTTTATTTCAATCTTAGGCGAGCTTAACATAATTTATTTTCTTTTATTAAAGATTCATATGAATTGATATTCATAAAAAAAACAAAACAAATTAGAATAAAATCCATTTCGAGTTTTCTAATAATTAAATGTGCACTCCAAAACCAAGGACAAGAAACAGCCCAAAAACCTTTCTTTTGTCACAGTACTTGAGGCGAACACAAAACCAAGGCAAAGGATAGAAGATCTTCTCCTCCTTCTACCATCGAAATCGTCAAACAAAGATTACATATATTTGCAAAAACAAAGAAACGAATGATGAAAGTGGGAAGAAAAACTAATATTATTATTAGACATATAGAAACATGAGTTAATTGGTAAGAACACTGATCCAATGTTGGTATTAGAATTTGTTCTTCTTCCTCTGTGTTTTGCCTACTTGTCCTTCTTCGCATTGCGATAAACTGTCATCGTTTGAGCAACTCCATAACTCAGTGTTGCTTTCTGATTCCTCTCCTCTTGACATTGATTAAATGATGTCGACTCTCGATTTCCTTCATTTCTTGGGGAAAATGCAAGGCAGATTCCTGGAAAATGCAATGTCAATTGAAAAATGGCTACTTTGTACATGAATTGAAGGAAATGCATATGTCAGGTGAAACCTAAATAATGTATGTATAAATTGAAGGAAATGTATGGTGAAACATTTTCCAGACGAAAGAATTCTATCCTGCAGAGGTTGTGAATTCGATTTTGAAAAATGTTGCACGTTGTCACATCGAAACATTAATTTTGTGGGTAAATGATGCATCTAAATTGAATAATATAAGAACACCACAGAGGAAATGTGGGACGCGACATTCTCAAAACGTCTAGAAATTTTTGAATTGGAGTCATTGCCGCAATAAATCAACGCCGAGCTGAGGAAAATGTAGGAGAAGAAGAAGAGAATGGAGTAGAGTAGTGTAGAAAGGGAGAGGGGAGCTCCCTTCACCCCAAGCCAAAAGGATGGAAGTGAAACAACATCTCCTAGCGCATGCAAACCCTCGGTCCTGTGCTCTATTATCATGCCGTGAGTAACATAGATAATACAAAACGCGCAATCCCGTGGGTATTCATGAACCAGCAGGTGTGGCCACTCCTCGACATCCCTTTCAGAGATGGGGGAGGAGAACTCCCCTCCTCACCAATTCGAAAACCCAACAACCACAAAGAGAGAAAGAGGAGGATGAGAAATGTGAAGGAAGGAAAAGATGAAAGCAACTCAAGCTTATCACTAGGATTATATAGGGCTACCAAGGATTTTATTGGGGGGTGTGAGAATGCAAGCTGGGATATTTGTGCAAATCTTGGAGAATTTCATTGTGATGTCTTTCCCTCGTTCCACTCTCTGCCTTATACTTTGTGTTGTGGGATTGGTCTTCCCTTGGGGTGCGATTCAGGAACCGGCAGTGTTGGGTTCAGGGTCTCCTTCTTCCCCTTCCTTCCTCCCTTGTTTCTTCCTTCACTCTATCCTCTGCCCTTGTCTTCTTGTGTTGTAGTTTTGCCCCTACGCTCCGGTTGGCGCAGCTCCTTTCTTTATTCGTTAATATTCAACCCTTTCATCCGGTGTTTTGTGCGGGTTCGATGTCTGCAATCGCCAGCCCTGTAGAGTAATGGCCAGCTAGTGCTCGTCGGCAGTCGGATTTGAAAACAGAGGACTCTGTTTTCATTCTCGCCGGCCTCCTTCTTCCCAACCTCGAGACCTTCTCTCTTCGATATCATAACCTCCCGACACTGAGAAATCCAAAACCCCACATCTCCGTTCTTCGATGGTCGATCTGAATTCATCGGTAGAAGGGCTGTAGTTCAGATCGGAGAGATGCTCTGCCTCTCCGGCGAGTCCCGTTAGATCACCGCCGCATAGTATGACAAAATCGAATTACATATAGTAATTGCTATTGGGTTTAAATTTGGGGTGCTTTGTAATTGAATTATAATTTACCTAATCATAATGAATAATTAATGAGCGTGAATGTTATCGTATAATAACCTTTGTTAGGTGCATGCTATTTTTAGGTTTAATTCACCCGTGTAGCCATAACTTTCACGGTTTTGACAGATATAGCCACTTTTTGAATAATACACAGATGTAGCCATTTCCGTCCTATTTTTTGACGGTCCACTTAACTAGCTGACTGGACTAACGGTTGCGGCTGATGTGGCGCGTTTTGGATTTCGTCTTTGCCACGTGTAAATTTTTTTTTTTATTAAAAAGTAAAACGACATAGTTGGAGACGAAAAGGGGATTCAGATCACTTTCCCCTTTTTCGTTTTAGGGTTCCGTCGATTCACCCCTCAATTTGCCCAGCTCGTCTCCCCGATTCACTTCCTTACCTCTGTTCCGGTTTCGACAAAGGTAGCCATGCATCATCTCCATGGAGGCGAAGACAACCGCTCATCCTCTTCCCTCCTCTTCTCGTCTCAGCCATGACATATTTTGATTTGTGGATTTGTCTCTGCTCTGGTGCGGCGTGGCGGCTTCCGACGATGCTGAATGGATCTGGGTAGCACCACTGCGAACGACGATATCGTTGGTGCTTCTTGGCTTTCTCGCCGTCTCCTCTGTCTCGGACTCACAGATCGAGGAAGGAAGGTCGATCTGGAGAGTTGGGGATTTATGGGTTTTGGGATTTTTGTTGCAGGAAAGGGGGAGATAGGGAGGATGGGCAACGAAAACATGATTGTTAATTTGGGGTTTTGATTATGGGTTTTCTTTGACGAAATCAGGTGTTCGACATTGTCGTCGAGATTAGGTTTGTGAATATGGAAACGAGAAAGGGTCAGAACAGGGGACTATGTTTTCTGGAGGGTTTGATCTGAAAATGGTAGGAAGAGATGCTTCCCAATCGTCTCGACTCTTCCCAATCGTTCGCGATCGCCGACAAAGGGAAGCCATGCATTCCGCCGGGGAGTAGCATCGGAGGGTCGCCCTTTCGTCGGCGGTACGGACTTCGGCGGTTCGGCTGGCGGCGGCTAAGAAACATCGGCGGAGGAACCCTAAATCGGCGGAGGAACGGCTGGGATTCGGAGATGAAGGAACGGCTGGGCGAAACTGTCTCGGTGATTATGTTGGTGTATGGAGCGAAAATGGAATCGGGAGAGGAGTTGGGGTGGAGAGGAGGTATCGATGGAAGGGATTGCAAATAGAGAGGAAGAAGGGATTGAAATTAGAGAGGAGTCTCTGTTGTGCGAACCCTAGAAAACAAGAGAGGAAGGGAATGAAAACGACGGCGAGGCCAAGAGAGAGAGAGTGTTCAATTTTTTTTATCCGATGTGGCGTCCACGTGGCTTAGTCCACCCAGTTGGCGATGACGTGTCATTCATTTGGCGGACAGATCAGCAAAACGGACACTTAACTGACGGAGACGTTAACTCCGTCAAATCTTTTAACGGAAATGGCTAGATTAGTCAACGAACTTTAAAAAGTATGGCTACATCTGTGTATTATTCAAAAAGTGGCTATATCTGTCAAAATCGTGAAAGTTATGGCTACACGGGTGAATTAAACCCTATTTTTATAATAGATATACGTTATTTGTGTATAGACTATAGACCTAGTGCATGACTTGACGGAAACACAAATGACTTGATAGGTCATCGATGGCAGGCTAATCAAACTTAGACAATACAATGACTTTTTAATAAAAGCTTACATGTTTTGATAAGAAATAGTTATTTAGTTAGAAATTTCCACTAGTAAATAATAAATATAGCTCCAATTATAAAATGAGGAAAAGAGAGGGGAAAACGAAGAAAGAATGGTGAATTGGTGATATTAGTCATTATTTTATATATATATCTAACCTTCTAGAAACATCTAACTTAAATACTAAAATAAGTTAATTCATATAATAAGATAGAACAATTTTCTATGGTTTTGACAAAATAGCTATTGAGATATAATAAAATAGTCATTTGTTAATAATAAAAACAGTCAATTTTAGTAATGTGCCTTAGAAAATTAGATAACATATTTTCCATAATAATTAATTGCAGGATTAACCGTAAAGAGCACGTATCCTGCCTTGTTGGTTTGAGTCCACAATGTGATTTTCTCAGTCGACGATGGCGGGCTTCATTAGCTCCTTGGAATGAAGCCGAAGGACGACGGGAAAGGGTGTTGGACCAGAGGTGAAATCACAGCCGTAACGGGGAGATGGGTTTAGCCGTTTAGTTTAGGGATGGGAAGGAGAGGTAGAGCGAGGTTTCGATACGAACTATTTTGCGGTATGAGTTAGGACTGGTTGATTTATACGAACTATTTTGAAGAAAAAACATCTAAAATATTATTATTTAGAATTTTAGCATGACTAGAATATGATATATAACAATACGATTTTAACTAATTCGAGTAGAATTACATATAATTTAACATAAAATGTGTTGAGAATGGAACAATTCCGGTCGAATCAGGTCGAGAAGAATACTCATCTGGTGGATGTTACCGGCCCAAAACATATTAAACAGACCCGATGGGCGATAGGACGGGTTTGGGTTAGGTTGAAATTGGAGAGGCATAGGATTATTCAAACTAGAAAAGCCCACGATGATGAAAGGGCCCAGAAGTCCAGGAGGGCGAATAGGTCACTTGGTTAGGGATGGCAGAATTACCCATGTCCATTGGGTTTTAAATATCCAACCTAAGTGGGTCAGGTCTGCAATCCAAGTCAAATACAAATGGGTAAAATCTAATGGGTCAACACCCATACCCATAATATTGGGTCCAGTTGGGTTTTACCCATGGATTTGGGTTAAAAAACCCAAACCCAACTAATTAAACTAAAAAGAAAAAAAAGGATCTCCACTGCCAGCTCTTCCTCTCTCTCTCCATCTCGTGACGCCAGCTTTCCGTTCTCACTTCTCCGATCGATCGAATTCCGGGGAGCAAGACGGTCAGGTCGCTTCGCCCCATCGCCAGCTTCCTCAACACCGCCGACGGCTTCGCGACTCGCCAGCTCCCCCTATCCCTCTCTATCACGAGAACCAAGTTTTATCTTCTCCAATCAGTCGGATTCAGGAGAGCAAGAGGGTTTGGACGTCTGGTCGCTTCGCCTCGTCGCCCACCCCCTCAACATCGCCGACGGTTTCGCGATTCGCCGGCTCTTCCTCTTCCTCTCCCTCTCGATCTCAAGACACCCGTTTCTCTTTTTCAATCGGTCGGATTGTGGAGAGCAAGAGGGTCTGGTCGCCCGCAGCTTCGCGAATCACCTGCTCATTCTCTCCCTTTCGATCTCGAGACCACGAGAAGCCCATTCCGCCCGGATTCTGGTATTATTCATCTTACCCTAAGTTTTTGAACTGGGTATTATGAGAACTCTGTTTAGGGGATAGGGTTTCTGAATGGGTCTTAGTTGTGCATTGGGTCTGATCTGTGATTGATTTTTAGCTCGAATGAAAGTTTAATGTTAAAATGTGATTCCCTCTAGCTAGCTATCTACTAGAAGTCTGATCACCTGTTTCTTCTAGCCATGAATGCAATTACAGCAAGCCAAAAGAATCAAGTTCTGTGCTTGGAAACACTCATTTTGATTCTGTTTATACCTTTCCTTTTCCACTAGCTTTCCCTCTTTTACTCGTCCTTTTGTCTTCCAGTAGTCCTGTTTTCTGGGTTGCAAAACCCAGGTCCTGTTCTTATGATCATCTAATCTAATGGGTCTAGTAACCCTTGGCACTTACACCATCTTAGTTTTTGTGTGATTGTGGAATACTCGAGACTTCCCTTTTTCATTTCATTTTGTGGGTTTTTGAACAGTCGGGATGTTGGATTGAGAAATGTGTTCTTTGATGCTATCTGAATGGAAATGTTTGAATGATTGCTTGTTGTTTGCTTTGTATTTCTAGGGAAACATGGCTTCAGAAATGAATGATGATAGTCTATCAATGAATCACGAGAGTAGTAATCAAGACCATCCAAGTGTGTCTTCTTGTTGTTGCTGTGTTTATATCATAACTGAATTGTTCTATTGGTTGCTTCTGCTGTATGGATTTAGAGTGTTTTAATTATTCAGATAATAGTTCTTTTAACTATACTAATTTAGAGTGTTCATTGGAGGTGGCATTTTTTCTCTGCTGGTTTCTGGTGTGAGCTTAATACTTTCTTCTCTACTGGTTTCCAGTTTCCACTTCATACTTACCTTGAAGGAGACATTTTGTTTCAGCTTAACAATTTAACACATTGGCATGCTTCCTGTCAAATTTCAACTTCTCTTCATTTCCTCTTACTAATATGACAGCACATATATTGCAGTGTCTTGTGTCTTCATTAGTTGCCCATGATAGTATACTACAGTTTGTACCGTGTGTTTGCTCTTTCCTGATTCCTTCCTTCATCAACTGATGTATGATGCCATTGACTTGCTTTGCTTTCCCAGTTTTGACAACTTGGTACACTCTACGTCTCACCCATTTGTTGTGATTCTTCAAAGAAGCTGACTTTTGAGGAAGGACGGCCGCCGGAGCATCATGTGCAGGAAAATTATATTTAATACCTTCAAAATTTTGTTTTACATTTTAGTACCTAAAAACAAAACATTTACAAGCAGGCCCAAAGTGATGGGTATCCATGCTCAACCCATATCCATTTTCAAATTGAAAACAAAATCCAAACTCAACTCTACATATCCAAATACTATCCAAACCCATATAGAATAAATCCATACCCAACCCATATAGATGAGTATAATTGGGTTTGGGCAAAAATACCCATGGGTGGGTAAATTGCCATCCCTACACTTGGTAGCAAAGTTATACTACGGGGGCTTAGTTGCTCAATTTATTTTCTTCAAGGACTTGATTGTTAATTTTCAACAGTGTAGGGGCTTGAGCTTGACTAACCACTAATCCCTTTAAGAATGGCGTCTCTGGTTGTGGCAGCAAAACAGCAATGGGCTGCGAGAAGGCCGTGAAGCTGATAGAAGGAGAAAGGAGGCTGACTGAAAGAGTGGAGACAGAGAAGTGGGTTCTGATTTCATCTTTCCCTTTCGCCAGCTCCAATCACAGAGCTGCCGTCTGCTTCTTCTAGACCAAGCCTCCATTATCGGATCGGAAAAAAGCCGCTGTGCGACTAATTGCCGCCGGCGATTTGTCCCTGCTCCGTTCTCTCCACAGTACGTTCTTCTTCTTCTTCTTCTTCTTCTTCTTCTTCTTCTTCTTCTTCTTAAGTCAGTAGCTTTTCCTTCTTTGAGCACTTTCGCGTCTGGTAATGGTAGTAATGCAAAGGGTTCTGCTTTGACTAGGAAGGGAAGGTACAAGTTACTGAATCTTAAAAAACATGGCAAGTCAAAGGCTTTTACAAGGATATAGGAGAGGCATCCACATAAGTAGAACTGGAGTATCATCAGATGAGGAAATGGCCAAAATGATTGCTGAAAAGCTGAACAAATCAGGGTTAAGAGATGTTCGAGCCATGATGCCATCTCTGTGTTCTAATCTGAATCATGAAGTCACCTCCTTGGTACTCTCAAACCCTGATGTTTCCCCTCGTTCTTGCTTGTCTCTCTATGACCTTTTGGCAAATGATGAGTCTCTTACTGCTCAAAAACCTGATGTTGAAGCCAGCATCGTCCTTCTTTTGAGACTATTCAAGGATAGGAAGTTTGTGGACATGAAGAATGTGTTGACTAGGATTGCATCAGATGATTTTAGGTTCCCAGTTGCTAGTTGGGTATCTATGAACAGTGGAAAATTAAATGAAGATTGTTTTAGGGAGAAGCTGTATAATATGCTGTTTAGAGTCTATGCTGATGCAAGGATGTTCGAAGAGGGCCTTGAGGTTTTTGATTACATGATAAGTAACGGGTTGAAGATTGACGAGAGATCTTGTATCGTCTATCTGCTTGCTTCGAAGAGATGCGACAGAATGGAGATGTGTTCAGTACTATTCAGAAAGATGGTTAATTCTAATATGGAGGTTAGTGTTTACTCTTTGACCATTGTGGTTGATGGGTTGTGTAGAAGAGGTAGGGTTACAAGGGCTAAAGAATTAATGATTGAGATGGCTAGGGTGAAAGGAATTAAGCCGAATGTCATTACCTACAATACCATTTTGAATGGATATGTGAAAATAAGGGATTCTGCCGGCGTTGAAGAGATCTTGAGATTGATGGAGACTGATGAAGTTGCTTATAATGCCGCTACATATACCATGTTGATTCATTTCTTTGGTGACAGCGGTAAGGCGGAGAAAGCTGAGAGGTTGTTCAAAGACATGAATGAAAGAAATGTCGAAGTGGATATTCATGTGTATACGTCGATTATCAGCTGTAATTGTAAAGTTGGGAACCTGAAAAGGGCTTTTGCTTTGTTTGATGAGCTCGGCGAGAGAGGTCTTGCTCCCAGTACTCACACATATGGGGCCTTGATTGATGGTGTCTGCAAGGCTGGCCAGATGGAGGCAGCTAAGATCTTGCTATCCAGAATGCAAAGCCAAGGGTTAGACATGAATCTGCTGATCTTCAACACTCTTATTGATGGTTATTGTAAAGCAGGTATGATAGATGAGGCTTTAAGAGTAAAGGGTACAATGGAAAAGAACGGATTCAAGGCGGATAACTATACACATAACATTATTGCTAGTGGCCTGTGTAAATTGAACAAGCTTGATGATGCGAAGAACTGGTTGTTTGCAATGATCGAAAGAGGTGAAATACCAAATTCAGTGAATTTCACCACTCTGATCAACATCTACTGCAAAGAGAGGAATATCCTGGAAGCGAAGAAGCTGTTCAAGGAGATGAAGAAGAAATCAGTGAAACCCACTCTTATTACTTACAATGCTCTGATTGACGGATGCTGTAAGGAAGGCAAGATCCATGAAGCTTACAAGCTAAAAGAAGAAATGGTGGCTGTGGGATTTTCACCAGACATATACACATATACCTCGGTCATACACGGGGAATGTATTTCTGGAGACGTGGATAAAGCACTGCAACTGTTGAGTGAAGCTCGTGAAAGTGGTTTGACGATCAATATGGTCACTTACACTGCAGTTGTTTCAGGCCTGTCCAGGGAGGGCCGTTCTGAAGAAGCTTTTAAATTGTACGACGAGGCTATGGAGACAGGAATGACTCCTGACAACAGATTGTACGCATCACTTGTTGGCAGCCTTCACCAAGTTCCGAACTCTTAAAGCATTTGAAAGGTGAATGAATTCAGTTTTACCTACTCGTTCTTTCGTATCAAGGAGCCATTAGATCCAGCGATTCTACTTGGAAATGACATGTATCTAATCTAGTGTATGCATTCTGCAGGAATGTAAATGCGCTGCGTTAATCGAAGTCACAACCATTCTCTTACTGAAGTATATTCGTAACTAGATATGTGCCCGGCCCTTGGCCGGGTTGATTGTTGTTGTTGTGCTATTGTTCAGCTCTTTGGTGTGCAAAATAATTGGCTGCTTGTGTGTGTCAAATCTGGAGAGGCAAGAACTGATCAACGGCAAAATTGTGCAAGAGACTGTTATTTTCCATGTAATTTTTTGTGTAGAAAAGTTCATGATCTTTACGTTGCATTGTCTGGGCTTTATGAGTAAGAATGATATTGCATGGGTCATCTGAATATGAGAACCAAAATATTCTTGCACTCTTTGGAACTTATTGCTTCGGTTGCTATAATGTGTAGTAGTCTTGGCTTGTAGCACAGCATTGTTGTTTGGTGGGTCGAATGCAAGTTCGGGTTCCTTTTTCACCGACTTAAGCACAGTGATGTTGTGTCAGAGCCCTCACTCAGTGTAGATTTGGTATGGAGCTGCTCATACTGATCATGGCTTCAGTCTCTATTTCATTGTCCTATGAAATATGCATGATATCTGGCATTTAATTGCTGAAACAAATGTACATATCTAGCTTATAGTAAACAGCATAACGAAGGAGCGTCTATTCCTGGGTGAGAGATCTAATTGCCATGAAGTGATCAAAGAACCTTCCTCCATAGAAACCTACATAAGAGATATTAAAAGAATATGAGAAATGAATGTTGGGATAAGAGCAAAGAACAACAAAGACAAACAGAGTTAAGAAACAATCATATCAGTGAAGCAACACAACATGTTTAAAACAAATGTAGAACTTGACAAAAGACATTCAACAAATCAACACCAAAGGCTTGGCAAACTGGGTTCACATGGCTGCACTATTTTGGATGACTTGGCAGCATATTATAATTGGATTTATTCGTTATGGATTCACAACAACATGATGTATTTATCTGTGAAGATTTCAAAATTTCGCCACGATTCAACAATGATATCACAGTTACACAACCATCATCATCAAAATCTAATCGGAAACTTCCGTTTCTATAGTCAACATTATCGGTCTCCAAACAAAATTGTACACAACAATTATTACCTTGTGCTTGCCCGTGCTTTAGAGTTTGTCGAGTGAGTACGTTGGAATACTGCTTTAACTTCTTAGTGCTTACTCCTATCAACTTTTCAGGATGCGTCGTGATCGATTTGTACTCCTCATTTCGAGTATGTTGCATTAGGGTAGTTAGAGTTCAATACTCTATTGGCTTCAAATCAGAAAGCAAAAGGACATAGTATAGGAAATCCAGTGTAATGGAGAAAAAGGTCCCGACATAAAGATTCATGCAAGAAGAAGAATTTACCTTTAGGAATTGCGGCTTCTAATTGGTCAAAAACTCTTAATCGCCGACACAATCTAGATTAACAGGCATGAAATGAAAGATTACCTGCTTGTGGGATATCAGAAGTGGCGCCTCTGAGCAGTCAGAGGCAGAGCAACAGATTGCAAACTCAAACGTGTCTTTCAAATTGGGGGAAATTGGTGGGCATGGATAGGAATGAAATCTCCGTCGCTTTCTGTGATAGCCATGCAAAAATTGACATCGAAATGTTCGAGAAAGCGATGATACGCTACGCACGAGCGGAGAGAAACTGATTCAAGTCCCAACCAATGCAATCGGAAGATCCAACGACTGGACTGGAGTTGTAAATACTCAATGGTGGACGGAAGATGTTGCAGATTTGGGGAGGAAAGGAAAGTACCGCTAACCGAGAGAAAGTAGAAACGACGGGCAGGAAAGCATATGACAGACTTGGGCAATGGTTATGAAGGGGTATTTGGACAGCGTAGTAGGAATAGAGAAAGAGAAGGATTAAGGAAGAGATGAAAGTGTGTCTGACGTGGATACATTCCGCTTCCAGTAAGGAGTACGTGGCATGGGTTCAATTCTAAAAGCCCTTTAATATTTTTTAAGATGGTGAGTGGTGTTGAACTCAACATTTAGAAAGCAAAGATGGCTGCTTCAACGGATACCCACATTACATTACATATCGAAAGTTACATAAACAACAAACACTTAGATCTTGATTCCCTGTCGGATCTCGATAGCTATATGAAGATTCCAAGCCATGGATCACTCACTGAACCGTCTCAACTGCTGCTCAAACGCTGCTGCGAAAGCATCCAGTTCACCCTTGCTCAGCGCCAACCCGAACTCAATCCCGCCTTTCTCCTTATCCCTGGCGTCCGAGAAATAAACCGAGCCAGAGAAATCGACATGAACCGGCTCTGACTTCCTCGGGTTTCCCCACCCGAAATCGGTTTCGTAGACCCCAAGCTTCGGCGACCCAGCTACCGACAGGATGTTCCCCTGTTTCATTATTTCCTGCCATCCTGAAAACGAGAAAAACTTCTCTGCGCTCCTCAACGGTCCCTCAGCTTCCATCTCCCTGATCTTCGACGCGATTACTCTGGCTGCAATTGCAAACCCGTTGCCTCCGATCAAATCGCTTCGCTTCACCAGCACCTGGATTCCCGACAGACAGTTGCCGGAGTAAGTCGCCGGTAGTTTGGGTTTGAGGCGCCCCCTGCAATCCACCAGAATTACGTAGCAATCAATGTGATCCTCCCCTGAATTGAATTCGTCGCTGCTGGCAGCGACGAATTCGGGTTCTCGGGATTTCGTCAAACTGGTCCACAGAAGAGCACTCGCCACCGTAAACGCTGACGTCGGCGTCGACTGTTTGCTGCTGCCATTGTGGTTGGCCAGAGAAGCTTTCATCCTCTTAATATGCTCGCCGTCAATCCGGAATGTGGCGCGGACCTTGCCGGCAAGCATTCGTTGGCGGGAACCCTCATCCCAATGCGATGCATAGTTTCCTATGGTTTTCAGAATCGAATTCTCGAGCTCTGTATGCTCCTCGATCAGCTCTCGGTCGTGGCAAGGCGGAGACTTTTCGACCCAGCTCAAGTCCCCGCCACCGGACTTGCAAATTGAAGCCCAGGATTTCACGAAATGGTTGAAAGCCAGCCCGTCAGCCGCCACATGGCGAAACTCGAACCCGATGCAGATGCCGGAGTTCGGAAACAGAGTGACCTTCACGGCGAGAAGCGGGGACGAGGTTTCGCCCTCCGAATTCGGTCTGTCGTTGGGAGGAAGTTTGGGCAGCAGAGGGTGGAGCAGTTCAACGTCGCTTGGCAGGTCGGAGATGACACGGTCGAATTGGAGACCGGTCTCGGCGACGGTGAGCGAAACAGAGTCGCCATCTGAGTAAAATATGCGAGCCCTCTCGTCGGAAAGCGTCGGGGTGACGAGCCTGGCGGCGAGAGGGTAGAAATGAATAAGCGCCAGGGAGAGGGAATCGGCGAGACTGGGGATGGTTGTTTGCCGGAAATGGGAACTGGAATGCGGGAAATCGTAGAAGAAGACTCGTTGAATCGGATGGCAGATTATCCACGATATGTCGAACAGGGTTAGCCGGAGGGAAGTGGCGGGAACTGATCCCCGCGGCGGAGAGATTCGCAGCTCGTCGACCGTTACGACGGGGCTGGCATGTTGTTGCGACATTTTCTTGCAGAGGGAGATACAATGCATGTTCTGATTTCAGCTCTGGAACTTCATATAGGTGGGGAGCAATGGTGGAAGCAGATCAAAGGATCCGGCGGAGATTTAGACGTTCTGTTTGTTTATGTTCGGATCGTAGTGCGTAAAGCTTTCGACATGGATCGTATTGCTAACAGTCAAAAGGATGCTGTTGTTGCTGTCCGGATTTAGAGGTGGAATCTGGGAGGCTGTCAATTCATCTCTCGACTTCTTCTGTTCATCAAGTCAATTTGTTGTTACTGTTTCGTTTTTTTGTTCTTGACACAAGTTCAAAGGGGGAAAATTACAATGATTGTGGCACGTAGACATCGTTAATTGTGGTGACTTATTGAGGTCGACCTGAGAATCGAACGATTAACCATTTCGTGGAAGAGGCCGACCTTCGTATTATAGCTAGGCATATAGTCGTATTTGGGCTTTCGGTGGTGTTTGGGCCGGCTCACTACCGATCCATGAAAGGCCTTTTTCTTCCATTTCGGGTCCATCTGGCTTTGTTTTCGGCCAGGCCGCCTAACATCCGTAATTATTATTTTTTCAACAATTTATTTATTGCGACAACACCGTTTATGATATGATCATAAGAGCTGGCCTGATAAAGTGATTGTGTGCTCAAACTTTTGTGATCTCTAATATTAACATCGTATTTAAGTACAAGATATGTTCAATCAATCTCTACAAACTTCAAACCCATATATCAGATTTATTATAAATATAAAATTCATAATGGACCTCCACATTCATAAATCAATTGGTCAATTCGAATTATGCCAAACGATTTATGATATTGACAGGGAGGAAACTATGGAATCAATCAACTATACCAACATGTTATTTTGTAATCATAGTTGCTCCAACTTGGAACTTCGGTGGTAGTTCGGCGATATATATTTCAAACCAAAGATAGTAAACCCTATTTGCGAAATTGGTAATTAATAAGGACAGATTCCACAGCTCAAACAATCTCATATATATTACAATAAGAAAAGGACCCTTACAATTATAAACCAACATGAACAACTAACACCTAACTACTTGAGCTGATGGCTCTCAAGTCACAACAACTACACATGCACGACTCAGAATTCAAATGCAACAACTTAAAACTTAAGGATCCAAAACATACTTCGACAAACGACTTGACTTAAATAAGTTGATTCAATGTTTCTTCATCTTTCTTCCAACAACCAGAGTTCGATTTTCTAACAGTAAAGGCACTTCGCTCAGTTGTATATCCAGCCTGAAGTCTCAACCTGTTGCGAAGGACGAGGAGATCAAGGAACACACTAGATAATTAAACCGAGGGCAAAGGGTTATAGCTAAGCGGACCACAGGGATGAGCTCCAGATGGTTTTTCCTCCTCAGGGTGACGCCGAACTGTTCATCCATGTTGAAGCTCGACGGCTCAACCCCAGGGGGAAGTTTCCAGTCAAAATGGAACAGTAGGCTTGCCAGAGGGAGTTCCACCGTTGCCAGCCCGAAAGTCATCCCAGGGCACATCCTCCTCCCCGCTCCGAAGGGTAGGAACTCAAAGTCGGTTCCCCTGAAGCTTAGTTTGCTATCGTGGAACCTCTCTGGCACGAACTCCTCGGCATCCTCCCCCCAGTAACGAGGATCCCTCGCGATGGCCCACGCGTTGACGAGCACCCTCGTCTTCAGAGGGACGTCGTATCCACTGATCCGACACTCCTCCCTGCACTCCCTGGGGAGCACCAGGGGCGCAGGAGTGTACAGCCTCAGCGTCTCCTTGATGACCAGTTTCAGATAACTCAGCTCGCACATCCCTGCTTCGGCGACCCGGCCCCTCTCGCCGAACACTCTCCTCACCTCCGACTGTGCCTCGTGCAACACTTTCGGATGCTTCATCATGTTCGACATCGTCCATTCGATCAGCGCGGACGGGGTCTCGCTTCCCGCTAGGAAAATGTCCTGATGCATACATCCAACAATGATTGAAATGATCAACAAAACGATAATCTCGGCAACACTTGTGCCGTTGTGCACGTACGTACGTGTATATATGGATGCATGCATGGCTATAACGTAACTGAGAGTTACGATCACTATACCAGAAGGAAGCCCTTGATGGCATCGGTTGACAAGTGAAACCCTAGCGTGGCGTCGCCACCTTCCTGAATATTCAAAAGAACATCGAGCAAATCCTCCTCCGTTCTAGACCTCATCCCTTCGGCCTCCTTCGCCGCCGCCGCCGCCCTCGCCGCCTGATGCTGTGCAACCATGCTCCTGGCCGACCTATCGAGGACCACGTGTATCCTATTCAGCAGCTCCTCCGTGCCAAACAGCTTCTGCACCGGCCCGCTCGACGGGAACAAGTAGGAAACCTTGAACCCTCCGGCGTACTCCACCAGCTTCTCCGCTGCCTTGTGATATACATGGAGTAAAAAACGGTGTAGATGAGATTTAACTATGATTAAGGGTCTTCTGTAGAGTAATATATATGGTGGCGTATTCAATGCACTCACTTTTTTTTTTGCATTTAATGCACTCGTCTCATAATCGTTATTTTGAGCATACTATTCATGTCAAAACAGTATCAATCGTCGTTTACGATGTTTTGAACAACAAACGCATGAATTTGAATAAAACTCATTCAAGATTTACTTTTAATTTGAAGGATATGGGATTTAGAGTTTAGTTATATAATTTAGGCTTTTGGGTTGAGACTCAAAATTGAATGTTAAGGGATTAGGATAATGGATTGATTAGTTGTGATTTTATGTTATATAATCATATTAGACTAACACTATTAATTAAAGTTCAAAATTCGATGTATTATAGTCACTTACCTTGGTGAACTCCTCTTGCTCCTCCGACACGTCCCCGAATGTTGCCAGGGATATTATCCTGTACGAAAAGTCGTACAACATCCTGGTCAGGTTGACGGTGGTGGCTCCGGTCCCAGCCGCCGCCGCCATAGACCTGACCAGGGCCAGGACCTCGGACTCCCTGACCCGACGCAGGGAGTCCACGAGCTTGGCGGTGAGGAGCTCGAGCGTGGCGATGCGGCGGAGCTGGCGCCAGTAGTCGCCGTAGGGGGCCTGGATGAGGTTGACCCCGCCGTACATGACCTTTGCCTGGTGAGGGTGCGGGGGACGCTGCGCGAACTTCACGTCGTGGGTTCGCATCACCTCCCTGGCGGCCGCCGCCGACGATATCACCACGTACGTGGGGTATCTCCCCGAGGTCGAGGCTCATCACGTCGCCGTGTCGCCGGGAGAGCTCCCGGAGGAGACGGTGGGGGAGCTGCCGGGTCGCGAGGAAGTGGTGGAGGTGGCCTATCACAGGGAGCTTCCGCCCCGCAGATGGCGCCAGGCTGCGCCGGCGGCCAGTCTTTTTATGAGCTCGTGCCCGTCTTTTGATCAGTGGAAAACTTACGATGATAGTTAAGAAGAAGAAGAAGGAGATGGGAATTATTTGCAGGGAGAGATCCATCTCATTAGTATGACGTGGTGGTTGATGCTCCAAGGTACAGATATATATGCATATGTACGTGTACATAGCGAGAGGATAGGTGAATTTGGGGCTAGTAAATATACAATACTTATTTTGGAAGTTGGTTTCAGTAGCTACTGCCTAGAAGCGACAAAAAAAAGCATCTATATAGAAACGGTTCTGAATGGAACGAAAGAGGAATCAAGTAATACCCATCGTTAAACAATTAAGTTCCTACTTCTAAAGACATAGTTGACTTGCACTTATATAGTTGGATAACTGTGGCCGAAATCCGAACGAGTATGGACATAATTTGAATTTTCTACTCGTTTTTTTATGTGGGTATGAGTATGGGTAAAATCCGAACTACTTTGAATAGGGTAACGAATACGCACTATTCGTCCCCGACCTGACCTGATCACCTGACCCGTTGCGATCCCTAGTCGATCGGAAGCCACTCTTCATAAAAATAATCTCACCAACTTGCCTTAGAATAATGTGGAACGTAACCTAGGATGCAAGTGGGTAGCGAAGATTCCATGTGCGGTCATCGACTCGGTGAAGGAATAAAAATGAATAGCAAGTGGAGGTTTGGTGTCCATCCTTATCAAGTTTGTGCTAGAGGCTGGTGGTGAAGTTCGCAAATGATCGCAAGAAATCTGAAGTCGTCATTCGCCAGCTTTTCTAAGAGGCGAGTCCGATGTAATTGAAGAATCGATACTCAAAGACTACTCACAAGTCACAAGTGTTTGTTGTTCTAAGCATAGGCTTAGAGTTTTTTTGTGGTCACTAGGACTGTCTATTGCGCCCCCCATAGCTAATGTGACATTAAAAACCTGCCGTTATGATCTCTTTCTAGTTTAGAGTTGCTCACATTTGTTTTTAACGCTTTTATGCGATGAGTGATCTTCTTTGGCAGTCGCTTTACTTGTTGTCATAGGGATCTCCTACAGTAACTTGGGTATAATTTTAAGTTAGGTAACTTGCATAGATCTAAACCGTTAAAATCGATCAAATTTATTTTAAACCATTGATTAAAGAAATAAAAAATAAAAAATAAGTAAAAAAAATCAATGGCAACATGGGTTGCCGGTGGCCACAAAGCAAGTTACCTTTCTTGTTTTTTTTCCTTTCCTTTTTCATATTTATTTGTTTTTTCTTATTTTATCCTTTCCTTATTTTAATTCTGATTAAAGTAGAAGCGTTACGAAAGGCTTCCGTAATAACTTAGCACTTTACGTAACGTGAGATTAATACTCATTACGTAAAGAGACCTTCCATTACGTAAAGGTTACGGAACGATAGTTATTTCTTACGTAACAGTGAAATCGAAAGCGTTACGTAAAGCTTCCGTAATCATTTAGCTTTTTACGTAACACGACATTAATACTCATTACGTAAAGAGACCTTCAATTACGTAAGGCTTCCGCAATGACATTTTACAACTGTTACGTAAAATACACATTCATTACGTAAAGCTTACGTAATGACTTAACATTTTACGTAACACGAGGTTAATACTCATTACGTAAAAAGACCTTTCATTACGTAAAGGTTACGGAACGACAGTTATTTCTTACGTAAAAGTTAAATCAGTAGGTTACGTAAGGCTTCCGTAATGACTTAGCATTTTACGTAACGCGAGATTAATACTCATTACGTAAAGACACATTATATTACGTAAGACTTTCGTAATGATCTTTTACAACTGTTACGTAAGATTACCATATGTTACGTAACCGTTACGTAATACCTATTATATTTTACGTAATGCGACCTGTGAAACCTCCTATAGCAGATAAAAAAATTCAAGTTACCTTACTTCAAGTTATTGTAGAAAATCCCGTTGTCATATCTCATATAAAAGAAGCGGATGCCTCTTCTTCACCACCATCTACACAAAAAGAGAATACTAATACTACATGTCTATTGATGATGAATACAAACTAATTAATAAAGTCAACCCTTTACCGACAGACAAACCATAATGAAAGTCAACCCTCTGCCTCTTCAACGGATGCCTCTTCACCACCTACCTCACAAAAAGAGAAGACTACATGTCTCTTTTTTTTTTTTTGGTTCAAAATTAAAAAGATAAATGATGATTGGTGGAAAAATTAGATTTTTTTAAGTGGTCTGTGTTGATTTGATAGTGACATAGTGTGTTACAGTTAGTCAACGTATTTGACCGTTCAAGATAACGGTCAGATATCGAATTTGGTCAATTTCATAATTTTGATGCATAGTTGAGGTCACGATGTTATAGATCGAAAAGATTGGTCATGATGTTTAATTTGTGAAAAGTTCGGGTCATACAAATATATTAACCCAAATATAATTTTTCAATGATATTTTTTGTGTAAAAAATTAAATTTTAGGTACCAGAATGTAAAAAAATAAAAATTAAAGATACTAATGTAATTTGCCAATGATCCATGAATCCAATTGAATTTGAATCAAATGAATTGAATTAATTGAATATTTTTAATGGATTGGTGGATTGAATTGACCTCCAACTTCTATTAAGCTTAATTACACTTCTACTACTATGTAATGAACATATTGAACAGCTTAGTCCATTACTTTCCAACAAATTAACAGAACAAATGAACAATTGCATAGCACAAATCAGTTTTATTGAAGGCTGCAAGCATCCAAACTCGCTTACAATTAAAAAAACACTATAAAAAAAAACGACACTGGATCCCATCTCAACCCTCAAGTCCTCAAGTACAGTAACTAAGCGGGAGGTAAAGGGTTATATTGCACAACGGGAATTAGTTCCAAGTGATTCTTCTTCCTCAGGGAGACGCCAAACTGTTCGTCCATATTCAAGCTTTCCGGCTCAGCTCCACCGGGAAGCTTCCAGTCAAAATGGAACAACAAATTCGCCAGGAGAAGCTCCACAACCGCTAACCCGAAAGATATTCCAGGGCACATCCTCCTTCCCGCACCGAACGGGAGGAACTCGAAGTCGGTTCCTCGAAAATTCACTTTCTCATCGAGAAACCTCTCGGGGAGGAACTTCTCGGCCTCCACACCCCAGTAACGAGGGTCCCTCGATATGGCCCACACGTTCACCAGCACCCTCGTCTTCAGAGGGATGTCGTACCCGAAGATCCGACACTCCTCCCTGCACTCCCTGGGAAGGACCAACGGAGTCGGGGTGTGCAGCCTCAGCGTCTCCTTGATCACCAGTTTCAAATAGGTCAGCTCGTGAATCTTGGATTCTTCCACCTTCCCTCTCTCACCGAACACCTTTCTCACCTCGGATTGTGCCTTGTGCATCACTTCCGGATTCCTTATCATTTCCGCCATCGTCCATTCGATCAGCGTGGCAGGAGTCTCGCTTCCTGCTAGGAAAATGTCCTGTCCAGTGACGAACCCAGGATTTTTTTTGGAGAAGCGTATCAGTTGATAAAAATACACTAATGAAAACAAATAAATAAAAAAAGAAAAAAATATATTATAAGAGGTTTTGTAAAATTTTGCAAGTCAATTAAATACCAGAAGGAAAGCCTTGATGGCATCGGTGGACAAGTGAAAACCAAGCGTGCAGTCATCCTCCTGAACTCTCAAAAGCACGTCGAGAAGATCCTCCTCCTCCTCCGACGTCGTTCCCTTCTGCTTCTCCAACGCTCTCTTGGATCTGTGCTGCCCAATCATGCTCTCCATCAACCTGTCGGTGACCTTATGCACGCCGTCGAGCCACTCCGTCGTGCCAAACAGCCTCTGCACCAATCCGCACGAAGGGAACAAGAAGGATATCTTGAACCCTCCGGCGTACTCCACCAGCTCCTCCGCCACCTTCATGAACTCCTCGGGCTCCTTCGACACGTCCCCAAACGTCGACATCGATATTATCCGGTACGTCAGGTTGAACAGCATCTTCGTCAGGTCGATCGTGGAGCCAGCAGCAGCGGCCGCGACTTGACGTTCAGTAATCCGCGTGACGAGACGTCGCACCTGTATGATCATATGCTACTAGTTGTTGCTTAACTGGAGGTTGATATTCATTACGTAAAGTCAGTCTGCTGCGTTTAAGCATTTCCAACTATTACGCTATGTTACGTAAAATAACCATATAGTTAAGTAAATGTTACTTATTGAACAAATATTACTCCTAATTTAACAACAACAACAAAAAAAAAAAAATTAAGAACTAGCTTGGTCTCAAGAATTCAAGTTGTTGGTGTCAAGAATCAATTAGCTCCAATAACTCGAGTTGTTAACACATGTTCAATTATAAATCATACATCATTTACTAACACACTCTATCAAACTAAAGCCACTCATACATACTTGAAATTTGGTTAGGATAGGTTCAATTATGGATCACATTTCTTTTACTAACAGTTGGAAGATGTTCAATTATGCATTTTATACCATTTAGATTTTAGGGTCACACCACGAAAACTAACTCATATGTGCTTGAAGTTTTTATAGATCCGAATACTATGTCTTTCTATAAGAGGCGGTTCGAGATTTTGATCACAAAATCTCAGTGCTTATACCATATCAAACCCAGTTTGATCCCATTTAACTAGAGTTATTAGAAGATTTTTCAATCATGTATCTTACACCATTTACTAACCGCACGTACCTCGGCCTCCCTGACCCGACGCAGGGAGTCGACACGCTTGGCGGTGAGGAGCTCGAGCGTGGCGATGCGTCGGAGCTGGCGCCAGTAGTCGCCGTAGGGAGCGTGGATGAGGTCGATCCCGCCGTACATGACTTTATCCAGGCTAGGGTGCGAGGGCCGCTGGGCGAACTTGATGTCGTGGGTCCTCATCACTTCCTTGGCGGCCTCCGCCGACGATACCAGCACGTGCTGAATCTCCCCGAGGTCCAGTCGGATCATGTCGCCGTGCTTTCGCGCCAGCTCCCGCAGCAGCCGGTGCGGGAGCTGGCGGGAGGTGAGGAAATGGTGGAGGTGGCCTATCACGGGGAGCTTCCATCCCGGAGCCGGCGCCAGCTGGCGGTGGCCGGTTTTTCCATCCCCTGCCCGTATTTTACGTGAGAAAATTATGATGGTTAGCAATAAGAAGAAGATGGGAAGAGCTTGTTGCAGGAGGAGATCCATGTTTTTTGTTTTTTTTTTTTTTTTGCTGTGATGAGTAGCTGATCAAACTAAGGGTATATATAGCTGAACGTTAGTATTTTGTCCTCGACGGTGCCCGGTCGAGTATAGATGGGATCCGGCCCGTATTTTTGTTCTTTTGTGGGCTGGAATCTAGTCAGTGTCCATTGGAATTCGGAATTCCCTTGGTCAAATTAACTGCCGGAAATCTAGCCGGTTCCCTTTGAACTGGTCAGCAGAAAACCGGTTCATGATGATTGGGACCTCTGGTCTTTGGAAATCCAGTCATTTCCATCTTTGGCATCAAATTATTCTTGCATTAAATCGTTTTCCCTAGTCTACTTTGTTATAATATGGAAGTGTTTGTACATGATAACTCTTTTTTTTTGGTAGAAGCGTGATAACTTATTTACTCTATCTTTTGTGAAAGAAAAGATACTTATACTGTCTTGCTCTTGGTTCGTCGAAAGTATTGATTAGATCTTCACGGCCGGCGAGTAGTATTGGCTGGCCGATCCTACAGCTTAGAGTTTTTTTTTAGTTTAGAGTCGGAGTGTGCAACTATTCGGTCCCGTTCGGATTATCAAATTTTAGAGAACAACTATTTAATATTAAAAGACATTTTTAGGAGTAGGAATCATACTAACAATGCATTCATATAATTTTGATGGTATCTAAATACTAGCGTGGGCCCCGACCAGTTGGTCAGAGAACCGTGAGGTATGAAATTTGATAATGTAATGGGGTGTATAGCTTATTATTGTATAGTTTTTTTTTTGGAAAACACGTGATAAAAACGGTGAATTTTAGTAGAAAAGAAACATAAATGATGCAACGAATCAAAAATCAGCCTTATTAACCAAAATCAAGTATCTATTACCTTGCGAAACAATATTGTTTCTAGTAATATGATGAGGTGGAGTAAGTTTTATAGAAACTGAATTCCAGAAAATCGAATAAAAAATCGCCTATCCCGCCGGTTTCGGGAAATGAGCATCTCATAATCGTTGCTAGCTTTTACTCGACCCGTTGGCCGATTAATTTGCTTTATAAAACTTTCATCTTGTCGTCATTGTGCTTTCTGATTTTTTCCCAGCCATGATAAAATCTAAAGAAATCAAGAATGAACAACACGATTTGGGATAGGAACCGTCGTTCCTGTATCCCTAGAAAATGGTGGTAAACACGGACTCGCCTGCCAAACTGGTTTGGATTGAGATTTTTATCGGGTATCAGGGAATCATGTGATTATAAATTAGACTTGATCAAAACGGGTCAAAACTTGAAATTCAGCCTGTTTGACCGACCCATGCCAAACTCTAATTATTCTTTTTTTAATTGTGTAGAATGAAGTTGATGTTATGGAGTGGAGAGTAAAGAAACTTAATTGAAAAGAAGAAGCTTTCAATTAAACATGTTATTTATGGATAATTTGTGATTTGCTTCAATTTTCTTGAGTTTTCTAGATTGGTGTTGAATAATTTGTATAGTTAATTTGTGATTTGCTTGAATTTTCTAGAATGGTGTTTTATATATGTATAATTTGTATTGAGAGATTGATATTTGACTTTAATTTTGATAAGAACTTGTAATTGTAAATTTTTTACGACGAAACCCGTTGATACCCATGAACCCGCGGATACCCAACGGGTTGGGTTGGGTTTGAGTTTTTCAAACCCAGTGGGTTTTACCCCGAATTTTTTTCAAAGATAAATCTATGGGTTTGGGTTTGGCAAAACCCGACCCATTGCCATCCCTACCTGGAGGTTTGGGTGGGGGCATTGGGCCGTTAACTATGGTAAATGTTTCTCTTAGCAGTTAGCACGTTCGATTTGGGCCGGGTCTTTGCGAGCGGGGCTGGGCCGTTTCAATTCTAGTTCTGGGCTGAGCTATTTTATTAATTAGTCTGTATCAGTACTCTAAGTCGACACATGGTGAGTTTTAAGTGGCTGGGTCAGCCACGTAAGCAGTCCAAGTCTTCTTCGTCGTGTCTCCGTCAAAACCCTCAAAATTTACCTTCTCGGCGTTTGCGGTTTACCAAGCCGATTCTCTCTCTCTATCAGAGCAAAGCGGTAACCGAAAATGTCCGATCACCTTCCCACCGATGTCGTCACCAACATCCTCCTCCGCCTCCCGGTGGCCGCAATTCTGCGCTGCCGCGCCGTCTGCAAGCCCTGGCGGGCCCTGATCGACACCCCAAGGTTCACGAAGCTCCAACTCGACTACACGGCTGCCACCACCAAAAACGCCGTACTCTTCGTCCTCGAGGACGACGGCGACGACAACGGCGACCTCCGCTCCGCCGCGTACGTCAACGGCCTCCGCCGCGAAGCCCGTATCAATATCCAAACCGCCCAAGTCGGCGACGCAATTTCACGCGAGGGCGTAACCCTATTCGGATCGTGCAACGGGTTGCTCTGCCTCGGCTACGACAGCGGGAAGGTGCTCATAATCAATCCGGCCACGAGGAAGTCGCACTCCACGATGGTTCGTGTAACCATTTCCCCGTATGATTTCAGCGCCGGCGGTGCGCATTGGTCTTACCGCGACGGTTGCGGGTTCGGGTATGATTCTGTCTCCGACGACTATAAGGTCGTCAAGGTTAACCAGAAGCTCGAGTCTAGTAAAAAGCTTCTCCAATCTGAAGTGATTAGTCATGGAGTTAGGTTGAACTCTCGTGTAGCCGTGAATTTCCCTTACTTCCTAGCTGGTTCGCAGAAAATAGGCGTGTTTGTGGGTGGGGCAATTCACTGGGTAGCTGGTAGGAGCGATGATCCGGAGAACAGCAACGTGATTGTGGGTTTCGATTTAGGGCACAGTGTATGCAAGGAGATCCCACAGCCAAAGTACACAAACAGGCGCTCGTTCAGCATGAGAGTTGGTGAGCTGGGGAAGTGTTTGTGCATATTTGCTAATTACTGGGGGAGGGTGGTTGATGTGTGGATGATGAAAGATTATGGAGTTAAGGAGTCATGGAGCATTCTGTGCTCGGTTCCACATCCCGGGTTGTCCCACGATTATGGGATTCGATCCCTGGGTTTCTCCATGACTGGCCAGGAGGTTCTTGTGCAGCTCGACGACAGGAGGCTTGTTTGGTACGACCTGAAGAATTCCCAGAGGGATGCTGGTGCTGCCCAGAAGGTCACCGTCAATGGATTGAGGACGGAGTGCATGGATGCCGTTGTTTGCTTTGGAAGCCTAGTTCCGCCTGATGGGAAGCTGCCACCCAAAGAAGTGAAAGTTGAGAAGCAATATCAGAAACCAAGACCCCAAAGGAAGAAGAGGTTTGGTGTTACTAGCTAGTGGCTACCTGTGTTTGTTACCATGTATTACTGCTTGTTTAAAACTGTGTTATTCTCGTTGCAGAGATGATTTCTTGGCTACTGGGTTCAAGCTGAAGCTTTAGTACTCCTCCACTAAGGTAATTTCTTGGTTATTGACTACATTACTATAGCTGATTGGTTCTTGTAACGTTAGTAGCGAACACTATACTGAATCGCTTGGCAATCTGTTTTGCAGATGCATATTATGACATATAGAATAGAGTAGTAGTAGTAGTAGTAGGAGAAGAAGAAGTCAGCTGGTTGGATGATGCATTGGAGGCTTGGAGCAGTGATGGACTGATGATGGGTAATAAGTGGTTGTTTTCAGCTTGTTCCCCACTCTCCATCATGAACCTATTTTGGCCATTTTGTAAATGCTGTGTGTGGGGAACTTAGGAAAGGGCTTCCCTGTTTTTGGCAACTTTTGGAAGCTCCAAATAGCATCAGAAGGATTGTCACTAAGTACTGGTGCAAGTAGTTAGTATGTAATGAACGTTGTAGTTTCTAAGCAACTGATATCAACCTTCCTTGCTTCATTTTGAGTACCATGCCTGATCAATGCTGTGGTGGAAACCTGTTTCGGCTTATCTGCTTGGTTCATTCCTTCTGATTTGTGAATGATTCGTTTCCTTTCTCATTGATAATGGTTTCTTCGCGATACTCGTACGACCTAACTCATAGATTATATGTGGTCATGAGTTGGGAGAGAATGCTTCTTGAAGTATGGTAGGGTAGCTCTTGACTAATGTTCTTTTGTTTACATATGAGACTATTAATTATAGTCGTTATAACGTGACAATTTGACCAAAAGATTTTCGTACCAAGATTTCTAACAAATACGTTTTTGCGTTATGCTTCTTATTCGTTTTTAGTTTATTGGCTAAAGCTCAACCAAATAACTCAGTTGTTAGGTTGAAATCATGATTGATAAGTATGCTATAGATGACTCACAAGTCGTCGTGCATTTTGACATTTCAAGGCTCAAACTTTGACGTGTTTTGTATATATATATCGTACACAATTTCGAAACTAACACACTTGAAAGTAAGTAACGGAGTTGGATTAAACGGGAATAATGTGATTATGACTTCTAGAGTACGTGTTCAATATTTTTTTTTGGTCGAACGTGCTCAACAAATTTTGGACTAATACCTATGATTTTTTTTTTTTTTTTTGACAAGTAATACCTAGAAATTTGATTGAATGTTTAACATATGGATTAGGAAGAAATAAAGGCTTAGCAGGATCTCCTTTAGATCCTGCTATTTTACCCAAGTTATGGAAGTTCCCTATCACTCCAAAGCTGAGATTTTTCATTTGGAGAATTCTACTTCGTATTCTGCCGGTTCGTGAGGATCTTCAAATACGTGGTGTTGATTTGATCAATTTGTGTCCGGTGTGTGACTCTGAGGAGGGTGAATCTCTTGAACATTTATTTCTCCATTGTCCGGTGGCTATCTCTCTGCGACAGTCTATTGGTCTCCAGTTGCCGCTAAATTTCGCACCTGAATTCCATTTCTCCCTGCTTTGGCGAGCCCTTTTTCAAGTTGGTGATGTTGCTCTCATTACGAAATGGATCTTGTTCTGTTGGAGAGTTTGGAAAGGTCGTAATAACGTTGTCTTCCTCCCGCATGCTCAGTATACAATTCCCGTTCTCCATCGCCAGTTTCTTGCTCATCAGGCGGATATCCAGTTGGCTTCTTCGGCGGATATCAACCCTCTCCACAGTGCTCGCCCTACTCATCTTCCCCTTCCTCGTCAGTGCCCTACGCCTATTCCGGCCCAAGGAGTTCGATTTGCGGTGGATGGTGCAACCAATTCTCCTCATGGTGGATCGTTGGGAGTCGTTGGCTACTGTGACTCAAGGCCTTGTTTTGCTTATGGGTGTTATTTGCCAGGGATATCCGATCCTTTCTTGGTGGAATTACTTGCGTTTCGAGAGGCTTTGTATTTACTGCACCGTTGGCAATGGTTCTCGGTTCCGGTTATCATCTCTGGTGATTCACAATTAGTGGTGACTCGCTTGAATGACAAATGCCCTGGCGACGTCATTGGGGGTGCTATTTTGAGGGAGATCTTCCACCTTCTCCGTCTATTCACTGCTGTTAAATTTATTTTTACGCCTCGAGAAGCGAATCGGGCAGCCCATTTGGTGGCACGAAATGCCTTACGTTATCCTGGCATATCCCCTACTTTACATGATTTTTCTTATCTCTTGTGTCTTTGAGTCCTTGTGAGGTGTTGCCGTAATTGTTGTGGCCCCTACACTTGTTACCTATGTTATCCGCAAGGATTACTTGACAAAAAAAAAAAAAAAAAAGAAATAAAGGCTTAGCAAATACTTAATTAATTTGGGAAAATTCTAAATTTTCGTGATGACCAAAACTCCATAAGCCACATAAACTTTCATGGGCCGACACGGAAAGTCTTGGGTAAAAGACCAGGAAATCAGTCCAATTAAAATTCGTGCCAAACAACTTGTTTCATCTTGGGCCATTGCCAGGCCCGCCACCGCTCAGGCCCAAACGATTACTGCGTAAGCAGCCTAGCTAGCGAACCCATCCATTCTAGACTCTAGAGTCTTCTTCTCGTCTTGTCTCCGTCGGGAAACTCAAATTTTTTGTATTTCCCCTTTCCCGGCAGTTACTGAGGCAAGCAGAAGAAATATGTCCGATCACGTTCCCTTTGATCTCGTCACCAAGATTCTCCTCCGCCTGCCGGTGGCCGCAATCCTACGCTGGCGCGGCGTCTGTAAACGTTGGCAGGCTTTGATCGACAGCACAGAGTTCAGCAAGCTCCAACTCAACCACTCCTCCTCCACCACTAAAAATGCCTTCCTCTTCGTCCTCGAAGACGATGGGTGCGGAAATGGCGACCTCCACTTCGCCAGGTACATCAACGGCCTTCGCCGGGAAACCATTCCCAGCTTTCGAAGCAACCCATCTCCTCCAGCCCAAATTGGCGTCATAACCCTAATCGGCTCATGCAATGGGTTGGTCTGCTTCAGCAACGACGCCGACATGGCTATCATAACGAATCCGGCCACGCAGCAGACGCACGTCACGCCGGCCATACCGAATCCGTTGATGGATTTGGTCAGCATCGCGGATTGCGTTTACCGCTACGGCTGCGGGTTCGTGTACGATTCCGTCTCCGACGATTATAAGGTTATCAAACTTCACCAGATGCTCATGCTAGGGTTCGATGCAAATGGTGAGGATTTTCATTCTGAACTGGTCATTTATGGGGTTCGGTCGAATTCCAGTGTATCCGTGAAATTCCCTTATTTCCTATCTGCGGAGAAGATGGGCGTGTTTGTGGCAGGGGCAATTCATTGGGTAGTTCACGATGATCGTGATAGGGGTGACTTGGTTGTTGGTTTCGATTTAGGGCTCGGTGAATGCAAGGAAATCCCTCAACCAGAGTACCGAAATAGGAAATCCCTCAAAATTAGAATAGGTGAGCTGGAGAATTGTTTGTGCATCTTTGCCAATTACCCAGGTAGGGGGGTGGATGTCTGGATGATGAAAGAGTACGGTGTTAGGGAATCATGGAGTATAATGCGATCTATTCCACATCCCGGGTTGTGCTACGATAAAAGGATTCGTCCTCTCGGATACTCCATGACAGGCCAGGAGATTCTTCTGCAGCTGGATGAGAAGAGGCTTGTTTGGTGTGACCTGAAGAAGAATCCTCCGGGGGTTGATGCTTCTACGGAGATCACCGTCAATGGATTGAAGAAGAAAAAGAAGAAGAACAAGAATAAAAAAAAGTACATAGATGCCATTGTTTGCTTTGGAAGCCTGGTTTCGCCCGGTGGTATGCTCCCACCGAAGGAGCAAGTGAAATTTGACAAGCAAAGGAAGAAGAGGTTTGGTCTTTAACCTTGAATGCGTTTGTTCATATACATGGACCATATTGAGATGCTCAATTACAAGATACTGTGTTACTTTGTGTTGGCACTTGGCAGGGATGGTTTCTTGTCTGCTGGGTTTAAGCTGAAGCTCTAATACTCCTCCAACAAGGTAATTTATTGCTTAATGTTTACATTGCTGTAACGTTCTTGCCCCCATTGGCCATTTACTATTTAGTATCATGCTCTGTGCTGAATCGCTTGGCTATGACTTTGGACAGATGCATGTTGCAAGATATGTATTAGAATCAGTGTAGCAGAAGAAGTCAGCTGGTTCATTGGAAGATGCAGCGTAGAAGTGATCATGGTGGTGGTTAGTAAGAGATCGTTTGAATTAGCTTCCTAGTCCCGGTCTTGAAGCTCTCTTTTGGCCTTTTTGTTTAGAATGTATGTAGGAAGTTGGGAAAGATTACCTACTTTTTGCCTCTTTCTTAGCTCCAACTAGAACCAGACAGATTGCACCTAATAGAACAAGTAGGTTTGAGATAGCATACTACTATGTGAATGTTGTTTATACTAGTGATGCACCTCCATTCTAGAGAACATAGTGATCAAGTGGTATGGTACGAGAATGATCATTTGAAAGGTTGTTTCAACTTGTTTGATACTTGTTAGTTGTCACGTAAGGGGTCACCATATGATGTCTACTTCAGAAATATATCTCAACTTAGATTTCTAATAAACATGTTATGTGTGCTAAACATCTTTAGTTTAGTCCATCAACGGAGATTCATTTAAATTAGTGAGTGTTAGGGTGAAGTCATGTTTGTAAGTACGTTTGTATTCACTCGTACATCACATACGTTGAGCGTTTATATTTTTTCTCCTAATGTTGACATTTCCTAATCAAGCTTTGTTTTTGTGTACATATCATTTGACATGTGGTAATTAGCACGATTACTTATGTTTTTTCTCCTAAAATTGACATTTCCTAATCAAGCTTTGTTTTTGTGTACATATCATTTGACATGTGGTAATTAGCACGATAACATTAAGGAATGGAGTTACATTTGGCATTGAGCGGTGGAAGACTAATTCTAGACATACATGAAGTGGAAGTGGAACATAAATCACTCGTGTGCAGCCTAGTTATTCTGCTAATTAGAAAATTCGTTAGTATATACTAACTAATATCCAAAATGTATGAACTAATATCCAAGTCTGTTGAGTATCTAGATAGCACAGACTAGTATTCAAAACATCACAAACTAGTATCCAGATAGCATATACCAACTAATATCCACAATCAACCAATTAGTATTCAATATGGATACTCTTATGTGTTATCTGGATACTCTTATGTGCTGTATGGATACTATTTATGTGCTGTATGGATACTAGTCTGTGTTGTTTAGATATTAGTTTGTGAATTTGGGATAATAGTTGATTCATGGTGAATATCAGTTAGCCAACTTTGAATACTAGTTTGTGCTTTTTAGATATTTTAGTACTTGATACTAATTCATGTATTTTGGATATCAGTTAGTATTTGCTAACGAATTTTCAAGTTAGCAGATTAACTTTTCTCACTCGTGTGGATAAATTCCCGTAGTAGATTTGATTGATTAGGCTAGAACGCATTTTCCCTTTTCCCTTTTCATTTCCTGTTTTACTTGCAGAGAGTGGATGTTCGTCAGGCCCAGTAGCGTTAGCCATGAAGGCCCAATCGAGAGGCCTCGCACTTGGCCCAATCCATGGATTTTGAATTTCGAGCCCAAGAACCACAATTTTACAACCATCCATATCCCCCTAACAAGTATCCTCGGGGCAAACATGTTAACACAGGAGAACTTGGTTAAAGGATTATTCACAGATCATGACTCATGTGACTTTTTTTTAGCAAGGCACAGATCATGAGACTTGGTAAACAGCAAGACTAACTAGGGAACACGCCCATCTGGCAGGAAATGAGATACTCTACAAGAGGCTACATTACACGGATGCGTTCACCAGACGCATCGGTACGTGACATGAGACTCGGTGATGTCGCCGGTGTATGTCACCTTGACCACCTGTCCCTTCTCGAGGGCGTAGTAACGAGCGATTGCATCCGACCTCAACAGCCGGGGGAGCTGCACAAGATTGAGACACGTCAACAAACATCAGCCGGAATGATATAATGTCATCAGCGTCGCAAATCGAACAGAAGAAGAGTAGATCGAAATGGGTAAAGACTCGAAGCATGAGGCTAGTGATCTAACCTAACAAGCTTATTTTGTTGATCAGCTTTTATCAAACTTAACTAGCATGGCTGGAAGAGTCGAAATCACCGGATACTACATAAACTCAAATGAGTGCATGAAGCTAATCTGACTTTCTGATGCTGCGGAATTAGGGAATTTTACGGCATTGTTCTACGGCTCATCTTTCAATTCTCTTTGATATGATTTCTGATGAGATTATTTGACAAGGGCAAGCTTACAAATGTGATCGATACAAAAAGCACGAAAAGCGATACAACCACTGAGAAGATCATGCACAAAGTCAAAGTTGAAGAAGCAAAGGAAATATGATCCTCAATAGAGTCAATGGCTTTAGGGGCACTAACCTGTTTATCTTCTATATTGTACTCTTTTAAGAGCTTCTTTTTCTCCTGGCTCGTTAGAATCTGGTGCCTTGGCTTCAACACATGCTTGGTGATGTTGACGAGCAAGTCAGTAATCTGCAATCCAAAACAAACCACAACGAGAATTATTTCTTAATAGTAACATGAAATGCTTCCCTTTCCCAATTGTCAGTTGCCAGATGCATTAAGCAATTCACTTAACGCTAATACTTTCCATGACATCGTAGTAACATATAGAAGCAAAATCAAACAAGGATTGTAGTCGCATCCAGGATTCACACAGAAGCAAAATCAAGCAAGGGTTGTAACTAATCTTCACTAAAACCTAAACACAAGCTAAGGAAAATGCTATGTATTCCAAAGTAGCTACATTTCCCTTCAGAGGACGTAGATGGACAATTATGGGGAAGCAAACATACCTGAAAGATCTCAACATTGAATTTGAACAGCCTCAGTGCCTTCTCGGCTTGTTTCGTTATTTGGCCTTGCAAAATCAGTATCAGGCCAGTTAAGCTGTCTCTATTAACAATCTGAGCAGAGATCAGACGGACCGTATTCACTTTGATCACCCCAGTTCCACCGAAAATCACCATCGTCTGCAATGAACAATCAACTCAGTTCACTTTCTCCAAAACCACCAAATCAATGGAAAAAAGAACATAATTTCTCCGCGTTCATCCTCTCCAAAACTTAAGCACCATTACTAACATTCATTCGTGTACGAATTAACAGGATCCAGATTCAGCTATTGAGCCAGAAAGATGATTCAACAACATCCAGATGCAGAAATTAGGTCAATCGAAACATGCAATCCCCACTCGATTTCATCAAACCGGCCATTCAAATTGATTGAGAGTGCGAAAGAATTGAGAGAGTACTCGTTTGGAGGGATCGGTCAGGTGAGTGGCGGAGAACTTGAGACGGTCGATGTCAATGTTCTGAGCGTGAATGGCGCGGAACTCCTGCAAAGAGACGGAGAGGTCGGATTCAGGGACGTAGTAGCCTCTGTCTTTCAGCATCTCCAGGACGGTTCTGCGGGCAAGGAAGTACCTGTGAGTCTCGGCGCTGCCGTCGTCGTGGTAGCTGCTCAAGCAGTTCCTCAGCCCATCCATTTGGAACACGGCGGCGGAGCGAGCTTCGCCGCGGGATCCTCCATTCGTCTTCGCCGCTGCCTCCGCCGCGCCGTTCTGTTCCATTTCTGATGGTTTCCCTCTTTCCCTCTCTGACTCCTTCCCCTCTTCTCAGTCGCTGTTTCAGTTCAGTGCGTCAGTACGTGACTGCGAGGGGATTTTTAATTTTTATACGAGTGTGTGAAGACTTGCTAACCAGGCCCAAATGGCGATCCAGTTAACCCACTGAGGCCCAAGGACATCCAAAGTCTTTATTTTCAACGGCCCAGCTGCTCCAAGGAGATCAATGCATATACTCTGGATCTTCGTAGCAGGCTGTTGGTCCATATCAAAATCTATAAAAACAAAACACGTTGAGTTTGTACGGGCCTGTTTACTTTCATTTCTGTTTCCTGTTTTTGAGAAAACAGATGTTGAAAACAGGTGAAAACAATATTTTGTCGTTTCCGAAAACAGCAGGAAGTTGCCACTTTCTGTTTTCATAGTTGGAAACGAATAGAAAACATAATGAAAAGTAAACAAGTTTTCTCATTTCGGTTACCAAATTTATCACATAAAAACAGAAAACAGGAAACGAAAATGGAAGTGAACAGGGCCTACAGTTTACGACATAAAATACTTGTACAATACCTTAAGAATTAAAGATTGATATAGAAATATGAGGTAAAAAGTGTGCTACACAAAAAATGATGATCAGTGTTCTATATTGTCATAATCATATAAATGATTTTGAGAATTTTAGATAAGGGATTAAAAATCTGCACAAGCAACAACCACGATCACAAATATATGGTTTCTCTATTCTAGAGAATTTCCTCGTTGTCGCGTCTTTGACACCTTATTTGCACTCGTGAAAAAGTATAATACACAATTTAAATCTACTACATATTCCTCTTTTCTATTTCTTGCTTTTTCTCACGTCACTTGTGCAAAAATCTGAAATGTAAAAGAGTGTTTTCACACTTAAGTGTGTTTTATCAAAGAAAAGGAATGTATTCCCCAATTTGTCACTAGTATTATAGTTGAGTGGCCAATTACCATAGTTGCTAGTGCTACAAGAAGAAACAAAAATTATATTCAATGTGCAGTAAGTTATAAATATTTGTCGAATATCGAGAGTGATAGCAACAAGCACAAAAGATCAAATCGAAATTTAGTCTACCGTATCACTAATATCATTATATGATCTCAAGTATATTTTGTATAAATAAAAGGAAGGTATTTTAGAATACCTTTATTTGGTTTGTTGCAGTTGCATACTTGAACATTGACGAAATATGCAGCAGACAACTATTTTTTTTTTTCTTTTCTTCTTCTTCTTCTCCGTCTCTTCCTCTACCAATCCTCGAACCAGGGTGGCGGATCCAGCGGCACAATAACATTTGCACCTAGCTTTCTCGCCAACAGGTCACTGAAGGATCAGTGCTCCATTGCCTGCCACTCAATTACCCATTCGAAAGTCAAGTAACACATACAGAGCTTGGCCTAATTTGCATCCATGTCTGTAAATGGAAGCAAATCCCTTCCAACCAAAAGCTGAGTGCTTGCTGGATATGGCGATGTTCTTCATTTTATATTTGATAACGAAATGGATGATGAAGATGTCAAAAAGAAAGGTATTTTGGAATACCTTTATTTAGTGTGTCGCAGTTGCATACTTGGATTGGATAATACTCTCTGGAATACCATTACCCAAGTATGACAGCAAACGACTGATTTGGTTTTTGTTTGTTTCTCTGCTGCTGCTGCTGCTGCTGCTGCTACCAATCCTCGAACCATGGCGGCGAGAACAGCTGCAACGATAGCTAGCTCCGTGCCTCGCCTTCCCGCCACCAGGTCAACAAAGGATCAGTGCTCCGTCGCAGCTCAGTTCCTTACTTAAACCACTTGAGAGCAAGCAACTCCATGAAAATTGCTGCTGATCGCAAGCCAGTGTGAAACGAGCGATCAACCTAATTGGCTTCGATGGCTGGAAATGGAACCAACAAACACAGACAGCTTTGACAACAAAAGTGGAAAGGGGGAAAACCCCATCAATCGGAGCAGCTCCGGCAACGAATCAGGCCGTTCTCGTTGAAATCAAGGCTCCGCCGGAGCCTTTCTTCGTCTTCATCGAACACCTTCTGCTTCATGCTTCCATTCAAGTGACAAATTTATCAATAACCGAAGTTCAGTGATTAGTTTGGTAGTAGCAAAAAGTTTGGGCATCAATGACACAATTTGACCCGAATAATTAGACCAAGACCCGCGGCTCGGAGGCGCACTGACTGCAGCAGCTATCTCAGTCTCAGCAGCTGCATAGACGGCGGCAGAGGCAGAGAGTTAGAGAGGCGAGTCAGACGACGACGGCGACTTTTAACCGGTGAGAACATGTCGGAGGTAGGAGGAGCCGTAGCGGTGGAGGACGGGGAGCGCCGCCGTCAAAGGACGCTGGAAGAGGCTCTCGAGGTCCAGTCTCTCCGCCGTATCATCAGCGCCTACCTCAAGTACTCTTTCTATCCCACTCGCTATCTTCGCTTCTTTCTTTTACCTTTCGCCGCTGCACAATCTGTATCATTCGCCGTTGAAGCTTGAAAGCATTTTGCGCGATCACTCCGCCGACGGAGATTTTGTGAAGCTAATTGCAATCAGTTGCTTCGCTTCGTTCTCCTCTTTGTGGATTGCGTATTTGTTTCCGGAACCGAATTCGAATCGATTTTGCGCTCTGATTAGATAATCGAGTGAAGATTGCACTGTGGAGCTCTTTCCTTCTTCTTGTATTGAAACTTGAGAGATGGCGTCTTCGCTAGAAATGGACTATTTTCCTATGTATCTGCAATGGTGGCGTCTGTTCATAACCTTTTCTTATGCAGCTATCCTGAAGCAGCAGAAGAAGATGTCAGAAGATACGAAAGATCTTTCAGAAAGCTTTCACCTGCACACAAGGTAGTCTTAACTGCTGTACTGAACTGTTCTATCTTGCTAATCTAGTACTGTGCTTATTCTTTCTTTCTGGTGTGAAATGATTAATCATCTAGCGTAAAATCTAAAGTTTGTTGTCTGGAATGTGATTATTCAGGCTTTACTACCTCACTACCCCATGAAGTTTCAGAAACTACGTAGGTAAGTCGATCTTCGCTTGCTCTTCCTCTCATTTTCCCCTTTCGAGTGTATCGGTACAATTGTTGCTAAGAAATGGTCGTCTTCTTAGCTTCTAGCAATGACTAATCATTCCAGAAGCTCAGAAGACTTATTCCTTCAAATGCAAATTGCTAATTATACTTTGAAATCTGCAGCTGTATAGCTACGAATTCTTATTTCATATTCAACATGCTTCAGGTAAGTATGTCTTTTCTTTCCTGCCAATGTTTCTCAATCGCTACTCATATTCAAGTGCATGCCCATTCCATCGTTGGCCTTCGATAATTAGTTGCAAATCATAATATAGTGGTTATGGACACTCTTTGGCAGGCTTTTGAGCCGCCTCTAGATATGAGCCAAGACATGGATTGTTGTGATGACTTGCATCACGAGCACGCATCCGGACATCATTGTTTATCAGAGCAGAGGAATTCTTGCTGTTCGCCTGCTCCGGGTAGTGGAGCTAACTATTGTTCCAGGCCTGAAGAGGCATGCCATGGAGAAGGGAGCCATATGCATAAGATGTCAACTGGAGAGCCTATTAGTGAGGTATTTACATTATTTCTTGTTTCATTTACAACTTGCAAATTGCAATTGTATGATCTCTTGTATGTTCTAAAGTCTAACTTTCTCAATACCCCCAGGAAACCACAATTGGAGGTTCCCATGACTGTCCTGTGGACAATGGCCGGAGTGGGGTGAATGACGGAGCAACACTACAACAGGAACCTGATGCCCCCGAGTCCAATGGCGATGTAATGTCAATTAAAATTTATTATATTCATGATCAAAGTATTTCAAGTTAAATACTACAGTTAGAAAAGATGTTTATTGTCTCCTCAATTTAGGCGAATGCTCCCAATGATTGGTTGGATCCATCAATTCAGTTGCATGTTCCCCTTGTCGATGTTGATAAGGTAAGATTCAAACTGTTATGATGTCTGTTGGTTCTTTTGTGTGTCTTGGCATAGAAGTCATTGTTTATCTCTAGTGTGATGTACCACTCTGCATTGGTGATGAATAACCATTCTATTATGTGTTTTAAAGCCGTAGCCATGAGGTTGAAGCTTAAGGAAAATGAATTCATAATGGTAAATTATCCAAGGCATGACAATGGCATAGTAGTCTGTAGTGTTGGCTATATGTGCTCATTCTAACTAGATCAAGTACATGTGGCATTACATATCATTTTTATGCCTGCTGTGTTAGATTATGAAGTTCTAATCAGCCCTCTGCTCTTCAATTTTCGCAGGTCCGTTGTATAATAAGGAATATAGTTAGAGACTGGGCTGCAGAGGTACTAATCGTCTGCTTTGAGTTTGTTCCTCATTTCCATGGGGTATTAATCATGGTGGTCTTCTTATTTGTAGGGACAAAAAGAACGTGATGAATGCTACAAACCTATTCTTGAAGAACTAGATTCTCAATTTCCCCACCGTTCTAAGGAGAGGTAGTGTTTTATTCCCTCAATTATTTTATGGTTTATTATTTATAATGTATTGCATTTACTGTCATCTAGCCTTGCTTAGCAATTTTTTTTTTTTTTGTGCAGGGCTCCTGCTTGTTTAGTTCCTGGTGCTGGACTTGGCCGACTAGCATTGGAGATTTCACGCTTGGGTACAAACACACTGATATAATTAAGTTGTTTTGTTAAGCATTAGGAATGCAAATTGTCATCCTTTTTAATTAAAAATTTGGGGATCTCTCCATCATTTGCACTTGTTTACAGCCAAATTGACACTTACGTGATGGCAGTTTAATTCTTTCCATGTCATCAAACAGGTTTTATGAGTCAAGGAAATGAATTTTCTTACTACATGATGATATGCTCGAGTTTCATTCTTAATCAGTATGAAATATCCTTACACTCTTACTACTCTTGCTTACAATTCAACCATTTGCGAGCTGCTGTCGTATTGACATCTTTTTTGTTTTCTTTTGTAGTGCTGAAACTGTTGGGGACTGGACAATATATCCTTGGATCCATAGTAACTGTAATTCACTTTCAGATAGCGATCAACTTCGTCCTGTGCCAATACCAGATATTCATCCTGCGAGGTATTCTTCTGCTCCTACTTCTATTTCAGTTTCACCGTTGTGTCGGTATCCATGCCCTAAACATTCATAATTACTATTACATTCTTTCGGCATCCTTTGATAACTTCCATTGCTAGCAGTGCAGGGATTACTGAAGGATTTTCTATGTGCGGTGGCGACTTTGTCGAAGTCTATAGTGATGCAAGTCAAGAAGGTAGGAAATTAAGTACTATGGTCAGTAATATTTCACGCGGAATGATATTTGAATGCCTGTGTTATCACCATCATACATTAGGGCTCCCGTGAGATTCTGCCCTGTTGGAATAATCCTAAGATCATTTTTCTGGCCATGCGTGCAGGATATTGGGATGCTGTGGTGACATGTTTCTTCATTGATACCGCGCACAATATTGTAGAGTACATCGAGATCATATCAAAGATTTTAAAAGATGGAGGAGTATGCCAAAATAATATGATTTCTTTTAGCTGATTGTTCACCATTTTATGAAGTTCTTGTACCAACTGGTTGTGTTTTGTTATGGATGAACAGGTCTGGATAAACTTGGGTCCGCTTCTGTACCATTTTGCAGATATGTACGGGCAAGAAGATGTAAGCTCTCTTTGCTTCTGTTCTTTAAGGGAAAAAAAAACATATCCCGAGAATTGGTCGACCTAAAGTGAACTCTGACTCTCTGTTCTGTGATTTTTGCTGTAAAGGAAATGTCTGTTGAACTGAGCTTGGAGGACGTGAAAAGAATTGCTATACACTACGGGTTTGAGTTTGAGGTAAAGCATTATTGTTTCCGCCACATGCATGATCGTTCCTCTCTCCATGAAATGCCAATTGGAATTTATGTGTTCTGATGATCGGCTTGTTAATCAATTTTAGAAGGAGAAGACAATCGAGACTACATACACGACAAATCCTCGATCCATGATGCAAGTAAGTGCCGCTGGTTCTTGGATTCTCTCCAGTAGTCAGCTTGTCGTCATTCTTGCTTTAGGTGGTGGATAATTGGATGTACAATGTTGAAACCTTTTTCATTTGACAATGGTATTCCTGCTTGCAGAACCATTACTCGGCTGCATTCTGGACTGCAAGAAAGCGTTTGAAAGCTACTACCGACGAGAGGCAGCCAACCATACCATAGTCATTCAGGACATTAACCATCTGTATCGAAGTCATTCTGTATGCTCTGCCTGGTTAATTTTGATGGTTTCGCCCATCTTCTGGGTTGTACGATGTAACTTATGCAGGCCAAATCTTTCATATCCTGCCGATTTGATGGAGCTTCTGCGGCAGTCTTAAACAGGAGCGAGCGTGTGAAATTCGTTTGATGTAGTTTTGAAGAACATGTAAGCTAGTCAGAGTGCCATTTTGTTAATCCAGTTTGATTTAGAGGGATAAGTTTTGGATGCTTCGTTTAATTCACTTTTGAGATCTAATAATCCAATTGGGAAGTTTATGCTAGCTGCTCTTCTCAATTTGTCATTCTGCTTCAGGTTCTTCAACCTCTGCCTCCCCTACTTCTTCCTCTTCACTAGCTGCCACAACTTCCTCATCCTCGTTACGATCGCCATCCATCTCCATATCGTCGTTTTCATCGTCAACGTCATTGCTTTGGTGCTCTGCATACGCCTGCGAGCTCACCACCTGCCCTGCCAGGTCTTTGTGCTTTAGGTTCCCTGTCGAGAGAACAAAACAAAACCCCAAGTTTATTATGCAGCAATCTGGAGTGGAACGAACAAACAGCTTCAACTAAAACCTCTCGTACCAATCCAGCAAGTGCGTCCTGTTGACGTTGTCAGAAGGAGAGCTTTGACACGAAACAAGAACCGCTCCATCGATCGTTTCGTGGCAGGAATTTTGGATGCCACGGCAGTTTGCTTCATCCCCTGTCCGGTCAGGACAACAACAACATCAAAATGGTGCTTTTTGGAAATACCGTTCCAGATGTATCAAGTATATATCAATTTGGTCAAGACAACTGACCTTGGCTTCAGAACAAAGAGTCTGAATTGTTCTTGTGCCCTTCTGAAACTCCATTAGCTGGTCATGATCGTGGAAACGGATTCAAAAACAGTTGACGTAAAGGTCTACCGAACAGTAATGATGGTAAGCAGTAAGAGAAAGCTTTACCAGTTTGATTATGAGGTCATTGTGTGTTTGAAAATGGGCCTCTAAGTAGTCGAAAGCTGTAGACCAAGGTCCAAATGTCAGGAGTCAAAGCAGCAGCAGTTTCAGGTTAGTGGAATTCAGAAAAAAACAGTCATAATTTGTTACCTTTGAGGAAGGAATCGACAAACTTCCCGCCATATTTTACAGCCATAGAATGCATGTTTACCTGTTGCATGAATTGATAAGACCAAGGTATCCTTTTAAATTGGCAAAGTATCCCAAGTTAAAAGACGTTTGGGAGAGCCATAATTGCGGTCAAGTTTGTGTCACCTTATCATGCAACCGGCACAAGTTAACCAAGGAGACCAGTACATTTACTGATTTTCGTAAATCGGTCAAATGCTTTTCGACAATTTCAGGCTGAGCAGCAGCAGCTCCTCCAGCTTTAGAGACTTTGGGAACCTAATAACACGCACCCGCATAATTGGGGAACCTACGGTTACATTAACTATTTCTGATGAAATTGATCCAATAGCTTGCACTTTAACAATCTGGGGGGCTGACCTTTTGGTTTAGGATCGTGATGTTCGCTTCATGCTGCAGACATGATAGAGTTAAAGTTAGCGAGAAATACAGATGCATAACTTCAATTACCCAAAAGGAACATGAAACAGGTGGAAGGGAGACGTTAATGTACCAGGACACGGTACCACACAAGGAATGTCGCATTGCACAGAGATGGAAAACCATGATCATCATCATCTTCACTTGGTGAAGAAAACTGTATCAGAAAAACAAAGCTGATGTAGAAGTCTTCCAGAAAGCTATGAAAGGAAAACATCTTCGCTAAGTGTGAAGGAATACCTGAGGCAAAACGGAGCAGGCAAGCTCATCCAGCAAATTAGCTTTAGAGTCACTATTGTCCAAGTATATCTGCAACATCCGCTGCACTATTTCTCCCTGGTGAAAGAGAAGGTTGAAATCAACAAGATATAAATGTTATTAATCTGTTTCAAGGGGGAAGTACACACAAGGGCAACAACAAACAGCAGGTAATACAAGCGCCCATACTTTGTCCTTCCAGCCATTCTCGAGACTTCCATTATCCCATTCCTGTCTTAGGAGCTTACAAGCCGAAGTACTGGCTCTTTGATGCAATACATTGAGAAGCCTGGTCATTGACGTTAGTTGACTCTTTTCACCATTCTTCTCCCATCTTTCAAGCAATGCCTTGATAGAAGCAGTTATCGACTCTAGAGTGAAGAGTGACTCTGAAGCTAGTGCGAAGGAGCATGAGCAAGCTGCACAAACAGGTTACATTCTGTGAAAGACGACCGACCAGAAAAGGGAAATATTTTAAATCAAATAAATTGCTTACCTATATCCATCACATTTTCTACAAATGAAAAGGCCCCAAGATACAAATACTCGGTCGTCCCCGGCGAAGGGATAGGTTGTATTCCGGAAGAAACATTTGAGGGTATATTGTTAGGCTGAAAGGCTTGAAGTAGATCCGCGAGAATTGACTTATCCATTTGAATATCAGGAAGGTTTATCATCTGTGATGAAGGACATAAGTATAGAGCAAGAAGACATCATACTTGGAATCAGCAATGCTCTCAGTCATAACCATGAAGAATAGAGTATAAAAGGTGTAGATTATTGTAGCTATGGAAGGTAGTAAGGTTTACCTTACTAAAACATTTGAGGACTTCCTTGGATACTGCAGTGGAAACTAAATACTTTGAAGGTATGACACTGGCCGCCTCAGGATTGCCAGCCGAAGCAGAATGAATGTCCCAATGCTCTTTGCAAGTTTCATCCCCTAATAAGTACCCCCATTGTTCTTCGATGGTCATTCTCTACATGAAAATTTAGTCTCTGGGAACGTATTGAAAAAGTAGGCATATAGTTACCTTCTTTGAGAACAGAGACTGATGTATCAAAATGACTCTTAACAAATGGAAAGAGAGGCCTAATGCTATTCAGGAATTCTCGGAGTGTCATCCTGGAGAAACTAGCTGAGGATCTTGAGCACCTTGGGGAAAATGATTGTTTAGGAGGAATGAAGTAATCCAGCTTGCTGTGAAGATCTTGGAGAAGGTATAGGTACAAGGGCAACTGGTAGACCAATAGCATGTTAGTTAATTAAGCATGAGCTCGTTCATTACAGAACAAGATTCTTACCTCAGCTGAAGGATCTGAACAACAGGATTCCTGATTCTGCAATAGAAGCAAGAATAATAACAAAGTATAAAAATACTGTCAGATTATGGTAACGACAGGAATGGATAGCAAGCTTAGGAAATAGATACAACAAAGAGGCCACGGGATGTGCTCCCGCTCTGGTAGTTGGCAGGTGGCAGTTTGTGAAAATGAACGATGAGTCACGCAAAAGAATTCATCACCTTTGAGAAAGTTAGTAGGGACAAACACTGGACTAGAAGAGGCCTGAATTTGTATCTCTGCAACTCCAGACCCTTAGCAGCTGAAGAAAATTCTGTAATTACAGGCTCCTTAGAGGTCCGGGCTTCCTCACCAGCTGAGTTAACCGTTGGACTCTTAGAACAAGGAGTTGAAGCCTCTGCATCCGTCGCTTCCTGGGTTGCTGTGGATCCAGCCTTTTTAAGGACATCAAATAATGTTTGCTGGCGAAGTTTTCCATTTATATCTGAACTAGTCGAGTCTTTAGACATTCTCTTATGTTTTTTGTTTTTCGGGGAGGCACTGCAATGTACTTCATTCTGCTTGTTCCTCTTCTGTACTGTGTTCTTTGATTGGTTTAGAACTCCAGGTTCTTCTGCGTGACAATGTATCTCAGGTAGAGACAAATTATGTTGCTTCATGGAACGGTTTAATAAACTCTCCAGGCATCTGCGTGTTTAGAATTCCAGTCAATAGTAAGATATCAAAGTCATCAATTCAAAGGATCAAACCATGTAATCCATAACGACCTTTCACGGGGAACTGAAGAACATTACCAAACAGGAAATACAAAAACAACAAACACACTTCAAGGCATCAACAAAACAATTCAAGTTTACACTCAGCAAAACTCTTATTGGCATCATTATTAAAAGAAAAGGAAACGCATGACAATTTGAAATGCAAGCTTAGTTGCGAAAACAACCAACTTGGGGAAGTTTTAGCTAACTGGATCAGGCAGGTAAATAAACCGAGGCCTAGATTCAACATGGATAAACTTATGCTATAACATTGACTGATATTTTGTTTCTTATTTCCCTGCTAATGGAAGACCCTTTCCTCTCAAATAGATAAAACAATTTGCATCTTGGTGGTGGAAAGTCAAACTTACATAAGGTTCCTCAATCGCTTTGACAGTTTGACAACAATCTCCTCCTTCACGGCCTGGCTGGTGCATTCATCTTGCCCAGCTACTTGTGTGCAGAAGGCGTTCAGCTAACAGAACCATGAGCATTCATCAAATATAAATTCAGGCTCAAAACATGCAGCTTAGATTTAAACATTATTGGCAGGTAAGAAAGTTACCAACTCTCTTATCCAATTAGCTGCATAATAAAGAGAAAGGCACAAAGTCTGCTTCTGCTTCACTGACAGAGACTGCCAACTAGCTGCAGTAAAGTACTGGTATCGCACAAGACAAATTGACAAAATATAAGAGCATTAACTTGAATGATGATCAAACACTCCTGTTCCTTTTGCATTGACAGAATAAAGTATATTGAAAGATTTCCAGCTCACACTGAAGCATGGGAGATGCAAGGGACAGCCAAGTAGAGCATCAATTCCAGAAAGTGATCCTTGACTTGTCAGCCTTTCAAACTGATAAACACGGTAAAAAAAAAGGATACATAAGTTATGACATACCGTTAGTACTTTTCACAGTATAGAGAGAGAACTCACAGCTGATAGTAGGAGAAAGTTAGCAGGAAGAATCTGCAGCGAGGAGGTAGAACTGCGCACATCCAAATTACAAATTCAATGATTGTGAAGTTACAAACAGGATACTACACAGATAAGATATTGGCTAGAACACTAACTCTGCAGAAGAAGAAACTAATGGCAAAATGCTCAGACAAACAGGAGATGCATCACCATCAAGATTCATCCATAGCTCTCCTGCAAAAAAGAAAACGACAAGATCAGACCTGATATAACTCAAGCAATTTAACAAAAAGCGTTCTTCAATCTGTAATATAAACTCTCCAACCTTCTAAACCACAATACGTTTCCACTGCAGGCAACTGACCACCATCCAGATCAGCCAGAAATGTTGATTCAAACTCCACGAGTTGTTTCCCTATCCTACACAACACAGCAGAATTTCAGTGAACAATGTGATGATTCATTAATTTTCATTGAGATCTTATTTCATATACCTACCAGTCCATAATTCCTGGATGAAGTTTTTTAGACTCCAGCATTGCAGTCAGTTCATCGTAAAAGAGGACTAAAAGCAATGGCACACTTTTGCAAGAGTCCAATGAGGCTCTTAAGAGTTCCAAAATCTCTGTGGAGTCTGATTTCTGTTAAAACGGAGTGACTATGAGTGTAAACTAAACACTGAAATTCCTTGAATTAAGAGTTGTATTTTGGCAGATCTCCAGCCCGTCGAGTTTCAGAATTAAAACAAGAAACAGTCGGTTTACTCCAGTGTGTAATGTGATGGTATTGGGTCAAAACATACCCCAGCAGAGGCTGTAAGGCTGAAGGCGTTTTCTTCTCCCAAGCATGAGATCATTTTCAGAACTCCTATCAGACCCATCTTCTTGTACTTCATATTTGGATGGCTTATCTGTACAAACAAAGTCATGAGAAACAACATAAAGTAAACAATCTAAGTTAAATAAGCTCATGAAGACATGTAAGAGGTACATTAGTAAACATCTTACACCCTATAGATACCTGTTTCCGTACTATCATGAAAAGTTCATGAGCGATGGAAGATCCATGACAGGAACCATCAGATTGGGTAGACAATGCCAATTGACCAAACACTTCATAAACCTGCATTCTACAAAATTAGCAAGTACTGAAAGGACTTCAACTAGACCCAAAGGCGAAACAAGCATTAGGAATCGTAGTAACCTTGTGAAGATTTTCAGTGCCAAATCCCTCCAGGTAATCCAAGATGCCTGACCAAAAAAATATGAAGATTAAGAAAACAGAGAGATTAAGAATTGAAAGACATAGGAAAAGTTACTATAGAATTCACACCTCATACGCAATCAAAACAAGCTAATACCATTTAGGAAAGAAGAATGTGGAATAAGTTCTCTAGTGTATTTGAAGGCTAGCACACTCAAAACCTCTAAAGCGGAAGTGACTTCGAAACTGACGCCTGATCCAACGTGCGTTACAAGTACACCAAGGACCTGCAAGAGAGAGAGAGAGAGAGAGAGAGAAAGAGAGAGAGAATGTTTCCTCATTGAGTCAAGCAGTACCCTATGGTGAATAAATTCAGGTCCATCAAGCTACTTACTTCCTGTCTGCAATAATTATCATCTAGCTCTTCAAATAGACGGGTATAGATATGCTTGCCAAAGTCTCTTGCTTTTGTTTCTTTAGAAGCCAATAAGTACTCCGCCAGTGAAATAAATGAAGAGAAGTAATCCTGAAGAGAAAGGTCAAGATGACCTTCATAATTTGCCAGCGAACCATATAACTATATATTGATTGAAGTTCTTCACATATTCTATCCAATCCTGTGACAAGGAAACATACCTTCACCAAGCCTTTGTTCTGGCAGATACATTGGTCAATTGGAACTTCCGACATACAATTATCAACAATCTTTTTCTTTAAAATCTTTTCAACACTTTTCTGCATGGACTCCCCACTTTTGTATATAAGCACAAGGAGCCATATGTCTATGACTTTGAAATCTTCTGGCGTGCGAAGGCTATACAGTTCTTTCAAAATCTCTTGACATAGCATCTACATACAGAATCAGACATCGTAAGACGAGAACTGCAGCTTTTAAACCAGAAAAGGCCAGTAGAAACATACATTTTTAAATAGCAGACTTGATCGCAGTGCCTCCAGAATAGATCCCTCTGTGTTATCCACAACAAATTTTCCTTTGAGCTTACTTTGCTGACTAGCTAGGGAACTCGATAATCCTACAAATTTCAGTTGTTCACGGATCTGCTGAATTATTCTACGGACGTTTACTGGTGTTGCTGAGAGCAGTAAAAATCTGAGTAAATATGGCATCTGCTCCCCTTCAATCGTCCTAATGCATGATAGTGCAGTAGTGATCACCTTCAAAATAGAGAACACAAATTGATTAAGTCATTAAAGAGCAAACATGGAGCATTGTTTCTCTATAAGCTTCCAACAAATGCATTTCATAATTCAGTACTATTAACAGTGCTCCTACACTTATCCCCATATTCTAGGGAACAATGGCCAAGTAAATCATGTTCGTAAAACGAAGGGGCTGATAAGGACAGTCCTAACTCCTAGAGGACTGAAACCGACTGTTTAGAGAGACCATTGGCAGTTCTTCATAGTGACATCTCAAGGTGAAGAGAAAATAAGAGACAGAGAGGGAAACCTGGTCTTGCAACATATAATCCAAAGTAAGATTGGAATAAGCATCAAGCACAGGAACAGTGATACCAGAATCCTCACGAAGCAATTGCTCGAGGGAATCGACCATCAACTCGTTGTTCTGATCACCTATAATCTCAGGCAGTGATCCAATGATTTCTTTCTTCAAACGCAAGGGAGAAATCGACAGGACTTCCATGAGCTTCTCGGTGAATCCCTTGGGATCAACAAGGAAATCTAGCCACCTAAACTGGTTAATGATCAGCCTAGCAACATCATCTTCCAGCGACAATGAGGTTCCACACTGTTCCGAATTCTCATCAAAATAGGCAGGAAGTTTCTCCAGAAGCACACTCTGTAGCTCCTGCTGGATTGCCGGAACTAGCAACAGATTCCGCACCAAACTCTCACCTCTCACGCCGGAGGGCGCAAGAACTCTAGCAAAAGAACAACACACCATTTCCTACACTCAGACAGCGAGATTCCATACTGGCGAAGCGAAAATCAGGCACTAGTAAGGGAAATGGTCGACCTACCTTTGAAGATTTTGACGAGAATCGATGTAAGAGGAGAATCCAGCCATGAAATCAGAACGGAGTGAAGAAGAATCGCTGCCGCCGCCGCCATCGGAAGACGAAAACCGGCGGTTGAGATGAGCTCGGAGCTTGTGGTGGTCGGAGGGGAGACACGGAGGACCTAGTGGATTGATCAACGTGCATCCGGCATCGGCGAGAATCGACGCCATTTTATCGATTGAAGCTAGGGCGTCGCCGTTGCGGCCTGCGGCTCTCGTGGACGACGGCGCCGATGTCTGCTGCTGGTCTGGTTTAGGGATTTTGGCGGCCGGGAAAGGAGAGACGAAGGGAGAAGAGGCTGTCCTCTTCTTCTTGGAAGACAGTTGGTGGAGTAATACCATTTTCACGGCTGCCGGATTCTGCTTCCCGTTCTACTTCTTCACTTCCCTCAGTGGGGATGACAGAAGATTAGAGATGGAAAGGACATTTTTCGTTTTTCACATGAATTGGTGGGAGGGAAATTAAGGATTAGAAGAATGGCGCCAACTTCCTGAGGAAGATACAGCGAATGTGCTAATTGGGCTCGAGACAAGCCCATGATTGGTTTCCTACCTCGGCTCGGCAGCCCAAACTGGCACGATATAATTTTTTTCCTTTTACCTCTTGCGTATTTTGATGGAAATCTGTTGCTGCGAGGTGCGAGCTCAAATAGCTAAAATATTTTTCTGGAAGTGTTTCGGTACAAAAAAAATTCAATTTTATTGTTTGAAGTGAAGTGTTGACCGTCATAGGCTCAAGAGCAATGTCACTTCGGTTGAACGCAGCAGCACATCGCTTATGCAGAGGGGCAGCTGGGTTCGCACTGCCGGATCTGCTGCTTTTCCGGAGAACCAGATCTGGTGGCTCCGGCGGTACCAAAACCCGCACCAGAGCTCGTCAAGCCTCCCGCCGCGCCAGATCCGCCGCCACCTTCGCTGGTACCACCAAAAGTCGCCGATTTTGTCGCAAATCCGGATCTGCTACCTCTCCTGCATCCCGATCTCGTCGCTCCGCCAGTAGCAAAGTAGCCAAATCTTATGGCTCCGCCGGTAACCGAGTCGTTCCGGATTTGCGGGAGAGGTAGCAGATTTGGCTACTCTGTTACTGGCGGTGACGAGATCGGGATGCAGGAGAGATAGCAGATCCGGATTTGCGACAAGATCGGCGACTTTTGGTGGTACCAGCGGAGGTGGCGGCAGATCTGGCACAGTGGGAGGCTTGACGAGTTCTGGTGCGGGTTTTGGTACCGCCGGAGCCACCAGATCTGGTTCCCGGAGAAGCAGCAGATCCGGCAGTGCGAACCCGGCTGACCCTCTGCGTAAGCGATGTGCTGCTGCGTTCAACCGAAGTGACATTGCTCTTGAGCCTATGACGGTCGACACTTCATTTCCTATGAATCTGGCGCTGCCCAGCCCCGTGAGCGAGAAGATCCTGAAGGTTAAAGAAGGTGATAAGTCGCGTTATACAGCAACTCGAATATGTCTCCAAAATTTCTCGAACTGGATTTTGGCGGAAAGCTCAGTTGGAGGGGAGCTTGCTCGGTCCAGAATTCACTACCTGGCAAATGTGCTGATACAGAGGCAGGTCATTACTATTGGGAGTCTCGAAGATGCCATAGCTTTGGCCATACTAAGGAGGGAGTATGGTTATAGAGGCCAAGTCTCACTGTGCTGTTGTGAATCTGGGAAAACTGATGAGGTGAGGAATGCCTTGCCAAACATACTGGGTGTCCAAGTGAAATGGACCGGGAAGAAAAGGAAGCTTTCTGCGCCACTGCAGGTATAATCTAGTCCTTATTAAATTGTTCTCAATTCACACAACTAGTGTCTGCATGTTGATCTCGTTGTCTCAATTTTAAGTGACTGGTGTATTATGCCAAACTCGAACCATAAGTTTCTTGAGATTACATTCGCCAAATATGTTATTTCTTGACTTCTGAGTTAGCCCAAAGCATTGCTTATTGCCTGATTCATCATCGAGATCCCTGTATGCAATGAGTGCTCTTGGCACTTGGTTTTCCATGGTGCTAACATGTTGTTCTGCTCTTTAAACCTGCTTTCCGGATCATCATTAGGTGGCTGACTGCATCTTGTCACCCTTTATTCGTCTCATGACATATTCTTTTCCATCATGTTCATCGAAAGAAGAAATGGATAGCTGATTATCTGCTCTAATTCTGTGTGATTTTTTATTTTTTTTGTTAATGTGTTTATACAGGATTGATGTTGTGCATGATTCACGAGGTAGCATCTAACTCTAAATAGGAATGGAAGAGGTGTCTAGTAGAAAGCATTGGAATACTCTGAGGCGGCATGTTGACTTTTACACTGAGGATGGTAGGTTGCTATTGAGAGGTTTAACCCTGAAAAGTCTTAAATAGGATGGTAAGTAGTAGTAGAAGGCCTAGTAGTTTAGTGGTTTCTCTGCCAAAACCCTACTTAAATATAGATAGATGATATGAGTTGTTTGTTGTGAGTACTGTTCTATCGGATCGTTTCCTGTTGTCACTACACATCTTTTGGTCCTGAGTTCTGTCTTGAGCGAGTCTGGTTTGGTGTACCGTCGAACCGCTGCCTTTCTGTTGGAGACTCGTTTCCACTATCCTCTGGTTTAAGCAAGCTATGTAGTGACGAATTTCTGTGAACTTTGAAAGTTGGAACAGACAGAACAGTTATCTTTGATGCACGCATCCATTGTCTGTCATTATAGTATACTAGAATCAATACCCGCGGCTACGCCGCAGGGCCTTAAGTTGTTGTGTTGTGATTAATGGATGGGCAATTATGGTCAGTGAGTTGCAATGGCAACCAGGAGCAAACATCACACTGAAAACATAACTAAGAGAATGCTCAGTAGTCTCCCTCAACAGCTAAAAGGAAGAGCCTGCACATAAGTTTCTAAAAGGAGAACTTGAGATCTGCAGCATCGGAAAAGAAGCTGATAAAGAGAGTATATCAGATTGACAACAAAGGGAAAACATTCTAAAGACCATGAAATATATAGATGTGTTTGTTTATGAACTAAGATGACTTAGTTTGCCAGAGAGTTAATTTTTTGTTCGTATGAAAAGAGCATGGCAGTAGCAGAAACTTGACGCTCATTTATCCATTTAGCAGTAACAACAACAAAACCGAAACGCTTTACTTCAACAACATCGTCGTCAGCAAAAAACTTTTAAGGGCACAGGCATTAGCGCTTTCATTGAACCCACTCTCCCATTTGAAAGCTACCATGGGCCAGAACTCGAACACGTGCACTTGGATGGTCAAATGGTGAACAAACAACATCAGACCCAACTTCAGTTGCAACAGCAACAGATGCATGCAGTAGAGGAAAATTACGGTGGGGATGGAAGAGAACATACGAATGGGAAACAACACGATGGTGCTAGGCTCGCTAGGGCAAGCAAATAAAACATACAAAATGATGGACATTAAGAACCTGCTTTGTGAGAATAGCTAAAGTGGATACATGACAGGAAAAAGAGAAGCACAACAACATTGGAAAGAGGAGGTAGAGAAACAATCAAGGGTAGCCGTGTAACTACCATTTACCTTGTAGGATAAGAAATTCAAAGTAAATAGCAGGGTCCAAGAATCCAGATAGGTTGGAGGTTATACATAAGTAAAAGATAAAGAAGAATACAAAACCAGCATACAATCTTTTTCTTGACAGTAGCATACAAACTGAATGGATGGGAAGTAGAATGCAAGAGGCCAGAAAGAGGGACTGGCAAGCTGAGGCCTCAACTTAGAATCTTGACTTATTCCATCTCTTGCTTCCAGGTACCATCCCATGCACACTGAGAAGAAGAAAAAAAACGTATCGGAAACATGTCTAATCTTCACGCTCAATTATGACAAATCAGGGTAAGTCAATAGTACCAATCAGTTTTACCAATCAGTATCCAGTGATTTTCTTTTAGTTGTTGTTCTGCATTGGCCTTCTGGGTTCTTCATTATCTCAGAAACGTCCATATGCTATAGGAGGCAAAAAAGCATACATTATTTGTGAAGTATCTCATTCGTTTTAAAATTCAGGTTAAGAATCCTATAGTTCTATTTCCATTGTTCACTTAGTTGAGTTCAGACAACTACATACAGAAAGCTGAGTAAATGATGCCTACACATAAAGAAACTGAACTGAATCTTTACCTCATTCCAGCAGCAACCTCCCTTGCAAATTGCAATGTCCATTTCAAGCTCTGAAAGGCATAATAAATCAGCAACCACGAACAAAGAACCATTAAAAGAGAGTGCCAATCAAATGTCAAAACAATTATAAATCTCAAGCTGCTTTATTTTGATGGCATAAGCAGAAGGGAAAGAAGTTACATGGCTAAATGTGATGGAATCTGATAAATGAAAGTTGTCTCTACACTAATACAAACCTACAAATTTATTTGGAGTTAAACCTAGTGTTAAGAGAAGAATAGAAAGAAGATCAACATTTGATTTTTGGATAAATTTAAGCTGTACTAAACTCTGCCAATCGAAACAACTAACTGGTTATGATAGTGAAATTAACACAAAATGAATTGTGAACGGTTTACTCTTAGACTTTAAAAACCTGCTTAATTTTCATTTCTACCTGAAGCAAATTGGGCAAGTCTCATGCCCACTTCAGCACATTCCGTGCAACTGTGTTGCCTTTTTTCGATTCGCCTACTCCTAGTCACAGTCGGTTCTATCACGCTCGTTCTCTATCAAACAAATCCTCCGTGTCTCCTTGTGCTGCTGCCAAGAACATTAATCCCAAATAAAAAGCTAGTTGAACATGTACAGTATAATGCACTCGCTGGCTGATGTGAGCTTAGAGGCGAGGAGAAAGTTTAACACATCATACTGGATAAGACGAAACACATTAAAGCAGGCAAAATCTTATACGCGAGATGGAAAAGGGAAGAGAGACATAAACCAAAGAACCCCTTATAAAACATTTGTATATCGTTAGAAAATGTATTGCCGAAAAGACACATGGATAAAGAATGCAAGCTTATGAGTAGCCTAAAATGTCGAATGAAAACACATAATAATTCCCTACCTCACATTCTTCTAGTTACGCATACCAACGAAAGCAATTGGTGGTTTAAACATATAAAAAAATTGCAGTAAAGAATTCCATAAGAATTAACATAAGCACACCCATAGAACCATTACAGTATGAAGGCATATCTGGTTAAGAGGCTGGGACCGCAATGTTGAGCAGGAGGTCAAAGGAAGGCTTCTGGAGCTATGGGAACCAATGATTTCTTGATGGTCTTTGCTGAAGCGCCAACTCCTCCATCATCCACCAATAACTCCATGGGAGGCGGAGCAGTAACTCAGAAGCCAGAACTGGAATGGAAACACAAATGAATTGATTGATTACATGAGAAGCCGAGCTTGCAACCTTTGAACAAAAAACATATCCTGAGAATTCTAAACTGCAACTAATTAATTGTACTCATTCATTCACTCCCACACACACACACAAAATCGCTCCTCCATTCTGCTGTGCTTTTACCATTGCCTCCTATTCCAATTTGATCCCGGCTTCCTCTTCTTTTGGGTTCCACGGCGGCCAGTAGCGGGGTAAATTTGAGGGGTTGCGTTGCAAGAGAGAAGAATGGAATTATGGAGGGAGAAACCATTTGTCTCCCATCAAGTAAAATTGAAGGCAACTGGCGAAGGGAGTAAAGCACTGTAGAAGTAGAACGAAGGTGTTATGGTGGAGCAATCGTTAACTGACACACAGAGGCAAAAGAGGTAAGGTGGAAGTGGAATGAAAATTGATTGAAGAAGCAGAACCGGAATTCGGGAAGACAGAGGAGAGGCCCTATCCTAATACAGAGGAGCAGGGCAAGGACAGCAGAAAACATGGGCGTTGGCGTATGGAAGCATCCGCAAGGAATCGTCAACTTCGCGAAGCACCCAAAGTGATGGGATGGCAGGAGACGACGTGCGGAAGCGGATTTCTGGGAGTGGGGGTCAAGGGATGATGAGAGGGTACTGAACCATGCCGTTGATTCGATTGAAGGCAGGTGGCAACGGGCCGCTGATAAGATCGAGTCGAAGCGGCGGCAGTACGGGAGACGGCAACTACTCCGTCGTGGGGAGCTGTATGTGCGAACAACTAAAACCCCTTCTTCACAAAGGGACAAAAAATGAAACAGTAGCAATAAGTTGAGGGTAATAAAGTGTACCCACTTTTTATCTTTTAACTAGAATCAATACCCGCGGCGGCTACGCAACGCCGCGAGAACTTAAGTTGAATTAGTATTGATTATATGGTTGCCAGTTTAGGTGACGGTAGTAAGAAGAAGTGAATGACACCATTCCAATAGTAACTCCAATAGCATAGTGAATGGACTGTAAATCAAACATATCAATCGTTTTAAAATCACAACAATCACTTGTACACCGTCTCAATTTCCCAAGAATGTCATACTATTATGACATTAATATATGTTGACAACTAAGGCCCTGTTCACTTTCATTTTCGTTTCCTGTTTTCTGTTTTCATGTCATAAATTTGACAACTGAAATGATAAAATTTGTTTACTTTTCATTCCGTTTTCTATTCGTTTCCAACTATGAAAACAGAAAGTGGCAACTTCCTGCTGTTTTCGGAAACGACAAAATGTTATTTTCACCTGTTTTCAACATCTGTTTTCTCAAAAACAGGAAACAGAAATGAAAGTAAACAGGCCCTAATTGATTTTTGACAGGTTTGTCCAAAAGCGGGAAAAAGTTAGGATCATGCTCAGTAATCTATGTATTGTTTTAGTTGTCTTGAAAGCAAATTAATCTACCCTCAACTGAACTAAACTCTTTCAAATAAGGTTATCACTCAGATCCTTCTGTTATTGCCCAAGTCGTGACTGTATCACTGTTCATTTTTTATAGGAATATTACTGTTCAATTTCCAGCCTAGCCAAGTAAGTTGTTTCTCTGCAAATCTCATAATGTTATTGTAGGAAGGAATGTGTTTCATGACATTTCTTACGTGATTATACAAAGTAAGCTCAAGTTCAAATGGAAGTGCGTTGATAACGTGAGAAACATATATCTCTGTTATTTTTGGTTCTATTTTCACAGCTAAAGCAAAACCCTTGCAAGCCAAATAATCAATGCCACGAAGTTCATGACTCAGTAACTCTGCTTAGACTTCGATAATGAATTCACAGTACTTAAACAGTGATACCTTCTTCAATAGGTTGTTCCACTTGATTGAATGATTGGTATAGTTTCAGATTAGGCAGACATGCACATAAAATCTTTTAGTTCGAATAACTCTATAAAAACTGCATATTCTTTTATGTTCAACTCCTATAATCCAAAAACTCTGAAGAAACATGACCACAACCAATCAATTTCTAGTCCAATCATCTTCCCTCATATTTCTCTTCCTTTCATCCTAATTGTTCAATATCTAAACTGCTGTTCATGCTATGCAAGGAACTCAGACCTTCCTTAAAATGGATGGTAGGATGGTTAAACCATTTTAGAAGATTGCAGACTTGCATCACCATAAGCATTCTTCTTGTACTCTCATGGATGCACGTGGCAAGACCTACAGTCCAGTCAATGCAAAAACGAACATGAGTATATTGGAAGCACAATACTAAAAGAAAAACAGAGTACTCTGTTCAAACTTCCAAGTCTATGAACTTAAATATTAAATAACTAACAAATAGTCACAGTACTGGAGAAGCTAACTATAGTAGGTCGACCCCTTGTCGTATCAAGTAACCATCAAGAGAAAGCTTCTCCAGTAGAGGGAAGTAAAGTGAGGAGCGTAGAAATTTATTAGCAGTGGCGTGTGCGGAAGAGTTTGCAACTTGGAGAAGCAAATCAGACTGGTAACTGGTGAGAGGACGGGACATGATTGATGTGGTGGCTTGCAATTATTTACTTTGGTGGTGAGGCTGTGAAGGGATGGGGGAAAGCATGGTGGTAAGGCTGTGAAGGGATGGGGGGAAGCCTGGTCGACTGCAGGCGAAGTTCTCTTCAACTCTAGCCAACTGCATATTTCCCTCTGGTTCAAGCTTGTTCCCCATCTCAAAGTTCTTCGTCGATGTCTTCACTTGTTCCATGTTCAGTCTCCTCTTCTTCTCCCTTTCCTGTGACCCTTCATCTGATAGCTCATCGAGCTGGTCCCCACCGTTATAACTGCCTTCTAACTCGTGATCTCCAATCCCTGAAGACATGTTAGTTACAACAGAAGTCAACTAATAAAAGCTTCAATCCCTCTGTCATGATGGTACTAAAAGAATGCCTAATCGTTCATAGAAGCCGATGTTTTAATAGCAGGCTATTGCAGTTCTTTCCTCGAAAAGAGAATTGAAAGGTTACTGCGCTCTTTTCTTCCTAGCATCTACAAAATAATGCATGACCAACATCTAACAGGTGGCATATAAATCAGAGAGATTCTCAAATGAGATAATAAACCTTAATTGGGTGAATACAAAAATCTAGAGAAACATTTAAGTTGATGCAACAATAAAAGTGTATAAAGAACTTTGGTGAACAACTTTTGTCGAGAAAAGTCATCCATTGTGAGGAAAATGAACATAACTAATCCAGAAATCTGGCATCCACAAATTGGCCAAGCTGGATCTAATCAGAGCTATCAACCAGTGAAATCTCTTAGATACTAATCCTAAACCCAAGAACCCCTTTAAACTCAGCCCTGTCAATCCACAAACACATTTCCTTAGCCGTCTGAACACCCCTCATCACCATATATAATGCTTAGCCAGACTCACCCTGTCAATATTATACTACTAAGCATGTCATGTACTTATCCATGAATCATAATGAAAGACAGAATAGCAATTTGTACGGTTTACTTGTGTTAGCTTGCTCAGACTCGATTATTGCTGTCACTTTGTATAGTTGATATTGCACTTTGTATAGTTGATATTGTGCTGCTACTGCTACCACTGATTATGTTTGGTATCAGTAGTTTTTCTTTTTAGTTTTCAGTGCAGCAGGGTTTCACTGGTACTGTTGTTTTTCTCTAAGTTCCTCTCTTTGGATGCAATAAATCTTTCACCTTCACACCAGAGAAAAACTCTATGAATAAAGTGGGAAACCTTTCAAATTGCAGGCAAGAAGAATTACAGTAGTGCAAGTCAATGAAGCCAAAGAACCAAGTAACATATCAAAAACCAAGAAGAGATAGAATTTTGCAATACTAAAGTGAAATTGTAAGCAAATACTTCACATATGGTAGATGGACTACCTTGAAATACAGAATAGTAGCAGCACTCCGATAAAGAAGTAAAGAGGCATCTCAGTACATTTAAATCCCCAAAAAGCATAAACGAATCGGTATATTGATCTGACTCTAATGAGAAGATGAGCATTTGGGTGAATAGTAATGAACTTCTTTAGATCCCGAGCCTAGATTGAATCATACCAGAATTGTAGAATGGAAGAAATAAATTGTATTAACACAACTTGAAAAAGATAAGCAAGAAAGATCATCAAATCCTATCAAACTCCTTCGTGTAAGGAATGTAAAGCATGCTGAACAAAAAGTTCCCACACGAAAATGGACTGCCATCAACAAATTTAAAATCTAAAATTGCTTCAGTGAAATCTTAGATAACTCCCATAACTCCATGCATATTCAGAAAGCAAATTGTAGTGGAACAACCGAGTATGAAGCCATGTTTAAGCTTATGTCCACCTACCTTAAAGAGTACATAGAAACAAAACAAAAAACCCTCTAATAGAACAACCAAAAGATTAGCAAATAGCTAAAGTACTAACCTGTAACAGCACCAAAGACAGGCCGATAGTCTCAGTAGCACCTGAAAGGGAAAGCAAACCAACAAAAAAGTGACCGTGGTCCAGCAGGTCTACGGACATAAGAAGACCTGGAAATGTAAAACTTTCTTATTACTTTGCAACTTCCTGTTTCAGCTCTGCAAATTTTCCCATGGATTTTTCCATTTTGCTTCTTCCTTTGGTTTATTCTTCTTTGGTTTGAAATCTTCACCTTCTTCTTGGTGTCCCTTGCTTGAGTAATTTCATCATTTACTTAGTAACGAAACAACGAACATATGAGGGCTAATAGTAACTAATAAAGAAGTATCACTTTTACAAAACTATCAAACTCAAGAAAAACAATGCTTATCTCTTCTTAACAAATCGTTGCTACTGTAATGATTCAATCCAATCACCCTTTCACCAGGTAGTCCATCTGCTGCACAAATGTTGCTCACCATTGATTATGGGTCAAAGTTGCTGAGAAAATGCTTCTTTATCTCCTCTTGCAACAGAGAGATCTCTGGCCTTAAATGTTGAAAGAATTCATGGCCAACATAATGAAACCGTGAAACTGTGTATGGCTAAGCAGGGAGAAAAGTGTACCCAGCTTCTTCCAGGATACGTAGGAAAGGAACAAACCAAGATCCATGGCCTCTTACTGTGGAAACTTCATCCCTTCACTCAATCACTCCTCGTTTCAAATTTAGTCAGCAGCTTTATCGTACCAAACTAAGATACTAAAAAGAAGAAACAAACATCACACTGTTATATATACTATAAAAACATTCTTTAATTTCAACCAAGCAACACCAAAATTAACATCTACAATCTAACCACAATACCATGGCAGGTCCTTAGTGTCCTCCAGGGCCGATGTCACGCCATCACTGCACAACATAAAAACACAAAAATGCTTGCTAAGAACCCCATCATGCCTGTAGGCAAACCTATCCCTAAAAGATAAATCAATCAGCCAATCCAGTTCAGGATTACCATAAAGGAATTTGGAGATAAAACTTAATTACCATGGAAGTCCTGTGGCGCAGGAAGGAGAATTGGGTTGAGAGAAGTTCGAGACTGGTGATGATGATAAAGCTTCATATTGGCCCTGCTCGGGTAGTCAAGACTCAAGAGCTCGTCTTTGCCGCTGTCATCCTTGTCGTTAAGGCCGCTGCAAACAGGAACCGGGCACCACCGCGGCGAATATTTGATCAAGCTAGCTAGGTGTTGTACCCTTATTTCTGACATACAGACCTCTCTTTGTCTCCCATCGCCGCACTGAGGACTGACGACCAACTGATCTCCAGTTGCGACTGAACAATGACGGGCGGTACATGTGCTTCCTCCGTCTGCGGGTTTCATGGCGCCTTGTTTATCAAGGGGCAAAGCACATTGAAGCCAGAGCTTCTCCCTTTGTTGCCGACACATGCTTTCCCCAATCGAATGTCTCCATCATTGCCAAAGCGTCGTCGAGACGCCGACATCCTCTTCCTCACCATCTCAAACCAGATGAAAAGAGGAAGCCAGAATTGGAGGTGGCCGCTGGATTTTTTAGGGAATAGATGAGAGGTGGGAAGAGGAGATGTACGAATGGAACTATGAAAGTAAGAAGGACCAAAGAGGTATGGCGTATGGGAGAAGGAAGGGAGAACTGATGGTTCAGACTTGAGAGATGGAGAGGTGATTGGAGGGGAAGAGTATAGAGAAGGGTTTGGTAGGAGAGAGAGCGGCAGAAAGAGAAGGGACATTCTGCTTTTCCACCTTTTATTATTTAAAGTTTTGGAGACGTTCTTTTAGTGCTAGTACGTGACTGGAGAAGGCTGAAGATGGAAGCTCTTTCACTAAACGCCAAATATTGAAACAGTAGTAAGAATTTTGGGGAAAAAGTGTACCCACTAATTATATATAAGAAGAAAGAATGAATGTTGATACTATTTGCTGAATCTTGGGGCAGGAAAACCGATGTGGAAGGTCTTTTGACAGCAAGCTTAACTGATTTGCCTCTAATTTCCTTTGATTTTGGCCAAGCAAGTTGCAGTAAACGGTATCATACTATCATTAGATAGATTGATGATACCTGTGATGATTGTCAGGAAATTAGAACTCAGAATGCAGCTTGACAAAAGTCAGGAAGGAATCAGTAGACTGCATGTGGATGATAAATAGGGGATTTTCAGTCTCATTTCTTTTGCTTGTCTAGGCTTTTGCTTGCATATTTGCTCGAACTTTCCCACGCCTTGACCCCTTTCCTTTCACCCCAATTGTGTTCCCATTTTGGGTTCCAAAGCTCTTCTCTCATCTTGCTTCCTTCAATTTCAATGTTCTCCCGAGAGAGAGGAAGCTAGTTTCTGTTGTCAGTGTTGTGCAAGATGTTGGAGCTTTTCATGACGTAAGTGATCTGATAGATGCCATAAACACTATAATCTTTCATTAAACGGGGTAATCAAAGAGTCAAAATAAGACTTTGATAGATGCCATAAACACTGTACGAGGAAGTTGCTTAAAAATTGGGAAAATTATATTTGAATTTAGTGCAACAAATAATATGTAAGTTGTAATAAGTGAATAGTAAGTAACACAATGCACGAACCCGATAACACGCCCGCCCTGTAACCCGATTAACCTACAACCCAATTAACCAGCAACTTGACTAAGCCGTAACCCGATAAACCCGCAACATGACTAACGCGCAACTTCGATTAACTCGAATCTGACTAACTTTGTAACCTCATAAACCCTAAACCGACTAGCCCGTAAATCGATTGACACCTCCACAAGTCCCTACTGTGAATTGACCATCATCGTCCAAGGCCGTGAAACGACAATCTGGCAACACAACTATTATCTAATGACAAAAACGATCGAACATAATCAAACATAACAAGCAAAAAGGCACTCAAGAATTTCTCTATTGTTTATCGTCGAGATCCACTTGTTCAATTCAAATGGTTGGTTCCTAGGCTCTGTTCTCTATCGCTGTTCGCACTGGCTGATTACAAAACACATGTAGCAGCTCGGAGATAATAAAAATGCTGGAGATAAAATAGCACTGAGCCACTCACTATTAATTATCATTTGATGACCAACTTAACTGTAGGAGGTATCATTCCTTCCAGCCAGTGCTGAGCATGTTGCCTAACATTTTCAGCCTCCTTGCACCCTGCATGATGTTCCTCCGCATGGGCAAGTCCATAGTGAGTTGTGCAATTTGGGTTGATGATGATGGTGTCAAGTGCCGGGCCATTTTCTATTACATGCAAGATAAACTCATGCTCAACTTCCCCGCCACCGTATCCTACAAATACCAGCAGCTTCAGGTGCTGCAGGCTAACACCTCTCTCGGCCTTCTTCAACTCCATTCTTCCATCTTGACCTTGTAGGGGACATCCACCATATGTCTGGACAGTGACAGACATAAGTTTGAGAAAGGTAGAATGATAGAGCAAGGATTTCCATATACCTAAAAAAACTCAAAACCGATTTCTTCCACATGAATGAGATCACTACTAGTAGGACGCATCACATATTCTTCCGACTCTCATATAATCAACCCTAACGGCTAGCAATGGTAAGACCTTGAGATTTACTCTCGTCTCCCCCATCCATGAAATTACTACCAATAACATGCATCACAATCACATACTCTATAAGAACAATGAATTTCTATATAGAAGGAACATTACGTATGCTAGAAACTTACTCGTATCACAATTTTCTGCAAATGTGGCAATGCTTCAATCACAGGCACGAAATAAAGAAGATTATTTTTCCACCACAACCACACTATTTCCAGTTCTCTAAGCTTAGTTAATTTGGAAAGTGAGCATACAGGCTGATGTTTCTGCAGAAATGAAAAGAAAACATCTAATCAAAAGGTGTTGGTATGAATGTGAACATAAACCAAAGTAAAGAAGACATAAAGTAAAACACTAACCTTATAAAAAAAACTACAAGGAAGCAGCTTCAGACACTCTAGCTGGGAATGGCAAGAGGAGAAGAAACCTAACTTATTGGCCTTCTCCAAATCTTCTGGTATAGATAGCTCAACCAAGCGTGTAACTTTACTCATCCTAAATACAACCAGCGAAGAAATGGCCAGCTTGAGAGACACAATTGATACATCATAAATGTCAACTTCCTTCAATTCAATACACCATACAATCTCCAAGTGCTTTAACCTCAACGAAGGGCCAAAAATTCTAATATAGCTTAAGTCATATATACTGCATAGCGTTAGCGTCTCAAGGAGAGGACAGTTTGATAGAAGACCCTCCAAAACATCCCCACCCATTTTGACACTTTTAAAAGAAAGAGATGTGAGACGCTTAAACCCAGGAAGTGACCAGCAAAGCGATGGTCGACCACTGCATAAATAATGTCTTACTCTCTTTCTCTTTGATGAGTGTGAGTCATGAGTAACCTGGTCCAAAGCTCCTACCCGGAAAGCATACATCCTATGTTCATCATTTCTATGAGGTACATCGAAGTCCAATTCCAGCTTCTGAACTTCCCTAGAGAGGGCAAACTTGACACACCAATCTACAAAATACGTGTGCTTCTGATTCAGGGCCTGACGAAGTCTGAACTCCTCAACATGGTTGCCTTGGTACAACCTAAGTACTTTGTTAACACGTTTGATATATTCCGAGTTCTGCTTGGCAAGCAATCTAAAGTCTTCTGTTTTAAGGTTGGAAATCATTCTAACGTTTAGCTCGCTTGGGAGGATCGAGGTATCAAAGCTGAGTCGAGGAAAGGATGCCCACGTCCATAAATACCTCCATCGTCTAGAAAACAATCTGGTAACAGTTGCTTCCTTGATCGACATGAAAGACAAGATAAGGTGGAGTATATCATCAGGCAGCGTACTGATTCGATCATCTGTGTTATAGGAAGGCATTCTACTGCTCTCTCCCTTCAACACCCACAACAAAAACAAAACATAAAGTTACTGCATTGATAATCGAAAATCCATGGAAGGCTCAATTTGTGCATAGCACAGCAAGGAAACGAAAAAGAAAGCAGCAGGAGGATGCAGCAGTGGCACATGACACATGATGAATAGATTAAGACTAATAATGCTCATAAGTCATAATAACTAAGAAATCTAGAGAGTCCATTGCACTTCTTGCCTAGGCTGAATGTTAAAGTAACTAACAAGAGAATTGGGGAAACAAAGCTGAAGAAAAGATGGATGTTAATCAAACTAACCTTAGACTTCATCACACCGGGATGTTGCCATGAGGAACCAGACCTGCGGAGCTTTCTCTTTCCCGTCATTGGTATTGGATTCGGCATGCAATAAGACTTATACCCTTTTGAAGGAGACAGAAAGAGGATCAAAAGACACAAACTTTTTGCCCTTTTGGAGTCCTTCTCATCAATTAAACGGCGAATAGGAAGAAGAAGGGAGTTGAAGAAGTAAGCAGAAGCTGCAGGAACCGACGAGCAGATCGGTGGAATGAATGCAAATCAAGGGAAACACCCGCCCGCCAACTGGAAGAAGAGATCTGCCGGAGAATAAATGAAATAAAACCCTTCTGCCTGCCGATAGGAACCCCGACGACGAGGAGGAAAAGGATTCCGATAACGGCCATCGTTTCTGCCAGTATGATTTAATTTGGGCCTAAAATGGATGCTTACCCAGTAAGCCCAACTTGCTTCCAATTTAGGACTCCAGGCCCATCTCTGCTCCTCTCTGTGTAACCCATTTGTACTTCTCTCCCGCGGTTCCGAAATCCTACGTACCAAAGAAGCTTTCGCTCTTCCGCAGTTCCAGTCCGGACTTTCTTCTCGTTCTCCGGCCGCCGCCGCCGTTTCTCTGCGCTCTGTTCTTCAAGGTAACTATTGTTTTCCTTCCCCTCATGTTGCCATGGGAGCTAGGCGGATTTCAAATTATTTGATTATCGGCCTACTTGTTTTTTGTCGCCAGTTCTTGTTTGGTTTTCCATATGGCTTAGATGCTTCTGCTCACGCCCAATTTAGACTGTGAGGTTCCTAAGATGGTGAAATGAATGAGAAACGGTAGAATGTCTCCTAGGAATAGAAAGAACCAGACGATGGCTAGGTGTTGAGACTCTTGATAACGGGGAGATGAGGAGTGTCCTGCTAGGGTTTTTCTTTTTTTGGGTTCGACTTCCTAATTTTCCCTTCTGATTCTTCGTAGTACTTGTCTTAGCATCAAAATCCAGCAGCTCTGTGATAGGAACGTAGTCGTCTTTTCCTTTTTCCGTTTGTCCTTGGCTTACATTGTTTGATCCTTGTTGATCGTTGCATTGCTGGGTTGCTTGCCTAGATTTGTATCTTTCTCTTTTGTGTCGAGTAGTGTGGCTAGAGGCTGGATTTCTAAGAGATATGGAGCATTTATCCAAATCAGGTGAGGTCTTAGGTGGTTGACTGCCTATTCATGGCTCTGCCTTGTTAGAGCCTTCCTGAGGGCCATAGGGGGTAGTGATTGGAAGCATGTCCGATTTTTCCGATCTTTTCCCCAATTTAAGGATTTGTTTAGGTCTCGAACTGATTCTCGAATTGTGCTGTAGTGCTGTTTGCTACTTCTGAATAGTGTACGAGAATGACGGAAGGTGAGGGCAAGGCAGTGATAGGACTGACATGGCAGCCCAAGCTGCCTACTGCATCTCTTGCTTCGTCGGCTCGGAAACCTCAGAATCAGGCCGTGGATTCTCTTTGGAAGCCTACTCAGGAGCTTGTTGATGGTCTGTTTTTGCCGCCCAATAACCCCTCTCAATTGAAAAAATTGCAGAGGAAGCAAGTCAAGGACACTCTCGGCAAAGGCTGGTATAAAGCAGTTGTCCCTATTCTTCCTTATGTTCTTCGTTCTTCAGTTCTGCTTCACATTTACTTTACCCCTGGATGGTACCTTGCTTTGCTTGTAATAGCTTGATTAATACCATTGCTGCCTAAACTTCACTATAGGTTTGATATGCCAGCTCCAACTATAACCCCGGAACTGAAGAAAGATCTCCAGATACTAAAGGTAACATTCTTCCTTAATATTATGCGGTGTTCTTTTTTCACACTGTTTGTCTGGTCTGCTATCTGTCAATGACTCCAGCCATCATCTAGCCTTCTTTCTCTCTTCTGTGTTATACTTACCTACAAACTAGGACAAATCTGTCAATGTATCATTCACGGCAAAGACTGGTAATTGGTATAACCGAGTATTGTTGCTACTCTTCTCCAAAATTTCGGAACTTCTTTGCCTTCGATATCCACGACACCTTTTAACGAAATCTGAACCTCCTAGGGATACTCGGTTATAAGTTTGTAAATCACGAGCCTTCTAAGATTCGTCTAATTTAGCTTGCAGCTTTTATATGGCTGCCTTCCCCTTTGTCTCTTATCTCCCCGAACATGAAGGGAACACGCCACCTCCTAGTTTCGTTTTTGGTTGAGATGTCATCTTCTATTATAGTCGTTTGAGAAAATTAATGTTCTTAGAATAGAAGTGGAACCCTGATGTCCGTTAAAAATCCTAGGTTCACTTACACATTAGGAGTCCATGGCCACTCAAGTACCAACATTTAGCAACAGATCACCAATATACATATAATTTATATAATGCTTAAATTACTTTCATATGATCGTATCTATTTTTTTCTCTTACTACTATTAGTAGGGACAAGTTATATGATTACACCTTTCCTTGTCTTTAGACTACTGTCATTCAGATGTTTCCCCCCTATTTGCCTGCTAGTGTGTCTTTGGCGAAGGCACTGACACACTGGCTAATTAGTATAGTACCTTATGTCTAGAGGTTTAGGCACGCCTAGCTGCACTTGCTTTGTAGCTGGAACTATTGCGGTTGTTTTAGCTAGCCACTGCTTGTCTTCTGGAATTAGATAATACTAGGGTTGGTTTTGACTTTAGGATATGGAAAGTTATTTGGGACGTTCTTTCCATCAAGAGATCTAGTATCCAATAACAGACAAGAAGTATGGGCCCGAGTAAGTATCATCATGGGATATGGATGATTGGATTAGGACAGACTCTTGATAGCTCTCCTATATATAAACTGCCATGGTGAATTAAGGACTGTGTTTGCAGAGTTACTTTGTTCGATCATATATGAATCTATAAATCGACTAACTATCAGAAAGCATGCTTTCTGACTGTGTATAGATAAGAATAGTTACCATGCAGAGTCTGTTCTGAATAACTAAAAGTGTGTTATTCAATCATTTTGATGCAGCTGAGGGGTGCTATCGACCCAAAGAGGCACTATAAGAAAGGTGATTCAAAGTTAAAAGTTCTTCCTAAATACTTCCAGGTAATTCAAGTCTTACGCTAAACCTAATGCATTTCAATTTTTATCTCTCTTAACATCCTTCGGTAGAAGAAGCTGAAGCCTGTTTTCCTCTTCATATGCCATTCAGGTGGGTACAGTCATCGAGTCACCAATGGAGTTCTTCTCCGGCAGGCTGACAAAGAAGGAGAGGAAAGCTACCATTGCTGATGAGCTACTTTCTGATCAGAACTTCAAGGCTTACAGGTACGATATTCCCACTCGTCTGAACCCTCTAGTCTTATGCTGACATGCGAAGAAGCCTAGTATATGTGATAATAGGGATCAGCGTGATTTCCCTAGACTAGCAGTAACAAAGCTATTGCATGTGGAGTTGTGTGGAATGAAACCAATGGTTGGGTGTGCCTAGTAACCTTACAAGAACTATCCTGCCATGGCTCAATGCAGGAAGCGTAAGGTGAGAGAGATCGAGGAACAGAACCGCCCTGGCGGGAAGGACAAGTGGAAAATCAAGGGGAAGCAGTCTTTCAAGCGAGCAAAGGATAAACGACGTTAAAGCATCCACATTGTGTTTGCACTCTCCGAAACGAAACTCGAAGGAAGCAATCATGAGCCGGAAGAAAAAACCAGAGCAACCTCTCTCCCTTCTTCAATTGTGGATCGGTCAACGTCATGTGTATTAGAGCAGCGAGAAAGGGGAAATAGATAAATGCAGCATGCAGCAACACATCAGTGTAACTAATCCTTAAATTCTTCTTTCATTGTGTTTCACTAATAGCTTCTTATTATGAACATTGCTGCTGCAAATGTCCACTATCACTTCTAAGCAGAACATAACAAAATCGTTATCGAACCTCAAAAGCGTAACAAAGTGGTCACTTACGCTCTCTGATTCGTGATGCAATGTCACGAAACTCGTCTTCTTGGCATCCACATTCACCTCATCACTTACCCGATTCGTATCAACAGATCGAACGCAAAACACCAGATTTGAACCATGTATCTTAATCCTAAGCCTGATTGAAACTTCTCAGATAAGCAAACTTATTACAAAGCATTCGCAACTGTATATAAATGAGCTCATCTGCCCATGGCGTTCACTTGTATTGCCCAGCTGAAGTCCAATTATTACGTTCATCACTCCCTTCCTGTCATTCCTTCACGTCGACTCTCCCCTTCGTCCTCCCCGGCCGCCGCCTTCCTCCGTCGTCTTGCCGGTTCGTTCAGGTACGATTCTGTCTCTTTTTCTAATCTATCCAAGCTCTTCTCTTCGTTGTCGCTGGAGCAGAATTGGGATTGATGTTGACGCTGACCTTGTAGTTTCCCACTTCCAAGTTCCATCCCCCAGTTCTTCGGTCGGCAGTTCCCGCCTGCGATTCAGATTTCTTCTTGATCCCAAGTCAATGACCGTGCTTGGCCAGTCCGGCAGAAAACTGGGTCTGCCATTGATGAATCTCCTTAGATTCAAAGGAATGCCCGTTTTGGAGCAACTCCATTTGGAGGAGAAGTTACTGCGAACGTCTTCAGATAATTGGTGTATCGTAAACGATGGAGCTGATTCCCCCGCCATAGTCATGGGTGTCTCAGGGTAATGAAAGGAACTTAAATCTTGTGGGTTATTCTTGGTATGCATTTTTCCCCCTTTACCTTCGATTGCTTAAATTCTGCATACTGATTTGAGTACATTGTCTAGGAAACCTGCAGAACTTCTCGAACTAAACCTTGTGTTGAGATATCACGTTCCTGTCATCAAACGGTTTACTGGTGGCGGTACTGTTATCGTCGATCAAGGGACGATTTTCGTCACTCTCGTATGTAACAAGGATGCTGTTTCTAAGGTCCAACCTTATCCTCGTCCGATCATGTCGTGGAGTGGTACATTGTACGATGAAGTGTTCCGTGGGATAGCTGATTTTCAACTGCGAGAGAATGGTACTGAAAATGAAGCTTAGCATTGATGTTTTGATGGTTTACCAGAAAGAGTAAATGGTTTCTTTTCAACTGGTTTAATCCATCAGAACATAGCTCATGCAGTAAGGTTCATATCTAGGGGCTTAGGCATCTTTGATACTGTTGCGGTTTGTGATGGTTGATTCGTTCTCAGATTATGTATTTGGAAACCGCAAGTTCGGTGGGAATGCTCAATCTATAACGAAGAACCGATGGATACACCACACTTCCTTTCTATGGGACTACGAGGATCGGAATATGGACTACTTGAAGCTACCTTCTCGCGCTCCTGAGTACAGATCGGTAATGCTTTGTTTTTCATCCATCAATGCCATTGCCTTCTGGTCTAATTCATGTAGATTGTAGTATGAATATATAGCTTTTTCGCCATCTTGAAAGGGTATATAATCATTGTTCGTTTGCTGGCATGCGTTGCAGGCAAGAGACCATACAGAATTCGTGTGCAGAATGCGTGAGTATATGCAGAGGCCAGCTTTCGTCGATAGAACCATCAAAGCTCTCGAAGCCTACTTCTTGGTGCAACCTGTGAGCTCCGAAGCAGCAGTTAATGCTGACCCTCAGACGACGACGACGACGACTGAATTCATTCCCTCCACCAGGCTTCTATCAGAGAAAGAACTCGAGGATGCTTTCGCATCTACCACACTTGAGAGAATGGCTCGCACTGTCGGAATTTGATGCTGCAGGAGTGGATGCTAATGCCTGTGATGGCCCCATTGTTGTTAATTCTTCTTCTGTATCTCCTTTGTTCCTTAGAAATCGCCATGTGATCCAATGACGTTAATCGTCTCCACATGAACTTGACACATCCTTGAACTCATATAGTCTTTGTTTTGAGCTCTGATTGACTGATTCTGTGAAGACAACACACTCTAGACCGTTCTTAATCTTCTGTTCATTTACTAATTCAGGTCGCGATACCTCCATCGTTGATAACAGTAACTAATTGCAGTTGTCACCGGTGAGGTGAATGCTAACAGTCACACACAGGGGAAACCAGGTTACAACATATTTTCTCTATCAAACTTTCAGGAGAAAGGATAAAAAAGGAGTCTTGTAATAACACGTGTCACGACTACTGGAATGGAAGTGACGTTGATAGCTCAACTTCCCGGCATCGGAACACGAAATCGAATATACCTTCCGGGCTGCAAACTACAAAATAACCTTCAATCCATTCGACTCTTCAATCAAATACCCATCGATTTACACCTCCCGAAATTTCCTACTAAGCAACTTTCTCCTTCTCCAATGGAGCTACGACGGCCGCCGCCAGTTCATCTCTCGATCGCGCTCGCTTGCTTGCTCTTTGTCTCCTGTAGCGCAGACCCACAACCACCGGACGACGTCATCGAGCTGATACCGACGCCGGCGACGCGACTACACGGCGGCAGCGTTCTCCGGATGCGGCGGGGCGCGCCGTTCAAGATCGCGATCTTCGCCGACTTGCACTTCGGCGAGGATGCCTGGACCGACTGGGGCCCGGCCCAAGACGCCAATTCCGCCAGGGTCATGTCCGACATTCTCGACGCTGAAAAACCAGGTGACTTTAACTAGAGTTTGGGCTGGGTTCGGGTAAACCAAAGCCCAACGGGCCTAAGATTTGAACATATGGATATTGGAGGGTCGGCCGAGCGAGCCAACCCATTAAGGTTCCAGAAATTTTGTCGGCCATATGTCTTGATATCCATACGGCACTCATCGAACTAGGATGAGCGTGGCATAATTAGCCAACCGACCCTTTTAAGTTTAACCCACAAGGCCCAATTTTAGTTATAAAGCAACTCTTTGTTCCCATCATGTTCCAGCCTAGCGATGTGGTACTGCAAAACAGGGGCCAAAGGAAGGACAATGGTTGAGTGGAATCAACATTTTGTTTGAGCTTTGTGGTGGAAAGTAGATGACTGAGATGGTTGAGTTTTCTGTAGATTTCGTGGTGTATCTCGGAGATCTCGTAACTGCGAACAACGTCCCCATCGCGAACGCGAGCTCGTACTGGGGCCAGGCGACATCTCCAGCACGCGAGAGGGGCGTACCGTGGGCTAGCGTTTTCGGCAACCACGATGATGCGTCGTTCGAGTGGCCAATCGAGTGGTTTTCGGGTCCTGGGATTCCCGAGGTTCGTTGCCCCGACGAAACCAACTCGTCGTGTTCAGGTAAATTCGGGGGAGGAACACAACATTTTTGTGCTGGTTCTTTGGCTATGTGTTGCTTGTCCTACAAGGTTGCTGTGTGCTTGTGTGTGATGCAGGGGAAGTGCGGTACTCTTGTAGCTTCAAGGGCACTCAACGTCTGGTGCTGATGAAAAATGAGGTTGAGCAGAACGCACCACTGTCACGCTCCAAATTCGGACCTAAGGAGCTGTGGCCTAGCGTATCCAACTATGTCCTTCAACTCTCGTCACCCGACGATCCGAAATCGCCAGTTCTGTTCATGTACTTCCTGGATTCTGGTGGAGGGTCGTATCCAGAGGTCATATCGAGCGCCCAAGCGAAGTGGTTCGAGCGAAAATCGAGAGAGATAAACCCTGAATCGAAGTACGAAAGATACATTCAATCCATAGATCATGACATTTGGTTTAGTTTACCTTATATTCCATGGTGAGGCTTTCTTTTATGTTTCTTGATACAGGGTACCTGAGATTATATTCTGGCACATTCCAAGCAAAGCCTACAAGAAGGTGGCGCCATGGTTTGGAGTTCGCAAGCCTTGCGTCGGCTCCATCAACAAGGAGGGCGTAGCTGCTCAGGAAGCCGAGTTTGGTATCATGGACATGTTAGCCAAAAGACCTTCTGTCAAGGTTCGGAGCTTTTTACCACGAGAAAAAAAATCTCAGTTACGTTACATTTTCCAGTCTCTAAGCGTGAGGGTTTTGCTGCAGGCGATATTTGTAGGGCACAACCATGGATTGGACTGGTGCTGCCCTTATGAGAAGCTCTGGCTGTGCTACGCCAGGCATACCGGCTATGGCGGGTATGGGAACTGGGCCAGAGGAGCCAGAATGGTGGAGGTAACTGGAGAGCAAGACTTCTCTCTCAAGTCGTGGATAAGAATGGAGGATGGCAAAGTGCATAGTGAAGTCGTTTTGAGTTCTTGAACATGCAACAAAGTTGTAAATATACAACCTTACCTTTTTTAGTGGTGTGTTGTACTCTACATTTATGCGTATTCATTGATCAACCACTATTTATCAATGATAATACGTTTGAATTGTGTCATACCGAACCGATATATATATTTTGTATCGGTTCTTGTTCTCATAAATTTTATAAATACTAATGAAAATGAAAGAGTTGACATTTAGACCATACCAAACTGAACCAAATCGAAACAAATATAATAATGATTATATAATTAGTTCTAAAACATCATTTACTATTAAACCGAGATTCTCATGAGTTTGATCTGATGCCGTCCGAACGGTTGCACTTGCACACCAGCTGGGAAAGGTACTGTGAAGGTCCATTCTCCCAGCAGGCCCAGAGGCCCAACTACAGATGTTGACTATGGCCCAACTATAATGATCAAGCCCAAGTAAAATCGCGCCAACCCGACCGACCGGAAGCGAGTGCTCGTCTTTTGCTTGTGTGATCTTTGTGGAAGGCGAATCTTCGTCTTCCATGGAATCTGCAAGCAGAAGCAGCAGCTGCTGCAACAGTATAACTGTCGCCTCCGAATTCGAAGAGAAGAAGCGATGGAGAGCAGAAGACGCAATAGCCGGAAATCGAGCGGCACTTGAGTCTCTGAGGGAGCTCATTGTATTTCCCCTGCTCTACTCTCGTGAAGCTCGAAAGCTCGGCCATAAGGTAACCCAAAGGAAATTCCCAGTCTTTATGTGATTCATCGTTTCTACTATGAATGAATTTCAGCTGATTGCTCGTGGTTTCGGTGAGCAGTGGCCGACGGGGTTGCTTTTGTTCGGTCCACCTGGAACTGGAAAGGTATTTTTCTGCTAGAGGTTTTCTGTAATTGGTGCGTTGTTTTGGTAAGCTGAACTGTAATAATGTCTAATGGTGTGCATTCTCTTGTTTCTCTGTCAAATGCTACTAGACGAGCATTGTTCGTGCAGTGGTTCAGGAATCTGGTGCCCATCTAGTTGTAATTAGGTACTGTTTGCTTCCCCCCTTTCGTCAAGTTGTTTGCTTTGATTGATAGATGCTGTATTGTTTTGGGATATAGTTCTGAGATAGCTACACTTATTGTGGGTCTTGTAGTCCACATTCTGTCCACCGAGCACATGCCGGGGAAAGTGAGAGAATTTTGAGAGAGGCTTTTGGAGATGCATCGTCACATTTGGAAGCAGGGAAGCCGTCAGTCGTGTTTATAGACGAAATAGACGCACTCTGCCCTCGTCGTGATTCTAGGTGAGTTGAGAAAGGATGATAGTTAGAAGAAGTATCATCTCTCGGTGTATACTATCTCATAATCCTTGATGGGTCTGCTGCATTCATTACTGTTCCTCCTTGTTTGAGGACACGTGAATGTTGCAATATGATTCTGTAACTAAAGTTCTGTCCTTTCTTGACTATTGTGCTTCTATTGTTATTTTTTTGGGAGGATTGAGTTTTGGTCAGAATTATGTAGTTCAGCAGAAGTGGTGTTCATCAGAAAAAATGAGGGATTTTTAGTTAACCTTCTCCCTTATTCTCAGAGCCGCTGTTAGATAGCACCTTCACCAATTGCTTGTAGCTCACCGATTGCTTGTAGCTTGCAAGAGTCGGTTAAAGTGAGCCTAAGAAGTGAATATTAGGCACATCAACATGCTTGGCAGCATAAATAATTAGTTATAAGCTGTATTTGATTTATTGCCAAGTGGCACTTCTCTTTGTCTAGATGTTCAAGTTTCCTTTATTTGCAGGCGAGAGCAAGATGTTCGTTTAGTCTCTCAACTTTGCGCACTAATGGATGCAATCAAGCCCTCTTCTGCATCTTCAGTGCATGTGGTCGTGGTTGCATCAACTAACAGGTTACTTGCTTGCTTGTTGAATGTTGATATTTACTATCAAATAAATTGATCTAAAATAAAGCAACCCGAGTTCTGTATTTCACTGTTGAAATCTGAGTCCAATATGTTTTTTGCTTTTGCTAAGAGTTGATGCAGTGGATCCTGCACTCAGAAGATATGGGCGTTTTGATAATGAAGTAGAAGTTATGGCACCTACAGAAGAGGAACGCTTAGAAATCCTCCAGGTCTATTATATAAATGCGTTGTCTAATGAAGCCTCATCACATTCACGCTAGCTGTTACCCATGTAAACCAAGTGCATATGCGACGAATAGTAACATGTGACAAAGATAGCTCATTATTTTTCTCTTTGGCATCCAGCTATACACAAAGAAGTTGGTGTTGGATAAGGACGTTGATTTGCAAGCTGTTGCTGCTTCTTGTAATGGATACGTTGGGGCTGACCTGGAAGCATTGTGCCGTGAAGCTGCCATATCTGCTATTAAGTCGGCAAATGCCAGTGGTGCTGGGGTTCTTTGCTTAACCTCAGAAGACTGGAAGCTTGCTATGTCCATTGTTGGTCCTAGCTTAACAAGAGGTGTTGCAGTTGAAATCCCAAAAGTGTCATGGGAAGATATTGGTGGACTAAAGGATTTGAAGGTCTGGTAATAACTTTGTTAATTTTGGACTTACCTTAACCTGCAAAAATATAATCACTCTCAATATTATCCAAAACTGGTGACCTCACCCATGGTGAAGGTAAATGTTAACATTCTAAGTCTACATATGGCCGTCGTATTTTCAGAAAAAACTCCAACAAGCTGTTGAGTGGCCGATTAAACACCGGTCTGCATTTTCAAGAATGGGAATTTCACCCATACGTGGGGTTCTTTTGCATGGACCTCCTGGATGCTCCAAAACTACTCTTGCTAAAGCTGCAGCTAATGCTGCTCAAGCTTCTTTTTTCTCCTTGAGGTATGAGCATCTAGTCTAGGACTCCAATTGGAGTTTTCCCAACCACTTTATCTAGTCTATAAATTTGAGTCAGTCTCGTGTCACATTTTTATGAGTTGCAGTTCTTGGTAAAACAGGTTGCTCTTAGTTAATCGCAAACTGTAGAACCAGATTTCTACTTGGTCCTACACTTTGTATGTAATGCTACAATCTGATTGGTGTTTCTACTTGGAATTTAAAACTTTGTATTCAGTGGTGCAGATTTATTTTCCATGTATGTTGGAGAGGGCGAAGCATTGTTGCGCAGTACATTCCAAAGAGCTCGTGTGGCAGCTCCGAGCATAATATTCTTTGATGAGGCTGATGTTGTGGCTGGTAAACGGTAAGTGCACTTTCATTGAAAGCTCATGTTTCAACATATATTGTCAGTGGAAGCAATTGAAAGTTCTTTGTCAAAAAAAGTAAGAAAAAACCATGAGTTGGATTATGTCAGTGTTGCATGGTTGATATCCATATGGCCAAATTTTTGCAGAGGTGACAGTTCAAGCAACTCGTCCACTGTAGGGGAGAGGCTTTTATCTACTCTACTGACTGAAATGGACGGTCTGCAGCAAGCAGAAGTAAGTACCAACGACATTAAGCATTGACTTCACCATTCGAAGGATTTCCAAGCCAAGACACCATATATTGTCTCACGATAATCTACTCCCTTGATTCTGCTACCAGGGCATCCTTGTATTAGCGGCCACCAATCGTCCGCATGCCATAGATGCTGCACTGATGCGCCCCGGACGCTTTGATTTGGTACGTCAATGAACACCATGACTTGATCTGCACTGCAATGTGGTCATAGATTTTCAGAAGTTCGGTAACATTATGTGTATTCTGTATTCCATGTCCAGTTGTTGTATGTGCCGCCACCAGATAAGGAGGCTCGACTCGAGATTCTCAACGTACACACACGAAACATGAGTATCGACGATGATGTCGACCTCAGAACAATAGCAGAGAAAACCGAGCTCTTCACAGGTGCTGAACTGGAGGGCCTATGTCGAGAAGCTGGGATCGTAGCTCTGCGGGAAAGTATATCCACTGCTGTTGTCTGCAACCATCATTTTCAGACGGCGCTGAGTTCCTTAAAACCAGCTCTGACAAGAGCTGATATAGAGGAGTATTCATCGTTCATGAAGATGCAGCAGAGCATGTCATCACCTCTGGGCGGGACTGGATCAGCTGCGGCTGTTGTTGACAACAGCATTGGGAAAATGAAGGGACCTTTCAGTTCTCTTACAAATTTGACTAAAGTTGGTGTACTGAGTGTTTTGGTTTTAGTTGCTGCTAGATATTTGAAGTTTCATATGAAGATAGCCGGGGTGGAGGTATCTGCCACATGAACACTATCTTCTTATTTATCTTTAACCTCTTTTATTCGGTGGAAAAGAAAACAAGTGTATTTCTTTTCCTTATCATTAAGAAGAGATGTCAAGAAAGAAGCAAAACAAGGTTGGGATAGCCACTTTCAACCCAACTTTTTTTCCTAATCACTTCATTGATTCTCCTTGCTTCTTCTCCTTACTTTGTTTTATGTTTCATGGACTGTACTCATACACTGGTCTTCCATCTAATGGCTGAGTCGGTCTTGCATTTCTCTTAAATCCCTAATAAACGTAATGTAACAAGGTATTAGTCCAATGCAATTGAAACATATCAACGTTAATATAGAAATACAGAACCGAAATACAGTCCTACTATACAGTAAGCTAGCTATTCTGCAACTTCTTATGAGTAAAAGAAAGACAAATCAAGAAAATGCTACACTCACATCATGGACGGCTTCCCTCAGGGCTCTAACTTGTTCCCTTGACACTGTCCTCACCTATAAAACCAGCAACCCGCAAACCATTTCGGTTTAATTAGATTTGCAAAACACAATGTAATCAAATTGAACCGAACCCAACCGAAGAAACCGAATTATATACAGAGTCGAAAAGATAGAGAAACCTTCTTAACGATGGTCCATATAACGCCTTCTGTGCAGGGAGGAACAGTGAGGGAGCCAATGTACCTGTAGTACTTCCTGCTCCTCCCAAACTTTATATCCCCTGGATTTACTATCCCCAATTCCTTGTCATGATTTGGATCCACTGACCTTATGTGGTGGAACAACTGTTCATCAATTAAACCACAAAGCAAGCCACATTAAACAAGATGGATCAATGTCTTGCAGTAGATCAACCCACAAATTTGCCTGCTAACCTTGGTGAGCATTCGATCAGGGCGGCCATATTTGTAGACTATTGCAACCACTGCCAAATTCCCTTGAGAGCATTTGTGCACCAAGTGCAGCTCCAGCTCGTACCTGCATCGTTTTGCACATCGATCGATCATGAGGGAAGGGTGATTCGGGTTGTAGAATTCGCGGATGAAATGAATCGAAAAACCGAAAAAAGTTCGTACCTTGAACCATTGATAGTGTGCTCAGAGGGGGAATGCCAATGAAACTGCAGCAGCTTATATTTTGTACCATTGATCTTGATCTCTCCAGCATCTCCTTTCCACCTCACCTGTTCATCATAAAGAAAATCATACATGAGTTGTTCTCCAGTGATCTGATCCCCATGCCATGAATCTCGCGATGAAGAAATTGAGACAGATGAGTGAATGAATTAGAACTACTCACAGTAATATCATGGCCTCTATTTTTGACAGTGGCAGGAGCTGGTTTGTAGTCTCTGTTGAGCCTTCCCAAATGTGAAAGGACTTGGACCCTTGTGTCTATAAGGTCAATTGGAGACTGCATGCTTCCATTTTTGCAGGCTTGCCAATGTGGGTTTATCTCCCCCCATCTTCTGGGACCTTTCCCACTCTTTTCCCCATATGTAAAAGCAGATTCATCATCTGCATTGTTCACCGGGAATAAGAATCCCACCATGGACACATTATATTTGAATTAAGTTGCATAGGCGCAGGTGGAAAAGGTAACAAGCAATGACATCTAAGTCTCAGCCAGAAGAACAACGAAGGTTCCTAGTACTAGTTGCTTGGATCACAAATTCGGCTCTAGGATTCGAGCTTAAAACCTCGTCAAGAGACCGTTGTTCAAAAGAAATAAACTTCCGAGAGTATCAAATCCGTGGTCCCTACGAATTTGAAAGATTCTGGAATCCATCCCTTCAAATGGGCCGGTCCTACAGTTGAAATCGGTAATCCACTTCTGGAATCATACATCCAAATAAAAACCATTTTCTAGTTCCACAAAAGCTGTACCATGAATCAAGTGTCAAATCCTTGATCCAAACCAGCTGTTCTAGTAACTCATAACAAAAACTCAATCCTACCCTACTGCTCTTCTGCAGCAGCATTTTCTCAATCGACAAAACACATGCAATTACAGAGGAAGAAGGAGAAGAAATGCTGGAGGAAGATTGAATCTGCAAACTCCAACTACCCTTAGAGCTAGCAGCTGGGAAGGAGGGAAAATGAGGGGAGTTGACTTACCAACTTCGCCAGAGTCAGAGTCAGAAGAAGCAGTGGAGAAGGTGACAAAGAGAGACAACAATGTGACTCCAACCAGGAGATTAGCAAGGAAGAGAATGGAGACCAAGTTCTTCTCCATTGGAGTGATCTTGGTTTTGATTTGAAGAGTTGGATTACTCTGGCAAATGGGAATTTGTTTGTACCCTTATTATAAGGCTGATTTATGTAACTATATTCTTCATTCGATACGATGCTTCGTGGGAAGGGCAAATGCAGAAAGACAGCATGAGAATGGGAAGAAAAGAAAATGAGTGCCTGTAACGGTAATGGTGTCAGTACATATTTATTCTGATTTTGTTGTCTCCAATAAATACCTAACTTAATGCAAGCAAACCCAGAGATGCACTTGACTCATGACGCAAACCTTTTCTAAAGTATGTCATTTAGGCTACTTACTGCACTTCCACTGTTTATACACCATTGATAGACATGAGACAGAAGCTCGTGAAATCGAACGACGAACAAATGCACCAATTATCCAACCAAACACACTTCCGACTCCTTCGATTGGCATGAAACAGCAGCTCGTGACCTCGAACAATGAACAAATTAACCATTTATCTGAAGTTCTTACTAGATTGATTGGCAATTTGGCATGCAGCTTGATAACTCGAACCTTGAACTCAAATGACGAACCATACGAATAATTCGGTACCCTAAAACATAAGCAAAAGGACTGAATCTTTACTGCTAAGTTTTGTGGTTTGAAGGAATAGGCGAATAGCCTTGCTCTCATCATTGAGACTGCGAGAGATTCGATACTTTGCCCTGGTAAGCAGAAAAGTGAAAACACAGCAGTATAGGCGAACGACCGAATCTTCACTGCTAATTTATGTGGTTTGAAAGGATCTCGCTACTATCATCATTGAGACACCCAGAGATTCGATACTTTCTAATGATAATTTGGTAGCCGAAGTTGTACAAGCCACACAGAACTACATGAAAGAAGTCCATAGAAACTGGAATGTGTAAAGAGGATAACTACAACTTGCCAATTGCCATAGATAAACAAGGGAGGTTAACCGTACAGATACTACTTTCTCATGATTTGGAAATCGTTCATCAACACGAACTACTACAACTTGCCATACAGTACAGACCCGACCTAAACATAAAAAACATACGTTCTGATTAATCAGTCTTCTAAAGAGATTCGACAAACCCGGATGAACTTACAGCCTCCACTTTCATGCACACTCGTATTGTCTACACATGGCGGTCCAAAGAGGAAGTAGCTCACTTTCCCCTGCAATGTACAAAAAGAACGGCCATCAGTACCATGATGAGACTGAGCATGTTGCAGACACGCATGCAAGGCGCACAAAACAAGCTTACGTATTCATCATCAGCGTAATGTTGTCTCCTTTAAGAAGAATCCTCCCTGTAAAACAACGAAACTGTGAGTTAGAAACTGCTAGCAAGAACAAGATGAACAAAAAAGCATCAGCAGTGGAGTTAGTATTCAGATTACCAAGAGACTTTCTGCTCTTCTTCTTGACATTGACCTCCTCAGCATCCTCCAACACCAAGTTCATGTACTCATCGAATCCCTGTTACATTAAACCGAAAACAGAATGAGTTAAATTCCAATTACCATCCTTCCAAGTCCCAACAAAAAGTAGTTTCATGCCAGCAGTTATATGGAAGCAAATGAGTGCTTAGGAATTAGTGCAATTGAATACACGGCATTCCTTTTATTTTTTAATCATAAACTAAGAGGAGAAAGTGAAAGCAATTTTCCAACTGAATTTTTGGGAAGTTCCATAACACTAATGACGAATACATAATCTTATATGGCCAACAGAGAAGCTGCCGGCTACAGCTCAAAAGTCAATTCAGTGCTTCCATACAAAGAGACATCAGAGAGCTGCGTCATGGATGGTCCGTGTCGCTCAAGAGACAGAGCAGAAGGGGACGTGGAAACATCGAACAGGCATACTTATCCTCAAGGTATACGAGTTTTTTGCAGCCCTAAAAGCTTCGAAACAGTTTCACTTACAGCTGGTAATTTGCTAGAACACTAACCAGGACTTGGGCCGGATCTAAAATGGGATCTCACAATGAAAGGGTCAAGGGGAAAACATAAATCTTATATATGGCAACTGGCTAGAATGAGCTTGTCTGGAGAACTTGGTGGCTGATAAATGAGTCATGAAAACAAAATTGTCTGAGTTTCTGCTGCCCCCATGAACTAACACAAGTACCAAACTGCCTTGCAACTTGCCTAAAGCATAAAGCCAAAGAATGCAAACTCAGCCACCAAACTTGCCCTTGTTCCACAAACTAAAGTTCAAAATTTCTAGCAAATCACAGAAATTCGCCTTACAAACTGGTAGCAAGGTGGTATTCAAGCTATCCAGTAAACTAACTAAAACAAGAACATAACAATTCAATACTGTAGAGACAACAATCTAAGCAGTCAGTAATCAGTAGTTGGGAAGCCACTCACAATGATTCGGCCTTCAATTCTCAAATCCTTCTGCTCAAACAGCCAAATCTGAATCCGAGCTTTCTGAAACACCCACCAACGAAAGAAAGCCCCAAAATTAGTCGCAATTAACGAGCAACAATAGTATATGGCAGATTACAAACCAACGAAATGACCGAGGAGAACATTCGGTGACTTACGCTTTGAAGAAACCTGAAGATCAGGTTCTACGGCGCACAAACATCCCACGGCGATAGCAGCAACATGGAACAAAAGCAGTTAGCAGCCGGAGAAAAAAAAATCGAGTAAAACAACGAGGATAAGCTGAAACGAACAACAGCGAACTTACAATGGGCTGGGTCATAATCCTCTGAACCTTAGTGCTCGCCATGGCTGCAGGATCTCCGCTGATCGACTAGGGTTTGAGTGGAGGAAACCGGCGAGATTTTCTTCTTCTCCGAACAAAGAATCGCAACTCAAAATTTTTGAACTACTGCGCTTCACATTCACTAGATCGGATTCCACCGGCGGCTGGCTCCGAAACCCTTATTCGAGGACGCGGGAGTTTTTAGAATTTGGGCTTTTCTTGGGCCGGGCTTCTTTCGCGGGCCGAAGTTCAAGAAAACAATTTCTGAAATACCGATACGTCGTCGTTTTACCTTCCCAGGAAAGCAGAGAGATTACAGCAGCGAATCCAATCCCTCACTGACTCCATTCACTCTAAACCCTAGTGGTCAGTTTCTCTGCCTCTTTCCGTTTCCTCTCCAAACCACGACGGCGGCGACGGTGACTCCTGCTCCAAAGTCAGCAACCATGGCGACCTACGATCTGACTCCCCGTATAGCTCCCAATCTGGACAGGCACTTGGTTTTCCCGCTTCTGGAGTTTCTCCAGGAGCAACAGATGTACCCCGATGAAGAGATCTTGAAGGCCAAAATCGAGCTCCTCAACAAGACCAACATGGTCGATTACGCCATGGACATCCACAAGAGCCTCTACCACACCGAAGACGTCCCGCAAGGTTGGTGATACGTAGACTTTCGGACTTCTTGTTGGGTTCAGGATTTGGAGAAAAATGTATGGGCTTATTGGATTTGTGTTTGTAGATATGATTGAGCGGAGGGTGGAGGTCGTGGCGAGATTGAAGTCCCTGGAGGAAGGTGCGGCGCCGTTGGTGGCTTTTCTGCAGAATCCTAGCGCCGTGCAGGAACTGAGAGCTGACAAGCAGTACAATCTCCAGATGCTTAACGACCGCTACCAGGTTAGCTCCTTTGCCATTCATCGTCTTAATCATCTGTGTATGTAATATAGCTAGATGAAGGATGAATGATTAGCGCTTGAGTTGATTGAAAAGTTGACGTTTTGGGGTAATCTGTACCCTTATTTGCAGCATGTCTGAGTTGAGGAAAGCTTATTGTTGGGTACATTGTGACTATTTCGTTTGTGTGGAGTGAGATTGGTTTGTGGCCTTGGATCCAATTCAGTGTGTTGGGTCATCATAAGTAGATGTGGTTGGTTATGTCAGGCATGCTGATAAGTTCTCCCTTTTTTCATTGAAACAGATTGGTCCCGATCAGATTGAAGCATTATATCAGTATGCCAAATTTCAGTTTGAATGTGGAAACTACTCTGGTGCTGCTGACTACCTTTATCAGTACAGGGCACTATGCACTAACAGTGAAAGGAGCCTGAGTGCGCTCTGGGGAAAGTTGGCTGCTGAGGTACTGATGCAAAATTGGGTTGTTGCTGTCGAAGAACTTAATCGACTGAAAGAAATAATTGATTCAAAGGTAGATTTTTCCTATGTGCTCATGTGACGTTTGTCATCTGCTTTTTCTAGTTTGGAGTTCTTTCCTGATTCTTGAGGCTGACACTTTACTTCTATTGTTTTGTTCCAGAGCTTTTCTTCTCCACTGAACCAGGTGCAAAGTAGAATCTGGCTGATGCATTGGAGTCTCTTCATTTTCTTCAATCACGACAATGACAAAACTCAGATTATTGATCTCTTCAATCAGGACAAGTACGGTCGAGATAGTAAATTGCAAAGTTACTCAATTCATTTTCTTGAACCGGTTGTTTCTGCCACATGTCCAACTTCTAACTTTGTTTTGTCTTTTGCATTAGGTATCTGAATGCCATTCAAACTAGCGCACCACATCTTCTACGTTATCTAGCAACAGCATTCATTGTTAACAAAAGAAGACGTTCCCAATTCAAGGACTTTATAAGGGTTATCCAGCAGGAACAGCATTCTTATAAAGACCCAATAACAGAGTTTTTGGCTTGTGTCTTTGTCAATTATGATTTTGATGGAGCACAAAAGAAGATGAAAGAGTGTGAAGAAGTAAGGTTCCTAGGCACTTGTGTCTTTATTTTGCTACTGTGTTTGGCTGAAGTTTTCATTATGCTTTCTTTCTTGCTGCAGGTGATCGTAAAGGATCCTTTCCTTGGGAAACAAATTGAAGATGGAAACGGTTCTACTATGCCACTGAGAGATGAATTCATGAAGAATGCCCGTCTGTTCATCTTGGAAACTTATTGCCGGATCCATCAGCGTATTGACATGGGGTAAGCATTTATTATTATATATTAACAAGAAGTGTACTGGTAAATCAAATGATCTCTTGTGTTGTTTTTGGTTGTTTTCAACCAGTAGTATCGAACCACCTAAGCCATCTCAAAGCTTATCTTGTTCCTACTTCATCGTTGTGCTGACTTCAAATAATTTTCTGTTATTGGCAGAGTGCTGGCAGAGAAATTGAATATGGACTACGAAGAAGCTGAGAGATGGATTGTAAAACGCATCCGGAACTCGGAGCTTGATGCTAAGATTGATACCGAGACAGGAACTGTGATCATGGAACCCAATCATCCCAATGTGTAAGATAACTTTCTTCAACATCAAAGTTCATTTTGTTCAAATGGGTTCCTTAGTATTTTCCTTGGCTCTTTTGGATTCACGCAAAGATTATGCATTTATGCATATTTCATCTTGTATACAGGTACGAGCAGTTGATAGAGCACACCAAATCACTGTCGGGACGTACTTACAAGTTGGCCAGCCAGCTGATGGAACAATCACCTGCCCAAGCTGCTAGATGATTGTAACGTTCTTGATAGGATTGTCTTTTGTACTGTCAGTTTTGGTCGTTATTTATGGTCCCACCAGAAATCTGATTGAATGCTTGAGATTTTGCTCCCTCCGAGTTGTTGCTCGAGGCCGTTTGTTAGGATTCAGTAAACTGGTTGATTAATTGAAATTGAGATGGTATTTCTTTTGATGTCAATATGGAGACGGCCAGTTTGTATCAATTTGGTCTTATGTTGAATTGGATTGACTTGGGCCACTTGGCCAAAGGTCTGCAACCAGGTCATGAGAACAAAGCTTTATTATTGGATTCGTAAACAAAATCCAGAACTTAAAAATAAAAAAAATCCAGATAGCTGACGTGGCAAGTGAGGTGGATCTTGACTAACGGTTGGTCAACTCAATTGACCGTCTAATTTGACGGTTAAATCAGTCTCCGAGCCAAATATGGAAGTATGCTACATATTTTAAGCTAGAATAGCAATTTCGTATACCACGGGCCAAAGTAGAAAGTTTATCTATAGTTCAGGCCACACTAAGATATTAACCCAATTCAGTGTCAAGAGCCCGTAGATCACAATAATTCGAGTTGTTGAGAGGTTCAATCTTGAATTATATACCACACATTAACGTAAAGAACTCATACATTGAACAGAGTTTGACTGTTACATAAAGAGCAGCTAAACAGTAGCTTATAACTTCTTCAACACGGTACACCAACGCAAGGAAACACACTTGATATTTACAGTTTCGGCGCACACAATAAGACCCCGAAACAACTTAAAGGGCAAATTCCCTTGACGCCCATCGCTCTTCGTATCTCCCCAAGGAGATAGGGTTGGCAGTCGCTGCACTGAGATGAAACGGGTCTGGCTCGATCCCATAATCCGTCAGAGGCCTATCCTCGAGCACATCATCATGATCTTGCACGAAATCAGGGACCTCGAGTTCCCCTTTCTTAATGTCTGCCCACAGATACTGGAGGCGGCTCACATATTTGATCTTCCAATACAAGCTACACCAGCAACAGAATGTAAGCAGATTAGGACATGTAAGGACAACCAAAACAAAAAAACATGTACCCAAAACATTGGTATGGTAATGGAACTGAGACAGATGCTTGCTTACCCTCCACTTAAGAAGAGTCGACCAAGGGTGGCGATTGCAAGCCTTGACCTGAGACCGGGGTGGATGAAGTACACAGTTTGGAGTCTGTCCTTGAAGTTCCCAGGAAGCTCCTCGTATATCCACCTCAGAACTGTTATCCCCGGGGAGTTGTCGTCCTTCTGTACCGTGCTGTGCATGTAAACGATACAGAATCGTCCTTCAGGCAACTCGCTGCATATTTTGTGGAAAATGTACTTCTTCAGCCTCTCTGCACTCACAACTTGAGCTGCGGGTGTGCCCACACACGAAAACCATGAAGTACATTAATCATCAGTGGATGTTTCAAATTAGGCATCACCTCGATGATGAGTATGTCAATGTGGATGATCGAACATGATTAAGTAGTCTAATGCTCATTTTCAATCAGCGAGGATCATCTACTAACAAATATCAAGGGCACACATAGTTCATCTGGACTACAGACTACTGCTAATCAAGACACCTAGTAATCGCAACATACTCATCAAGAAGGATCAAAGAGATAGCACAAACTAGATTCAGATACCTAATGAGACACGAAAATGTGCAGAAAACTACCTCAGTGAAAGCCGCAATAGAGCTTCACAGCTCCAACTAGCTATGGTTTGCATAGATAAGCAATAATATTAACCAGACTGAGGGATTAGGGTGGGCATTTCTTCGTGTTCAGTGTTCACAGATCAGTATATTCTCAAATCGACCAAACTGAAATTCCATAGCATAAAAGCGGGTGCAATTGTGCATCATGGGTTCACTGTTAAAGCTAGACATAATCACGACTCACATATGACTCATCAAATCTTGAATGAAGCAAGAACCAAGCAACGGGAAACCGAATTCACAAGCAGTAATTGAAGCCACGAATCCATGAATTGGAATACTATCGAAGGGCGATTGAATCGATTAATCGATTACCCGGGAAGTGCTTGCCGACGATGCGGAAGATGCGACTCCCGGAGCGGTCGGAGCCCTGGAGGGAGAAGAACTGGAGGAGATCGAGGTCGGAGAAATCTTCGTCGGAGACGAGGTACTGCGAGCAATCTTGCCAGTTCTCGTCGGTTTCTTCGTCATCTCCTTGGCCGGATCTTTGTTTAGGCTGGTTGGTCAAGAATGGAGTGGCGTCTACGCCCAAATCCGACGCCAGGACGAACACTGAGAAATCGTCGTTTGATGAGCTCCCCATCTTCTCTTTTCTGCTAGTGGAAGTCTGTATTTTCCGGGGAAATGGCTGCGGATCAGCGGATGTTTGATTTTCTCTCTCCCTCTTTCTTGATCCAGTCTCTCGGTGAAATTGGTTAAAACTCCGAAACGGTCACTGGAATTTGGTGTTATAATCATATCAATCATCAAATTGTTCCTTTGGTCGCAAATTTGTCAATTAGTCTAATTTCGTCAATTTTGCTTTTGATTAAGTAAAAATGTTATGCTGATAAAACTTGTCATATCATATCAATGAACATGTTGGTGACATCCGATCCGGGTTCGAGAGAGATTACTATGGATTCAATTACCCCATCAAATTTAACACGAATTACATTTTCTACTGTTACGTAAAACATATAGATCTTACATCAAATTCATCACATGTCACTTTATACATTTCAAATTTTGTACATCATCTCCATATTTCATCTTTTGTGCTCTTTTGCTCTCCAATTTTTCACCTTGTCATCCCCCCCCCCCCCATGTTTAGGTGATTAGGTGGATTTTCAGTTTTCACTGCTTTGATAAGTAGATCGAAGGTTATACAATTGTGTCATCAATTTATTATGCAACAAGAAATATCCCGCAAAACTTGATATGGGGTGATTCATTTGATATGATAGATATTTGGTCTTTATAGTCCGGCTCGTGCATATAGGAATAGTTGGAGACCTTTCGTTTTAATGTAGCACCTCAAACCATCTCGCCTAATTGGACCTTTGTTGTTGTTGGGGTACTACCCACCAATTAGTGGTCTAGGTCCCCAAGCAACGGAATTGGGGGGCAAGGCCCGAAAATGGTTCCGTGAAATACCTCTAGGCCTAAGCAAGAGGAAGGGCGCATGAGGACAAAACACTAAAAGCCAAGGGAGACCAGGCTGTTAGGTGGTCCATCGCCTGCGGGCGCCTGTCACGCGTCAGAAGCCTGACAAGGCAGTTGAGATATCTGACAAAGAGGGTACAAAGCATTAAATAGGGACAGTGACGTGGAGGAGATCAACCTCGAGTTCGGTGAGTATAAATAGGGGCAGTTGGTAGCATTTACACAGGTTGGACTCTCTCACAAAAACTCTTACTTTGGGACACTTCCCTCTCTAAGAAACTAACTTGGGCGTCGGAGGATTAACGGGCCCAGAGGCCCCCTCCTTGTTCGTGTGTGTAGGCAGGCGCCAGTCGAAGAGAAGTTTCAGGTGTTCCGGTGGGTGTTGTGGCTCAAACAGTTGTGTTCAATTACAAGAGACTCAAATAATATTATCGGAGTGTCTTATAAGATAACTAGCGTCTTTGTTTGTGACACATCGTGATTTGTAGTTTGTCAAAACAATGTAATGCTATGTTGAGTTTGATAATCCATACATCACGAAACAATGTGGCATTGCACGATCGTGCTTTATTGTGTAACACGCCTAAACAATCAAATTTCAACTAGCATAATTTTGCTGCCGATCTTATGCATCCCACTGGTTTGCTACAAACAAAAGCTTTTGATTCGAACAAGAACAACTGAACAAACAAGTATTTCTCCAAGCCTAAATTGAATTGAAAATGGAGTCCCCTATAATTTATTATCCTGAGAAGTTCAGAAGGAATTTCATCACGTATCTCAATTGAAAAGAATAAAAAAAAAATCTGATAAAGGCTAAAAACCAAAACGTAGAAATAGGGTGACGGAAATAGCAACACAGCTAAACGATAAATCTTACAGTTTCCGCCATCGTCCTCCTTCTTTCCTTCGGAGACTCTCCTGCAACTTCTGCTGATTTCTCGTTGAGATTTCAAACTATTTACTCATCCTATCATTGGAATATATATGTGCCATTTGAATCCACCGCTCGCTCGTTACAGTCTCCCTCCTCTCCGATGGCGGGTCCAATCAGACCCACATTCCAGTCCTCTTCGTCTTCTTCGAATGCCTTCGTTTTCCGTCTCCTCTTTCTTCTCGCTCTCCTCCCCTTGACCCTCGCGGTTTTCGCATTCGTCCTCCAATGGCGTGGCGGATTTTTGAGCGACCCCATTAACAGATGGTCTCCAGAAACCCATCAGTTCCCCGGCATGATGGAAACCACCGCCGAGGAGGCTGATGCCTTCGGCGGCAGCTCCGCCAAGGCTGTCGTCAGAAGTTCCGATTCAGGGTGCTCTCTTTTGGGTCCCTCCCATTCTGCTTCGTTTCCTTATTACCGGGATTGGAAGTTCGACTATGGGTCGGATCTGAATCCCAAGGTGATTTATGGGTTGACGGAATTGTGGATGTTGGTATAATCTTTAGTTTGTGTTTGTGTTCATGGGTTCGGATCTTGGCACCGGAATTCCTGATTGCATTTGCCCATTATTTTCTGTAATTAGTATTCCATGCTTTTTGTAGTTGTAGATGATTGGTATGTGGAATAAACTTTCACAATGTGCATGTGAATGAGTAGTTTGGAGTATTAGCTCTGGGTTATAATCTATACTATATGGACTTCTCTGTTTCCAGATATGTATAACAACGAGCACTTCTGCTGGCTTGGAGCAGACTTTGCCATGGATTTTCTATCACAAGGTCCTTGGGGTATCCACCTTTTTCCTGTTCGTGGAGGGAAAGGCTGCCTCCCCTAGCGTATCAAAAGTTCTTGAAACCATTCAGGCACGTTGACCATCACTTCTCGTGCAGTTTGGTTCAACCTTTCATTTTCCTGTCTTCCTGATGTTTGGTGTCGAATTTTCAGGGTGTGAAAGTCATATACAGGACTAGGGAACTCGAGGTGCAACAAGCTAATAGGTAGTCGATCATTTCCCTTCTTCCTTCGCTGATAAGAATGTGCAATGTTTTAGTTTTGTTTCTAGATGTTGGCCTTACGAGAACCTTGCAGCGCAACGCTGAGCGCCTTTTCTGGTAGGGTGTGATTGAGACATTGTTGTATGTTGGAGGCTTAAGTTTGAATGACTAGCGTCTGAAAAGGATTAACAAACAAGTTCGAGAGTCCATATAGTTCTGCGTATCTCATCTCGTCATAAAGAGCTGATCAAGTTCTTCCTCTCCTGTTCGTCGTTTTGGTGTGTGGTTGTCAGCCGCGTTTGGAATGAAACTTGGCTGGCAAGCTTCTTCTACAAACCTTGCAATCATGAGTTATTTGTGAAGCAATCACTCAATATGGAAATGGCCATCGTCATGGCAAGGGTATGGCGTAATCTTGTACACTTAAATCATATACAATTTTGGCACACTAAAGAATTGAGTGTTCATCTGACTTTTCAGGACGAAGGAATGGATTGGATTCTCCACCTTGACACAGATGAGCTCATTCATCCTGCTGGAGCTCCTGAGTATTCTTTGAGGCGGCTTCTATCAGATGTACCTGAAGATGTCAATATGGTTGTCTTTCCAAATTACGTGAGTAGAACTACTTTTGGTGATTCATTTAACAAAAGTTTCCTGTGAAAGCTAAGAGAGTCGATATTCGAAAAGGAAAACCACTGCATGCTCCTCTGCTTTATGCATTGGCAGTTCGATCTTCTTGCTGTTGTTCCCTTCTACACTTGCCTCTTGGTATGTAATTGAAAGCACTGTTTGTTTCAGGAGAGTAGTGTCGAGAGGGATGATATCAAGGAACCTTTCAGTCAGGTAGTGTGCACATATTACTATTTTTACCCTTCTTCTCTTTTCCTTTTTGCTAGTTGAAGTTAAAGAATCTTCCTGATCTTTGCGTTTATTATTTTTGTAGCTTTCTTACTTATTGATCTGAAACTTCTCTGATTTGTTCTAGTGGCTTTTCAGCATCTTCCATAGCGATTTGTCTCCTCCAAATGCATAATTGATCTAGGTTTCATGGAGAAGCTTTTGTAATTTTCATAAACTACCGTATACTAATCTTGTGAATATTAAATTCTTATGCATCTATAAGTTCGAAATACTCCTGAAAAACTCTTCCTGTGATTTGTCCATTTATCAGGAAATACATATATTATTATATATTATGATTCAGCTTGAAACCTAGTTATTCCTTGTAGACCATCTTGGATTGTATGCATATCTTTGGTTGGTTAGCATTGTGCTTACTCCTGACTTTGGCTTTGTGTTGACGCAGGTCTCAATGTTTAAGAAAAATTATGATCATCTTCCTAAAGAGGTATACTTTGGAAGCTACAGGGAAGCCACCCGTGGCAATCCAAACTACTTTCTTACATATGGAAATGGCAAGTCTGCTGCTCGAGTTCAAGATGATCTTCGTCCCAATGGTGCACATCGATGGCACAATTATAGGAGGACTCCCAAGTATGGAAATATCAGCTCTTATGATTATTCCTTAATTGTTTGCTTTACAAAATGCACTGATATGCTTTTTCTACAAACTTTTTTAATTAATAAAAGAACCATTTTGTTCTTACCGTCTGCTAGAAGGAAAATACAGCAAAATACCAACAATGATGGTAAATTGAGGGAAAACTAATGGGCCAGATTTGTATTCGTTCGGCTCCTGATTTCTACTCATTTGAGCATGCATCTTCAAAGCAGTGACGGTATTGCTTATATTCAGTTGTATGCAAACTCTTAATTTTTCTTCCTGGAAATATTGGCAGTGAAGTCAAATTTGAAGAGGCTGCTGTTCTGCATTATACATATACGAAATTTTCGGATCTGACTTCAAGGAGGGATCGCTGTGGATGCAAACCCACTAAAGAGGATGTCAAGAGGTGTTTCATGTTGGAATTCGACAGAGCTGTGAGTTCTCATATATAATGCCTGGTTCTTCGATTATTTATCCTTATGTTTTCTACTTGAAAATGACTGGATATCAGCTTCCAACTTCTCAAGACTTTCCAAATGTTTCATGAAATTATATTTTGATTGAAAACAGAAACCTTATCCTAGGTGGTGCAGTAGGCACTAGTTTGCATTTGCATAGTTCTAGCACCAAGAAAATTAGGTTATTCTCATAAGAAGCTGTAGAAAAGCAAACTAATTGTACTTGACCAGATCTTGATTCTATGAAGTTAATGATGTCATCAAGTTGGTAGACAGATGTGTTTCCTCTGTTATCTTTCCATACGGCAAGCATGCCACTTTGAAATGAGTAACTTGTTTGATTTCTGAGTTATCCAGTTGAGTACAAGTTTCTGAAACTTCTGCTGCTTATCAATTTCTGTTTGCCAATAATGTAATATTATAAACTGTTCTGTTAATTTTGCTAACTCCCCTACCATGTTTTCACATGAGCAGGCCTTCATAATTGCTTCAACTGCAACAGACGAAGAAATGCTCCGCTGGTAATGAAGATACAAAATTAAAACTTCGTATTCTGTTTCTTCACCTTTCAAGATTGCCATAGTAAAGCTTTAAACAAAAGTTGATGATCTGGTTGGACCACGCATGCCCTATTTGGAAAATAGTTACCAGCATTGATATCTTAAATTCAGTGGAATAGCATCTGATGCCCTCCGCGACACAGTTTTTGCTTATCATGTCTAAATCTCATTGCATCAGGTATCGGGAACATGTTGTATGGACAGACAAAAATTTGATTCTCAAACTCCAGAAAAAGGGCATCCTGACTCGCATTTACTCCCCCATGGTTTGTTCATCACCAGCACTTTCATGTATCAAATCACTCAAGCATGTCCCTGAAATATTACTGACCAACAGTCTACTACACATTGCAGTTAATTATTCAAGCACTAAGGGAAGCTGGAGTATTCAGCTCAGTAATATCAGAAGCCGCAGCAACGAGAAACATCCCAATAGATGACTTCTCATCATCAGTGAATGCTACTACTACCAACCCTAGTAGTCCAGACATACCCACCGGCTTGGTGCATTCGAGAAAAATTGGCCAGGAGAAGAAGGCGGCAGAATCCCATGCAGCAGGCGGAAGAAGGTTGTTCGACAAGTCTTCTCACCCGCCAGCAGTGCCTCCGCTTTCTCCACCTGGCATAGATGACATTATCGAAATAGTCTCGACATGAACCTCTATAAACGAAGTATGTCCTTCTCCACCATTTCCACTGGCATTAGATTTGATCAAAGCAAAACTATGGTGGGTGGTCCTTTAGTCATTCCTGTACATTTAGGTTTAGGAAATTTTGTCTTTCATTTTGATTTTCCCACTATATATGAGATCTTCACAGCTGAGGAAAAGAAGATTTTGATTCTGATACAAGCAGACCTCACTATACACTTTCCTTTGTTGTTGTTTTTTTCTGGCCATGTGGTTAGGAACATCAAAGTCTAGTTTTTCTTTTTGGGAATTGATTCCCCCATTGTTATCAGTGGTTACACAGACTACAGAGAGTTATATGATATGACATTGATATGAGATCATTACTTTGAAAATGGCTTCTTTCAATTGATGTCTGTTTGTGCTTTGCTTTGAGGCGGGGGACAATGGAGAGTGATTATGGGTATCGTATCTGATATAGGAACAGAAGGATGACCAATGGGGTTTCAGAGTTAGATTGCCTCCCTCACATCAAAGATCCTAACTTTCTTAAAGCCATTGATGGGGTGTTTGGCTTCTGGGCCGCTAACATTACAGGTGGGGGAAAGAAAAGTAGGCAGGCAAACAGGCAAGAGCACTAAATATGGTTGTGTGCCGATGTGATGTTGAAATTAGGTGAATTCTGAGGCTTTGCTTCAATGGGAGAGGAATAAGGGCAGTGGTGGTGGGAGACAGACAGATTGCTTCATAGAAGGGGCAAGCAACATTGTGTAGTTGTGTACATGCTATTTGCTGGCCTACATCTTTTGGCCTTATATTAATACCTAAAGTATGTATTTCACGAGCAAGTCTAGAGTGCACTTCTAATTTTGGATGTATCGTACACGCGCTATTTACAATTGATTTGTCTGTATTGGTCGACGATTTTTTGTAACTCTACATAAAAAGATTTTGAACATTTAGTTTTTAAGGTTTACAATTTCTTTGTTAACAATAGTGGTATATTAGAGAGGGACGTACTAGGGATGGCAATGGGTCGGGTTGGGTCGGGTTTTGCCAAACCCAAACCCAAACCCATGGGTTTATCTTTGAAAAAAACCCGGGGTAAAACCCACTGGGTTTGAAAAACTCAAACCCAACCCAACCCGTTGGGTATCCGCGGGTTCATGGGTACCCACGGGTTTTGTCGTAAAAAATTTACAATTACAAATTCTTATAAAAATTAAAGTCAAATATCAATCTCTTAATACAAATTATCCATATATAAAACACCATTCTAGAAAATTCAAGCAAATCACAAATTAACTATACAAATTGTTCAACACCAATCTAGAAAACTCAAGAAAATTGAAGCAAATCACAAATTATCCATAAATAACATTTTTAATTGAAAGCTTCTTCCTTTGAATTAAGTTTCTTTACTCTCCACTCCATAACATCAACTTCATTCTACACAATTAAAAAGAAAAAAGTAGACATGTCTCCACAAACATAAATAAGATTAGTTGTTTAGAATATTAAATATACCGAAAAAGTTAATTATATGGGTGGGCGGGTACCCACGGGCCGGGTTTACCTAAACCCAAACCCAACCCAACCCGTTGAATAGTGAACGGGTTTAAACCCAAACCCGGCCCAAAACCCGTCAACACGGATTTTACCCGCGTTGACCGGGTTGGGTCGGGTGAGTACCCGTGGGTTCGGGTTTTGTTGCCATCTCTAGGACGTACGTCGGTTCATTAGAGACCAAAAGTCCAAAATTGTGCAAGGAAGCGCAGACGTCGCTGCCTCCTCCTCGGCCTCGGGTCCTAAAGAACTTGCCGAGTTGGTTCTTTCAACTCAGTCTTCTTTCTTTCTCACTGCCTAATTCATTTTCTGATGGCTAATTTCACACACATTATTATCATTTTGGGTCGTAATCCTATTTGGGCAGCCTTGACTACTCTTTCTACTTCCGTTCTTTGCTTCTTTTCCATGACAATGTTGTATCACCTTATTATAATGAAAACCCATGATAATGAAAACTGATAATCAATACCATCTATTGCACAATGTGATTTGAAGTTCGGGTTAGGACGTCCAACTCGATTCACGATTGTTAGATTCCGCATGTTGTGTTCTACGGCCGCAAAATTCAAATGATTGTGAATCACGGTAGACCGTGTTCTACTATTAGTGTGATAGGACGTCCTTATCCTAATAGGTATTGAATCTTCGTTTTGGACTTTGATTCCAATCGTTTAGGATATTAAAAAAAAAATCTTGTGGTTTCTACCATAGTATCTCTTAAGTAATGTAATCTCACATGCTTTCTTTGTGAAAGACATTAGTCTAAACTTGTACATTTGCAAGTGCTCATTTCATTAGTGTGTTTCTCTCTGCAATTGCATATTGAGTATCATCTAGGATTAGGGATGGTAATTTCAACCTGATCCGTTTTACCCGACCTGTTTGGCCTGTATTGGGCGGGTCCGATCCGCCCCGTAGGGGGGGCGGGGCGGGCATGGGTACTCTCATCGACCCGACTTGCTCTGACCCGCCCCATTCTCGACCCGTTATTGCCTAAATTACATGTAATCTTAGTCAAATTATTTAGGATTTTTTTTATTACATCATAATTTAGCTATAATAAAGTTGTAAATTAGTGAAAACCTCAATTTCTTTGATAATTTAACTACATTTATCATAATATTGTTTGTTTTCTTGGTCTTATAATAAAAATAACGAATATTTCTAATGTTTGTCATATAAAATGCATACCCATTGGGTCGACCTGCCCCGACCTGCGATCCGTGATAAACTACCCGACCTGCCACGGGGCGGGTCTGGGTACCAAGAAACCCGCCCCGGACCTGCCCATTGCCATTCCTATCTAGGATCTTCAATTGATCGAATATCATTGATGGGGAAGATCTGACGGAGCTAGGAGTGAACAATAGTTCGTCCAATTCGCAACCCCGTATCACATTTGACAAACTGATCATGTTGTGGTTCTCGAATTCGTAAAATTTACCGGACCAGATTAAATGTATCTCTTTTCATTCTGAACAACCGTTATCCCTATGTGATTTGGTTTGATTCCGAACCAAATCAAACCCACGATCGAGATAGACACAGCCGATCTTTGGGATTGATATTCCATTGACCGGAAAAGTCGAGAAGTTTTAGTTTTACCAAAGAGGAGAGGGAGAAGAACCCAAGAAGTGAAAGAAAGAAACGCAGGTTAGAGAGAGAAAGAGAGACCAGGGGCGATGAACCTTAGCAGACACGCACACAGAGGAAAAAGGAAGAGAAAGCTTTCCCCAAAATGAATGAATGTCAGTCCAATCCCCCACCTTCCTACAGTCCACAACTTGCCTCTTCCCCTCTCTCCCTCTTGCCTAAAATTAAATACCCAAAAAAGAAAGTTTGAAAGAAGAAACAAACCGGAAGATGAACAAATTCACTGAATCCACCTCCCCCCCTCAAAATCATCTCTCCCCCTACCGAAAAACACCCCAACCTTTGCCGCTTCCTTGCTCTGTTATTATTACTCTATTCACTGCAAGTAGCCTCCTAATCTTCTTAACCCACCTAAAGCGGAAACCTCCCCATTTCCTGCTCACCCAACTGGTGGAAAAATATTAAGCTCAATCCAAAGGAAGATTGATTCATCCATCCTCTTCCTCCCCTCTGTTTTCTGTTCTTAAAAGAAAGGAATCAACCACAGAGAGATAGATAGAGAGAAAGACTAATCTTTCTTAATCTTCTTTGCTTCCTTAACTGCCGGCTTCTCATTCTGTAACCAAAACTTAGCAGGCCCTCCATTTCCCAGCTGCTTCGCAGGTTCGTTTCATATCTCCCTCTAATAGTCTTAGTTTTCCGTTTTCGTGAGTGTTTCTAGTGAGCCAAGATTCGAGCTTTATCCATAATTCTGCAATGGGTTTTTGAATCCAGGATCTGGGTTGTTGTTGATTGGTGATTTCTGTAATTGGGTTTTGATTTTTTTGTGGATTCAGCGGGAACAGACCTAATAATCCTTTTCCTCTGTTTTTTTCTCCCCTTTTCCAGGCTCGTGATTTTCCGGGAAAACGCAATTTAGCTGTTGGGATAATTGAAACCGCGAGAACACAATAAACTGGCGGATGAGTCGAGGAATTTCTGGCGAACCAATTACGGAATGTTAGTAGATTCCATCGTTTCCCTCCTCTGCTGCAAATCTTCCACGCTTGAACCAGCTTCATTTCTCTAGCATTTCAAGCATTCCGATAAGTGACTTCAGATTCGACAATTTTGGTAGCGTTCGTCTAGTTAAATGAACTTTGGGAACCCCAATTCAGATTCAACACCACAACCGAGCATCCCAAGCGATCTGCAGGGCCATTGTGTGACCGGCATTATGGAGATGATGACATCACGAAACAGAGCCGCTCCTCCTTCTCAGTATTCATCTTCGTCCGGTTCAATTCCAGGCCCGCACCAATTTAGGTCGGAGATGGAGAAGAAGAGATTCTTGTATAGTCAGAGATCGCAGAGTGGGAACAGTAGTATTTCATCAAGAAGCAGGCTGTTGCCGTCTGGTTATTTCAGCTTGGAGTCTCTGTTTCTGTTAATTGGACTGACGGCGTCTCTGCTCATACTGCCTCTCATCCTTCCGCCGTTGCCGCCGCCGCCGTTTCTGCTGCTTCTGATTCCGATAGGGATCTTCATAACGATGCTACCCTAAAATTCATCCAAATTTCACGTCAATCGAGACAAACTTGAACGCAGTGTACACAGATAACATACTTTTTGGTCCATCCTACTGTGCCTGTTTCTGTACTTTTTGGTTGATAATTAGCAGTCTCGACGCATGTTGGGTTAATACTCCGTGGGATCGATACCCATCTGTTGTTTCCAAGTGCTGTTTAGGCTTAAAAACTCGTTATCAAGTGTCTTCCAAGTATTACACTAGGTTAAGACAGGGAGAACAAAGAACTTTCTTTTTGCTTACTTCTAAACATACTTTCCAAGTCACAGCTCCACTTCCGTTCTCCCTTCATCCTCTTCCTCGGCAAGCAAAGAATAAGAATCTAAGCCATCTTCCACTCTACCAAAATCCATGTTCCCCAAATTTCATTACTTTCCCACATATTTTCCCACTATGGCTCCTGTTGTGTTTTGACCTGAAGATAGCAAACTAACAAAAATATGCTTAAGAATCAATGGATTACGCGTAAGCTGATATATTTGACAGATAATCTCCAGATTAACAAAAAAGCAACTTTGTTAGGAATCAATTACTGCCAACAAAGATTTAACAGTAAAGCAAGTTTTATCAGGAATCAATCTAGTGCCGAAAGGCTATCAGGTTTGTGTATATATACTCGTAACTGTGTCTACATGTAATCTATCTACAAAGCACTGAACAAAACTTCTGCAAAATCATGGCTGATAATAACAGAGACAACAAGACACAAGACAAGCAGCAGCAACCTCCAGAAGGTTAGTACGAGTGAAAGAATGATCGACCCCTAAGTTCTAAGAGGAATTTCGGGCTTCTCAACTAACTTTTTGTTTCTCTTGATCTTCTCAAGGATACCCAACAGAGAATCACACTACTCACCCTACTAGGAAGAAATGCTGCCCTCAAACAAAGAAGAAAGGAGACAGAGGCTTCATTGAAGGATGGTAAGCCCGTCTATCACAATGATACATAACGAGTGACCACCAGAAAGTTGTTTAGTTTCATCTATAGTACAAATATTTTCTGCAACCCATGATCCTAAACCTTGTTTTCGTTATCTATGTGACTGCAGTCTCTTTGCTCTGTGCTGCTGCTGGATTTGTGAAGAATGTTTCTGAATCTTCGCTATGTATCATCATGGCCCAGCTTCTAGCTTCTAGTCTTTCACTGGCTTGTCATCTATATGTGTTCAGATGTTTTTCTATTTTTCCTTTTTCTGTCTTAAGTAAATTGGTTGTATGATATATAGCTTGTCGCCCCCTATGGCTGTATAATGAAGTGATTCCTACTCCTTTGGTTTGTTTATCATTCTACTCCTGCAATTTTGTTCCTCAAATGCTAGTTCCCCAAGATCGATGCTAGTCTGAATAACTGGCTAATAATAAAACAAAGGTGTGGCTCAACTTAGTAAAAAATAAAGCAACAGAGAAGACCTAAATCCAATCAGAAATTTACCTACTCTATTCTCAGTTCTGGGTAGTTATATATCAGCATTTCTGATTTCCTACAAACCAAAGCAAAAGCAATTCCTCCAGATTAATACCTGAAGATTAAACAGTTGATCTCCCGGGTCAAAGTCGACAACCATAATTTCTGAGCAGCTGCAGGCTTCGGATTTGGCTCAAGATTAACTGATATCTATGACCCAAGAAAACAGCTCTGAAAAAGAGAAAACTTGTACAAATATACATTTCTGTAATCATACTGGCTACCATGCAAATATTGAATATCCAGATTATAAAATGATCCCACAGATCATGCCAAAAGATGGTACATAAATAACATTGAGAGCAGATGACTAGACTGAAAAGGCATTATTGGACAAGAGCTTAAAAATATGCCCATGTATTTCTGGTGAAACTCTCAGTTTTTACATCTAGTTCTAACAGCCCAAAAGCCTAGGTGTACCCAAGGAAACAAAAAGGGGGCCACGGTTTATAGTTTCCAAGTTCCCAAACTACAGAGAGACGGATGGGAAAGCAACAAAGAAATCAAGCAGCCTGTGATAGTGGGAACAACTTCTCAAGCTTGTTATTAGCAAAGATCCTGTTGGGGTCCAATTCCTTCCGGGCAGTATTATATGCATCAACAGGAAAGCGCTCTCTTAGCCTCGCTTGCAATGCTGCTTGCTCTTCCTTATCCCTCGGAACCTGTGCATATCATTGCAATTATGCAACTCAAAGTTAGTGAGGTTTTCGTCATGCACTGATTGGACAATGGAACTTGAGGAGAGACAGTTTTCAGATGTCATATTACAAGAGGCAAATATCGAAGATTGATTTCGTACCTCTATCTTAGCCCAATGTTCATAAGCAGAATATTTATCCCATAGCTCAGTCTGAGTCAAACGTCGATAATGGAAGAACTCATCTGTAATGTCCTTTCTCTGGCGGCCATCCATTGTAGGAAGATACATGATTATGCCAACCTGAGACGCAGAACGAAAGATGGGAGTTTTTGATTAACTCCTCCCAAAGCTTGCATTGGATTAAATGCTAATAGCAGCTTTCATTTAGCATCGATATTACAGGGTAATCAGTACATGCTTAAGCAAGAGATACAAACAACACAGAATATGCAATTAATTAACTCACCCAAGAAAATATTTCATCCTCAGTTGAGCTGGAGGCTGGGCTCATATGGCTCCTGCTACGAGCTGTCCAACGTTGCTCTATGGGAGCAGGTGCAGGTATCCGTCTCTTCTCAATGAGCTGCTTCAAATCTTCAATGTATTCAAGATCCTTCATGCTAGGCTTGGAAAGGGAACCAGCAGGAAAGCATGTTTCTGATACCCACTGTTGCCCACCACAATCAAAGCCCAAAATTTCATCACTCCACCCAACCCTGTAGCCTTCTGACTTCCTCCAGAACTCAGCCTCAGCACGATTAATCCTGACAATGTGGTTTTTATTGAGAGGATCTAGATCGATCAACTTGTCTCTTAATTCAGTGAATGATAGCTCATCAACAAGACTAGCCGTGATTTTCCCATTTCTGCAAGTAACTGCAACACGCAATCAGCTGACATATACAAGAACTAAATTATATGAATCAAATAGGTCTATCTGGTGTCAGAAAAGACTCGATATATTGCAGAAACAATACTTTTAGTTGATTATAATTGGTTCCTGTATAAATCGAATTCCCAAGTCAATTGTGTTAAAAAAAATTGTTTTCTTGTGTGCGGATCTAATTGCAGTGTTATGAACAAGCACAAGATATCATCATCATTTCCGCTTGTCCGTAGATACATGAAATCATCATAGGCATAATAATAATACAGTGATAGCCTAAGTAGAACTTAATCAGTCCAGTGATGTTTCCGAGACATTTGTTTCTCTTAGTTAAAGCAGGCAGGAATTGAAGCCACGAGTCAGAATAAAAATAAAAGAAACAATAGAAAAGGAAACGAAAAGGTGTGAGTTGAACTGGCTTCTATGTTATTACTTCTGAATATGCCAGAAAAGCTCATATCACACAATTTCTTCAATTAGACAAAGGCACAAGTGATTCTCAGCATTTCTAGACCTTCAAAGACTTGGAAGCATGCAGTATATATGATGTCCTTGTACAGTCGAACAATAAAAGGGACAAGAGCTGAACTACCTGTACTTTTGAAGGCACTCCTTGTATAGATCACGGACGTGCTGTATTGCTTCGTCTTTAGTATACTTAGGTGTGAATTTAGGGGGACCCCGCCACTTTGAAATAGGGTTACAGGTGACAACTACAACAGCATCAGTATATGGGATGTACAAGTACTTGACATGCTTATTCTCAGAGAGTAGTTTCCTGGAACAAGAGAAATTTTTTTTACAGATGAATAAAAAATATCAAGACTCTAGAGAGAAACACATTCCAAATCTCAACTACAGCTCAAGTTTGAGCGACCTAGCAAAATGAGTTCCACTTCTTTTGGGAATGACTAAGCAAAAAGAACATGTTGCATCTTAGCGAAATTTTGAAAATAAGTATTTTGAGACAGATAGGCAAGATGGACATCAAATGAAAGCAAACTTTCATCGCAAGAAGACCAATCAAGATAGAACCATGTATTGTATGAATGTACACATCAGTTACTTGGTTTAAATAGAAAACTGACATCCAAGGGAAAGCTCAAGAGAACATGTGTTTTCCAATAAGAAATTTTTTTGTTATGTCCAAACCATTCATTCGTACATATGCAATTACTTTCTTCTACACAAACCATTCATTCATGTCACATGCAACCAAATGAACATGCAATTACTTGTGGTTTTTCTTCAAATCTTTCATGTCTGTGACATAAGTATGCTCCACAAGCTCTTGACGCTCAACACACTGTAAGGTGACTTCAGCAACTACTCCAAGGCCACCAAGACCACAGCGAGCAAGATAGAACAAATCCGGCTCTTTGTCTTTGGAAATCTCTATTGTGCCTTTGGCAGGAGTAACCAATTTCATACTAATGACCTGTTCATCAATAGGTGGCAACCTCGCACCAGTCCCGTGTGCACCAACCTGAAAACCAGCCAATATTAACAAGTTAACATCTACCTCAAAGTTCATATCCAAAGATATCACTGCAGCAGCATGACAGCACACTCTTGCCATAGCAAACGGTTTAACAAATTGTCTAGCAAGCTTGCAGCAATGGATCAGATTTACCCCAAATATCTCAAACTAAATGGTTTAGATGGAAAAGGAGACATCTTTTGCCATATATCCAATACTAAAATATCTCATCCAAAGGACGAAATGCAGTGAGAGAGAACCTGAATAATGCCACCAATCTGTTGTTCTCTAATGGATGCGAAGTTCTGCAAAGTAAGGCCGTACTCTTTAATACCATCAACCAGCTGCTGAACCCTTATGCCAGCTTGAACTCTCACCGTCTTCTTCTCCTTATCCACTTGCAGAACTTTATCCATCAGACCCAAGTTCACCATCCCAGCACGCGACAGCCCAATCCCATTGGGCGAGAGGCCCGACCCGACCGGCCGGATCCTGGCTTTCTTCTCGTCGGCATCCTTCATCAGCTTCTCCAATTCCTCCAAAGTCTCGGGCTGATGGAAGTTCCGGGTCTGGACCTCGTGGGTGCCGCTCCAGTTGGAAACGGTGTGGAGATCCTCGGGCAATGGGGCGTACCTAAAGAGCTGGGCTTTCTTGTGCTTGGCGTTCTCCGAGAAGGGGAATGAGAAGTAAGTGGCGGCTCCGCAAAAGAGCACGAGAGCTGTGTAGCCGAGGTACCTCCGGAGCTCAGCTTCCGACGAAGCCGGCGCGGGAGAGGAGGTTGAGAATGTGCGAATAGGGTTTGATGGGTAGTGATGGTTTGGAAGGATCGTCGGCTTTGTCGGCGGGAAGGCGGTGCAAATGGGTTGAGAGGGACGGCGGTGGAGGAGGTGGTGGATTGAGCGCCGGAGACAAAGAGCTCTCGACATTGTTTGCGGCAAAGTGGATGGACGAACCGGTTTCTCGGGGGATTTTGAAGGCTACAGATCACGGATTCGGCCTGAGGCTATTCTCCAACGATGATTGAGTCCATTAAGCACCGATTTGGGCGGATTTATTCCGGGTCAATTTTTGGCAGATTCCAAAGGGGTACCATCACAGATTTCGGGCGATTTACCCGAAATGCCATTTTCTTTCGATTCTGGAGGCTACAAATCACGGAATCAGGCCGAGGCTAATCTCCACCGATAATGAAGTCTATTGATCCTATTCTCCACGGATGATAAGTCCGTTAAGCATCGATTTAGGCCAATTTATTTTCGGATGACATTTTCGTAATTTCTTGGGCGACAAAAGGCCATTTTCTTTGGATATTGAAGGCTACAGATCACGGATTCGGCCTGAGGCTATTCTCCATCGATGATTGAGTCCATTAAGCACCGATTTGGGCGGATTTATTCCGGGTCAATTTTTGGCAGATTCCAAAGGGGTACCATCACAGATTTCGGGCGATTTACCCGAAATGCCATTTTCTTTCGATTCTGGAGGCTACAAATCACGGAATCAGGCCGAGGCTAATCTCCACCGATAATGAAGTCTATTGATCCTATTCTCCACGGATGATAAGTCCGTTAAGCATCGATTTAGGCCAATTTATTTTCGGATGACATTTTCGTAATTTCTTGGGCGACAAAAGGCCATTTTCTTTGGATATTGAAGGCTACAGATCACGGATTCGGCCTGAGGCTATTCTCCATCGATGATTGAGTCCATTAAGCACCGATTTGGGCGGATTTATTCCGGGTCAATTTTTGGCAGATTCCAAAGGGGTACCATCACAGATTTCGGGCGATTTACCCGA